TCCCGAAAATCCTGTAATCGACTCGCGTCGCTGTGTGGATGAGAGAGGACTCTGAGGGACCGGCGGAGCGTGTCATTGGTAGCGAGACACCCTCCATCTGCATTTCAGTTCTATCAACTGCAGCTTACCGCATTATCAGCTCCATCCTTGGCCTCCCTGGCCTGTGCCCCTTGTGGCGTTGTTGGCCGAGTCAGCGTAGCGGTCTAGTCGCCCCGATTATGAATACAAAGTTAGAAACATCATCTGCACTTGCGGTGAATGCTATTCCTCGTAAATGAAGTCCCATGTACGGAGTAAAGTGGAGCCTCTTCCTTCAATTCCTTTCTTGCTTTTAGATCAATCACGTAGCCCTAAAATTAAGTAATTCCACTGCAGAAGGTGGAACGCAAGATTCCAGCCTCGCATTGCGATCTGAATTTCCCTGGACTCCATTCGTGATTGTGAAATGGCGGTACTTTCAAAAGTACTACTACTAGTAGTATTCCAACCCGGACCTATATTCTACTCTACCCGGCCTATACACGGGAACCAACCCACATACAATTTACTCGCTCTTAGATTTAGTACCCAGTAGCTTCCCCCGCAACCTAAAGAGCATGTCCAACGCCATAAACGCCCCTGGATCAAGTTAGCCCGCCACTGATCGCCCCGCCGAAACCACCAGGCATTAAAAAAGGAAACAAAGGAGATGAGAAAGCAAAACATCAAACCATAAGCGTGAAACAACCACAAAGAAAACAAAAGAAAAGGCAATAAAAAAAAAGTATATACTTACCAAGCATCACATAAGGCGCATACAACATAGTCAAATCCTGCTTCTGGGCGACCGTGCGATCGTCCCAGCCCCAGACCTCTGCCAAGCAAGCACTCGAGGTCACGAATGATTGAACTCCAAACACCAACAAATGCATCGGGACCAGGGGGTCGTCTGTCGGTATCCTTTCTGTTAGCTTCCGATGTTTACGAGATGATGTCCCCACCGTCACCATCTTCCCCGACGGTGTAAAAAAAAAAAAACACCAAAAAGAAAGAAATAAACAAATAAATAAACAAATAAGAAAATAGAAATCAATAAATCGACTAGGCTGTTTTACCTCGGAGCAAAGCGCCAAGAGCCCAGAGACTCAACGGTGCGTGATAGACAAGTTCCATTGCGATATAGGTGGAGAACCACGCCGGAGCGGGCTCCGAGAAGAATTTGTCATGGTAGGTTGCTATGTAGTAGGAACGGATGTGGTGCGAAAGGTTAGTTTGGAGGAGGGAGGGGAGAAGGGGGACGGTGTCGACGACTGGATTGGCGCGTTAGTATGTTCCAATGTGCCGATATCGTTTAGCTGGGGGATGGAGAGAGGCTGTGTGGAGCAGCCCTCTCAAAGGAGGGAGAGATTTACGGAAAATGATAGGGAGGTGAATGGCGAAAAAGATGAAGTAGATTAGGTCGCGTTTTCGCGATATGAGAGATGCCGATTGCACCATGGTGGTCCGTATCTAGGAGGTGGCAATTGACTAGAATCGATGAATCAAATCTTTTTCGATGTATGCATGTCTGTAGGCTATATGTGGTATGTGTGGGATGGAATCTTAGGGGGTCAAAAGTCTGAAGGGAGCGATAACGTGACTGCTGTCAACAAAACAGAAAACCAACATGAGAAGTCAGGTCAGGTGATCCGCAGGGACAGCCAAATCGGCAAGGGGGAAAAGGAAAGACGGGACAAAAGCAAACATGCGCAATCTCTCGAAAGGCCCCCGCTGTTCATCATCGATGACCCGGGAAACTGGGAAGAAGATACGCAGGACTACGTATTTGCTTTTTTCCACTGCACGAGGCCTAAACATAGCTTAAGCTTAGGTGCGTGGATCGCTAACCTCCTCTGATTCTTAACGGTTAGTTAAGTTTAGTGTCCCAAGAACAGTGACCCGGCGGTTGGGACTCAATGCTAAATCGGCCTCTTTGCTTTTTCTGAGATTTTGACCTTGCATCATATCATGCTTTGATCTTATCAGTTGAAGATATCCTGAACAACAGTTCCAGGAAACATTCTTGATTCACACCCCTTTCCCTCGCCGTACACACAAGCGATTCCGACAAGGGATCGAAGACGGCGTAACCGCTCACGGGTAACTACACGAGACATCCGGTTTTAGGCAGTCTCACCGCAACTCTTACGGAAGAGTCCTTTGCCCCCCTTGTCCGGGTCCTTGGTGAAGTTTGTCGTGCAAGAGCCCCTAATTTATGACGGCCCCTGGAGCTGATCGTTACCTCGACTTCCCGCCGTTCCGGAACCAGATTGGTTGGAGTAAAAAGTACTGCAAGGAAGAGCTGCGCTCGCAAGTCTCTTGCGACTTGCAGCATTCCCCACCAATATCATACAGATTTTCTTTACGCAAGCTGCAGCCCAATCCAAGGAATTCCTCGAAAGATGACCTATGATATTTTTTTATGACTATTGTCTTCACGATTTGGACCGGTCCGGTCATCCTTGGGGCGGGAAAAGTTGCTTTTTTAGCGCCAAAACACGGAACTGCGGTCGCTAATCTATCACATAGTACGATGACTAGTCGACTGACATGGGTACCTTAGGAGTTGTGTCTCTTTCCCCGGAAGTTGGGACGGAATTTGACCGCCAGTACTCCGTATAAGTGACGAGGTCCCTCTCCATTAATCTTCGCAGGGAGCCACTACCCGACCGTTGGTGTCAACCTTGCAAATCCTTTGCTAATGGAAACCTTGGCCCCCGTAAGAAAATCTCGGAAGTGTCTCTGAAACCAGGCGGTGGCCATGAGCTCCAGCCGGATAAGTGCCGAGGCACCTCAGCGTTCGTAGTAATGTACAGTCAACACGACACAAGCATTTAGGCAATATGCCGGATGGCTGCAACTATCGGCTTCAATTGCAATTCGACTCCTCCAGACCCTGAGAAATACAGGCAGAAGTGGAACCAAATGTAACTGCAGTTTGACCAAGAACTGATCTATCTAAGATGTTGTACGAATACATATGTATGTGCATAGTACATGCTCCGTACAGAACGTACATTATCAGACTGATGCCCCTGCCCTAAATCCTCGGTCGAGGCTTCGAAGGATCTTCCAAAACGGCTATGGAACGCCTCCTATCGCTCCACGACGGCGCGAGTGGTTCTTTGGGAGCAAGAAGTCCACTGATGTGCCTTCTGTGGGGTACTTTTTGATGGAAGAACTCACGGGAAATGGGCCGCATGGCCGAAATGAATATGAACGTCATGATCGCCTTGGCTCCAAACGAGCGCCCTCGGCTACTCCATTGGGCCACCCGGTAGCGGGTCAGAATGGCTGCTAAAAGTGATTAGGATTGTTCTTTCAACCCACTAGAAGCCACGTCGAGAAAAACCATGTGTGACCCAAGATTGGGAAATCAATGTTTTGATTCATCTCCACTCGACGGCGGGTCCGTAACAACAACCAAACACGACCTCACAGGGCAACTCTATCAGAAAATGGTAAAGAAAAGGAAAAAGGGGGAAGAAAATTATTTTCAATTTATCGGAAAGATTCTGTCTTTGGTCGATCGTTACACCAAAGTATTATCCAGTCAAGCAATAATTTCAGTAGTGGCGAAGGAGAAGCAACGCAGATTCTCCATGTCGCGCCCACCCGTTATCACATCAATAATCACTCCACCGACATCAGCAGACTGGCTGCAATGTCCAGTTATTGGGCACAAGTTACATAATGCGTGAGGTCTTACAGTAGTACGAGCATGAACGGGGACTACCGGGATATTACGCCCTTTTCCTTTTCGTTTTTAACTTTAGCTTTTTTTTTTTCCTTTTTCTCCCAATCGAAGCGATGCAAGGGGATGCATGTTAGCCGCGACCGAAAGCTACTATAAGACACTGGATGGAGACACTATTTACTTATTGGTACGGCACTGATGTATCTCGGGCGACTACTGCATCAACATGCAATTCCGCGAGCCTATTACCGGGGATCGAGAAGACAGACCTAGGCTAGCGATATTGGCCCAACGTGCATGTTGCATAGGCTCCACCCTCGGCTTCTTATCGTTCGTCTGGTTTGCGCCAGATTGAGCGGTGAAACCGCACCAGAAACAAATGGAATACACACTTACAGACAGAGCCAGTCCCCCGGAGCACGCCGGGAGCAGGAAGCAGACTGTGCCCATCGTCGGCGCGAGATCCAATCACTATAGTAATCGGCGACCTGTGCCCGACATAGTTGCAGCGATGAGGAAAATTGCCCTGCAAGTCCTTTGTATCGTCCGATGCGGAAGCTATATGAAATGTACGCCGAGGACCCGTTGGGTCTCTTGACCGCCTCCCTCTGGTCTTTTCTCACTCTTGCTTTGTCTGATCTTGTCTTGTCGGCTCTGTTCATTCCTCTCATCGCTTTCACCCTTTTGGAACAACGTTTAAATTTTGGATTTTTTAGGGCCTGCTTTTTTCTGACTGGCCCGTTGACCTGCCGCCGTCCCCTCCACAACCCCCAGTCTAATCTGTCGAGACCCGTTCAGGTCCTCAGGAGCGAATCCTGTCCCCTGTCGTCATGGCATCGCATTCGCTCGAGACACTTTTTGTTCGCCGCCATGAATAATCTGGCGCATCACCAGCGCAAGGTCGCTGCCGGAGATGAAAGGGATAGCACATACGGAGTAGTCTAGTCATGTTAAGCGAAGCTCCGTTGAATCCTTAGATCGTTTGTGCCGCGCGGTGGCATTACATCCACTTTTACCCAATATTGCATTTCTAAATTGAGTAGTGGCCTTTTTTATTTTATCAAAGTGCAATGACACCGTGGATGCAATATTATTTATACTCGTCTCCCTCTCATCTAAAATCCTATCTTTTTTTCTGTCCCATCAATTTTCACCCCATCTTCTAGACAAGATTTTCCCTCAGTCATTCTTAATTCTTCCGCTTCTACATTTTGTAATCCGCCTTGACATAAAAAAAAGTCAAAATAGCTCATCCTACTCGTCTAAGGCTGTTTTCACTCTCAACATGCCATCAACTGCCCCTGTCATAAGGCCCAAGAGCCATCCCGTCAATGCTCATAAGGAGGAGACCCCGATCAGTTACGACATCAACATCCCCTATGTGGATGTCAATGGAGAGACCACCGCCAGAACCAGGTACCCAGAATATTTGCCGACTTGGGACAAAATGTGGTTCGAACCACTGCCCCCGTTCCACTATGACGATCCTGCGCTGCGCGTTGAGGATAGGTCCAAGCCTAACCTCTTGACTCCCGACGCTAAAGTCACCGAAATCCAGCCGAAGATCGGCACCATCATCGAAGGCGTGCAGCTGAGCCAGCTCTCGGATGCCGCGAAGGATGAGCTCGCATTGCTGGTTTCCGAGCGCAAGGTTGTTGCATTTCCCGCGCAAGATCTGATCGATGCTGGTCCCGAGGCGCAGGAACAGTTTATGCGCCATTTCGGAAAACCGAACTATCAGCCTGTTTCTGGAACGGTGCGCGGCCACCCCGGCTTCCATATCATTCATCGCGATGGCAACAAAGAAGAGATCTCGCGTTTCCTGTCGCAGCGCACGACAACGACTCTGTGGCATCAGGACGTGAGCTACGAAATCCAACCACCGAGCTACGTCATGTTGGGTCTTCTGGAAGGCCCAGAAGTAGGAGGTGATACCGTCTTCGCGGCGACCGATATGGCTTACAAGTATGCGCGCCTTGATTCCAATTGCTTATTGCCTAAGATTACGGAAACTAACCAATTTTAGACGCCTTTCTCCTACTTTCTGCTCCTGGCTCGATACTCTACGGGCCGTTCACTCCTCCGCCAAAATGATCAACCACGCCCGTCTAACCAACAGCCTCGTCCGCAAAGATCCCGTTGACACCGTCCACCCACTGGTTCGGGTCCACCCCGTGACAGGCGAGAAATGCATCTTCATCAACGGCGAATTCATCACCAAGATTCAAGGTCTCAAGGAGCCCGAACAGCGCTGGCTCACCGATTTCCTCATGAACCACATCATCACGGGCCACGATTTCCAAGCCAGAGTAAGATGGCAACCAAAGACAATCGTTATCTTCGATAACCGCTCTACTCTTCGTAAGTAACAACCCGAATTACCACCCGCCTTAAAAACCCCGTTCACCCCAGCCAAGCAATCACGAAAGGAAAAAATAACTAACGGTGAAAAAATTCCCAGACTCGGCGATCGTCGACTACCTAGACGATGACTACGGCGCAAAGCTCCGCCACATCTTCCGCCTGACCGCACTTGGCGAGAAGCCCATCCCCGTCTACGACCAGTTTGAGTAAGCAACGACAGCATCAGGCGAACAGCACGTCGTCTTACATTTTACGAATCATCGCTTTATTATCCCGGGCGTCCAGCGGGGAGTGCAAAACCTATTGAGCGTTACGTTCCTTCTGCTTAGATCCAGGTTCATTGGTTTTTTTTCGGGAAGGAGTGCAAAAATCGTTGGCTTTTTCTTTCTTTCTTTCTTTTCTGCGCGTAATATCCATTCATGCGCGGCCTACGGCTTATAATTCTTGTTTTCTCTTTTCTCTGCTTGGGATACCTATTCTTGTTTGCGCTATAGACGGTTGGATTTGATCTTGGATTTGGAATTTGGTATTTTAGACCTTTTAATCTCTCGCGAGAGCTAGCTTATAGACATTGTTATTTGATCTACTTTGATACTGGTTATTAACAGACTTCTTCTTTTTTGACTCCAGATAGAAGGTACTTACTATATTTTATATGATGAGACGACATCCTACTTTATTGTAGTGATTTTGAATCTTCTTGACATACACACCACTCAATATTCTTGAGGATATGTATGTATATTGAATGATCTAAAGAGGACATATACCTGCCTGCCTACCCTGCACAGCCAAAAACCTATGATAAGAACCAACAACATACAACAGTGAACTCCAGATGGCTAGCTAGTACAATGGAATCAACGCACATAAATTGACAGTGATGATATAATTTCTTTTGAGTTGCGCCACATGATTGCATCCATTAATTACCGCAGTATATCTTCAACCCGTGACCGCAGCTCGTTGGCCAATTGCAATTGTTCCGGAGGAATGTTACCGCCCTGCTGGAGCAGGAGCAGTGTCTCTGTGACGCGTTCCGCAACCACGTCGCTGCCGAAGACAGTTCCGCCCAGGCGGACGGTATCGTGGAACCAGTGCTCGATGAGGTAGAGGAGATCCTTGGCGATGTATTTCCGGTTGGTGCCGTGGAAGGGTGCCTCATCTGTGTAGTACATGGATTCGAGGACAGTGTAAAGAGTTTCGTGGGCGACTCCAAGGTCGAGGAATAGATCGACAACCCAGGTTGCTGGTCCAACACCACGCTGGTGTTCCAGCGCATAGCGCTCAAGCATGGGCAAAAGAGTGGGGATCGGGAATATTATATCGGACATGCGCAACCGGCTTCCCAAGCTGCGCACCTTATCAATTACAGCTTCATATGGCTGGGGCTCTCCATTTTCGACGGTCTCATCGTGCAAATCTTGTAGCAGATGCTGCCACGTGGACCGAATATCTGCTGGGTTCCTGTGATCAGCTAAGTAGAATATTTGTAAGCAAATATCGTAGTAGCTTGCGGGATCGGCATATTGATTGAACAACTATAACATGTCAGTGGAGGTGTGGTTATTTAACGTGGTTGGCTTGGCCTACCGTGCTAATGTCCATGATGGGGCCGTCAACATCTGCAAGAACCTGCGTCCTGCGTTCTGGAGTTAAGCGCTTATCATCTTTCAGGCGCTGCAGAAGGTCATCTTGAATGTTTGCAAGATCAATGAGATTTGAGATATCCTGCAACAGGCGCTGTCGTAGCTGTCGCCCAACATCCGGCGTAAATGTTGAAGCGTTGGCCCTGGCACGGCCCAAATACTCGATTCTGCGACCAAGAGGAAGAGTAAAAGCGCTCTGTGCAAGATGGAACTGAACCTTAGCAGCTTCGAAAAAGCGCTCTGACTGAGCATAGTACCTCCATAGGAGGTCCGCATGCGCAATATCATCCGTCGACTTCCGCTCGAGATAGGTGACCACAAATGCAGAGTTTGCGTGAAGCAAGCGCTCGCTCCAGCCCTGCTCTAAGTACCAGTCATACAAGCTGGTCAAGAACACCTCATCGATAGAGTCAGAGATAACTCCATAGGCTTCATTCTTGCGCTTGGCAATGACAGTGAGTTGTCCGTCAACAACACCAGGGTCGTGAGCTGCAAGGGTGTCTACAGCAATGATGACCTTAAAGATGAGATCATAACACTGTTTTCTGAAATAGAAGTAGTCATTCCGAGAATCCTATTGAGTACATCAGCATTTAATTTCTTTGGCTGAATCATACGGACTCACATTCTCTGGACGACCATCGACAATCCACGAAAGTGCCATATTAGCTTTGTCTGAACGTGCAGCAACATTGAGTGCAAGCTGGATAGCGCCTGTAGCTTGATTAGCGCTGTCTTAGCCGGACGTTATTCAGCACATACCAGCGAAGAATTGGTTGGATATGAAGTTTTCGACTGCAGAAACCAGGTAATCCATTGGCAAGCTCTCGGAAACCTGCTGAAATAGGTGAAGACTTTCATTGAGTAGATTGCGGCCTAGTTCAGAGTTGGAACCAGCTTCAGTCGCTCTCTTGAGCAGTTCCTGAGCCTTGAAGATAACCACATCCTCAGCGCTGCAGAAACTACCGCACCGCCGCCGTAAAGCGTCAGCAACTGTTTCCACGTTGGAACCTTTAGCGATGTTTCGGTTCACAATGCCCTTGACCAGTTCCTTCGCGATATCATGACCCTTGCTAGTGCTGAAGAGCTCCTCGAAGGTAAGCTTCATGAATCGCTGCTTTGAGTCATCTGGCAAGGTGGCAACGATCTCGTCAACCCGCTCATCGAACAGAACCAGGATGAATGAAATGCCTTCAATGGTGTGAGATACAAGTTGAACAAGGGAATGCAGGGCACGATGCTCCGCTTGAAGCGCAGTTTCTTCTTGCTTGGTTGACACGCGTGCCAGGGCTTCTGGACCGCTTAGTCCCTCAATGAAGCTCTTGTTAGCTTTGAAGAACTCCTGCAGCGCCGATAGGTCTCGTTGGATGGTTTGCAATCTTGCGGATGAAACAGAAGGCAAAATCGTTTGTGCCCCACCGGGGGAGGGCCCGACTTTAGCAATTTCTTTCCTCCAAATTGTACGCAGCAGCCTAGACATGTAAAGAGCAATGCCCGCATGCCGGGGTGACGGAACCACAGAATCGATCGCCGGTGTAGAGTTGTCAGCTACCACATTTTCATTCATCGTGGGTCTGCCTCCATACTCGATGAAGACCTTGCGCGCAAATTCGAGCACATGGGGGTCATTAATCTGGGTCAGGCGCGAGTCTGCGGAAATCTCTACACCCTGGCCGCACGCGACCGCGAGAGCAGTTGCAAGTGTCTCACTCCTACCATACGTGCGAATAAAGTTCTTTACTTCACCTTCTAAGCCTTCATCGCCGTCCCCGCCGCCGCGAACTAGGGCAGCAAACATGTCGACAAGACGTCTGCGTCGAATGATATGGATGCCAGTGTTAGTCAAGATGGCAATTTCGGCGGCCGGGTTATCGAATTGGACCGCAAGCTCGTTACCAAAGCCGCCTGGAGTGGCTGAGGCCGCTGTAGACGGGGAGCAAAGGCCAACATCTTCCACCCTACTACCCAAAGAAAGCCAGATGGCTGTCTCGGCCGCATTGCCAGGAATGACATTTTCCTGGGAACGAGCAACTCGTCCAGAATCAGGGGAAGAAACGAAGAGAGTATCTGTCTTTTGCGTTGGGTCCTTGCATGTGAAGCAAAAGAAGTAGCCAGGAGGGTATCGGACAGTGAATCTGGTAGGGTCAAGAGAATGAATTGGGACCTTTGCTACTGACGGCTGGAAACGACCCTGACCCTGGAAAGCCGGGCCTGCTGGACTAGCGGAACCGCCATCGAAAGGAGGCGTTTTCACATGGTGAGCTTGCATGCTCGTAGGCGCGTTGGTACCGTTGGGTGATGGGGACCAACTATATGAGCCAGTAGCACTCAAGTAGATCCGGTAGCCAGTAGCGGTGGTAGCCATCAAATGATATCTGGACGCCTCTGCAGCCAGGATAGGACTGATAGAAACGATCGGGACCTTGGGGTTCAAAGTCTCGTTCGATGCAATTATATGCCCGATATTGGCATAAATGTCCATAGCAGGCTTAGTAATCGCTAAAGCAAGGGTCCCGTCAGGCTTCATGTGAAATACTCTGATTGTGGACGAGGAAGACAGTGTATAGAGCAATCTTCTGCTGTCATCAATCTCCATCTGCTCGACATTTTCGAACATCTTGTGCGTGAAGCTCGAGAAGCTTAAGCTGGGGGTCAGCGCACCCAAACGAGAGCTAGTATGGTTGACCTTTGCGCAACGTCCTTGAAACCACTTTTCCTCTTGTTGATACGTGAGCTCATAAACGTCATTGTCGGAAGAACCACCGAAGAATATACGACCGGTCGCGTCCGACGACGCGATAACGTGGATGTCTAGGCCACGAATTGACGTCGACATGCCCGTTTGATACAATGTCACCTGGCGTGCACCTGTAGCGGTCGTCTCGCAGCCCATGCCAAGTAGGATGACGTCTGCAGTTGTTGATACGACAAGCAAATGTGTGATTGACGGCAGGAACACCCCAGGACGAGGTTTGGCCAATTTGACCGCATTAATGCTGTTTGGTTGGTCTTCAAAACCCACCAGCTGGGGATTCGGGTGTGTATAGTCCCAAATGTAGAGCGCGTTGTCAATGGCAACCCACGCATGATTCAACTCTGCGAAAAGACCCATGCTCGTAGAGACCTGTGCTCGGTTGTACTGGTCAAAGATCTGGTCTGGAATGTTATACATCTTCACTTTCTGGAAAGGAGCCCATGATGGGGAAACCGGGATATCGTAATCAGACGAAAAGCCTTCTGCACAAAGGGTCAACCATGCTCTATGTGGCTCAAAGTCCAGTGTTTACTTACGAGAAAGGTAGCTGTCCAGGTCAGGGTAGCGGGCTTCTTGGGTAAGCGTATCATTGACAGTGCGAGCTGCGCGCTCCTCAGTGCTTAAGGTCTGGCTTTTCGACTTTGAGGCGGCCGGAGGAAGCTTTGGGAGAGAAGCTGGTGAAGGTTGCTCTGCGGGGACAGGAGCTGGCTTCGGAGAGAAAGCTGGCGCACTCGGAACATTGTTCGGACCAGGAGTCTGAAAAAAGGCGCCGGGTAGCGGTCGCTGAGGTGTGAGAGCTGGAGGAAGGTTTGGATAAGACATGATGCTGGCTTGCAGTCGATATATGGGCGGCTTTGGGGGGGGAAGTCGTCGCGCTCCCCGGCGAGGTAAGTTCGTTCAGCGTAGGGAAATTAAGATATTGAGAATGGTAGAAAGAGAAGAAGGAAGCCGGGGAGAAGTCCAAGCTAGACAGGGCGGATGACAGAAATCATCAATGGAGGCGTGTGGTGTTCCTCCAGAGACGGACACGATTATTCAGATCGAATAACACTCAAATCATGACAATTCAAAAGAGAGAAACAAAATTGTGCACGGGCCCGAAGATCGTGACTTAACCTCGAAGGAGCTCTCCGCCTTTTGGCTTTTGTTTCCGCCGACAAAAGGTCCTTTCATTGCTTTCTTGCGCCTCAATTACACAGAACTTTGTTGATATAATTCGACTTCTCTACGAGTCGAAGAAATTATTTCTTTAGTCAAAAATTATTTCTTTGATTTTATGTTCCTCCGATCTCATCGCATAATGTTCCGTCCTCAAAGACTCACAGCTCGGCTGAGCCTGTGCTCAGTACGATGGAATTCAACTAGCAGCCCATCTACGCCGCCTTTGATGGCCAAAATCAGGACCGACCTTAAGGTTGCTATGCGTGCCAAAGATACAGCGAGGTACGTGAAGCGCGTGTAGTATACACTTTTCCAAGCACGACGGCTAACACAGGCAATGATATTGCAGGCTGAACGTTCTGCGCGCTATCATTTCCGAAACGAACAACTCCTTGAAGACCTCATCCCCAATTCAAACTGATTTGCAACTTTTATCATTAATTCGAAAGCGTATGACTGGCGCAAAAGACGCGGCGCAACAATTCGCTGAGGCCAACCGACCCGACCTGAAAGAGTCCGAGGAAAAGAACGTCACAATTTTGGAAGAGTATGCGAACCAGGTGGAGACAATAAGCCTAGATGATGTGAGGCAAATCGTGATGCAGGAGATTTCGAAATTGAAGGAGGCAGACCAAAAGGTCGAGATTGGGACATTACTAAAATCATTGTTTGCTCCCGGAGGTGCCTTAGATGGCAAGCCAGCAGAGAGATCAGAGGTCGCTAAGATTGCCAAAGAGGCTGTTTCTGGCCTCTAACAACATTAACCGGGTGGTGTATATATTAGCTACTGTATAATTGTAAATCTACTTCACTCCAATTGTGGGATAGAGCCACGGCCAGACTCCTTTTCACAAAAACGTGCCAAGTCAACCCTGAGCTTCGAGCCTTTATATATCACGAATCATTATATGTATATGAACTGCGTAAACCCATACATTCACCAGGACAAACAACCCTGGCCTTATACCAATAAAAGTAGACGATGAAACACCAGATTGAAATTCCTCCAGCGCCAAATTGTATGCAAAACTCCAGTGATCCCAACCCTTAGAATACCGTCCCAAGCATCTCCATTTGATATGTTTACCGAACTCCATAGCCGCTGGGAAGCCGAGTTGATTAAGGCGTCGGCGCTTTCAAGTTTCTCGCTAATCAAGAGTAAAAGAAGGTGATGCCACCCAGAGCAGTCGCGAACACCCCAACCCACAGCCACCGGTCAGGTTAGTAAGCTCCTCTGTAATTAAGTGCCTCACTCCAGGCAAGCGGTCCGTATCGCGGGCAACATGACGTTTACTTTTTCCCGTCTCGGACACAGGGTTCAAGGTCGTTGTTGGCAGCATCTGCGGCGGCTGATATACAAGGTACATTGGATGCATTGGTGAATCATCAAAACTCTTGAGGTCCAACCGTTGAATGCCATGATAAGGATCTTTGGAAACCTGGAAAGACTGAGATTGGGTTAGCAAGAGCAGCGTTCAAAGGTATGGCGGAAAGGTACATTGAAGGTCTCTGTCTGGTTGTATCTAGTGTACGCTGCTACACTAGAGCTACAAGGATCTGAAAGTAGCTGACGACCATCCGAGGCAATAGGAGTCAACTCAAGGGATCCGTCGCTGTTCAAGACGAACTTTCCATGCTGCCATTGCATAATGCCTTTAGGGCACGAAGGATCCACAGCTACACATAACCCAGACTTGTTAGACAGTAGAAGCACCTGAGGCGCGGTGGAATACTGACGATTGGCAACGGCGCGATAGTACGCCTCTTCATAGTGGCCATCCTCCGTGAAAGAGTAGGAGATACCAGTAAGATTCGGTTCAAGGAATTTATCATTTATCGGATCATAAAAGTCCTATGGAGTAGGGAAAAGCATATATTAGCTTAGAACCAGTGTTGACACGATGGCCTTCGATAAACAAACAAAGCGACGCAGAACATACCGGACCTGTAACAACCTTGCGGGACTTTGTTGACCAAGTGCCCACGAGTTCCGATATACTCGCAGCGCTCACGGTCGTAGCAAGTAGACTAAGAGAAAGGTATCCCGCAAGCATTTTTTCGATATGTTCTTGCGACAGATATCAACAGATACTTGAGAGGTGTAGCAAGGGAAGGATCAAGGAATCCCAGGAAGGGTCCAATTCCACGGCCCTTTCTGTGGAGCATATTCAGGCACAACCGTCGATCCAACCACGCAAATCACCCTAAAAAAGCCAATGTGCCAAGCCACGCCCGTGACACAGATACTAACTCTGAAACAAAGTTGACAAACATCGCCAGATCCAGTAGTTTGCCGTGGAGTCGGGTACATGCCACCCGATCTGCTCTGGTTACTACTACTAGTAGTATACCTACCCTCAACATCCAATATCCAACCTACACCATTCCAAGGGCCTTTTCACTTCTTCGTAGCAACATGATGGCTGGTCTACAAACAGCTAAGAAAGACCTTCGCAGAAAAATGCGCGATGTTCTACAAAAGATCCCCGCAGATTCTATCGTCAATCAATGTCAGAGACCTTATCGCTTTTGACTCATAATCAAAGGTGCTGACAGTTCATAGCTAGAATTGCCACAAACAAGCTGTTCTCTCTAAATGAATACCAAAATGCCAAAAGAATTGGAGTTTATTTGTCAATGCCGTCGGGAGAGCTATCAACTACAGCCATTGTGCAAGATGCTTTGATAAATGGCAAAGAGGTCTTCATACCCTATATCCATAATGTGGAGCTGTCATCGACACAGCAGAAGGCATCCATCATGGACATGTTGGCCTTGAATTCTATGGAAGAATTCAATTCCCTCGCCCCCGACAAATGGGGAATTCCATCTCTCGCGAAAGCTCAAGCTGGTACAAGAAAGAACTGCCTCGGCGGTATCGGAGTACCCCCCTCAGGATCCGATAAGGCCACAGATGGAGACTGGGGGCTAGACCTGATTGTTATGCCAGGGATGGCCTTCGATCACGAATTTAGAAGGCTGGGTCATGGTAAAGGATATTATGATCATTTTCTAACTAGGTACTCCAAAGAGGTTGAGAGTAAGACAACGACGCCAAAAATGCCTTTACTTGGTAAGAGAACCCTCCCCATCCATGAAGAACCACAAATTTTTATTCTTGCCTAACCGTCGCCCAGTTGCCCTCTCTCTCAAGGAGCAGACTCTGCCCTCGACCGAAGAGATACCCGTTGCAAACCATGACTGGCCAGTAGATGTTCTCATCGTCGGCGACAATGGGTGCTTCGTCCGTCATCACTAATCTGTAGCCCAAAAAAGAATTCCCTCTCGTGTCAGAACTCCGTGTATTTAATTGATGTGCAAGAGCGTCTCCCAGCGGAAACCCGTAAAAAGACATGATTAAAGAGAAGTAGATATTGTCGTAGTCTGGCAAAACATTTTTGAAATTTCTTTTCCGTACGCTTACTGCGGCCCCTATAATCACTGAACTGCTTGGATGAGTGAGACGTTATCTCCCTTAAGCAGGATTTGGCCTATGAAAGAAATCTAATTAGCCTGCTGACTGCTAGTTAAGAATAGATATAAGAAATAAACTCCATACCTAGAGGCCTGCGCTTCTCTTCTTCGGTCTTTGTAGCCAGCCTGACCTCCACCGCATCATCAACAACGAGATTCATGAACTCATCGAATCCCTGATCATGTCAGCCAGTTATCGCGATTTTTGCCCATATACGACCACATACTCTGATCTTGCCTTCTATACGAAAAGCCAATTGCTCATAGAGCCAAATAGAAACGGTGGAGCGTTGTTGAAGAAGCTTGAAAATGAAATGAATCGGCGCGAGCAAGGTCTTGCGACCACCTCCACCGCCTCCACGACCAGCCATATTGATACGCGCTGAGTGAAGTAAGACACGGGTTCAAATAGGATGAGCGATCGATGAGCCGTACTCAAGCGACTGGTAGAAAGCTATTATGGTGGTTTGCGCGGATGTTGGAGGTTGGTTTAGTGTTGGCGGGCAAGATGAGAGAAGGAAGAGAGAGCTTAACTTTGGTGGATTCAAACCGCTTCGGGACTTTGCTGCGGCTCACCAACTTTTCCCTTTGGGCTCAGGCGTCACCACATCCCACTTCTACTATAGAACCATTCACCCGATTTACTCATCCACCACTATTGAATGATTTTTTTGTGCCTGGCCCACTCCTTGTATACCTTCTTCAGGGGTTATTTAATGAGTATTCATGACCGTACTCCATAGCTGTTGAGCCTCCGGCCTGGCTGACCCCTCATCTCCGTTTCTTCTTCTCCCTCAACCAAAACATCCCACTCCAATCGACGATGGCCAGCAAGGAGGGAACCGCAGGACAGGCCTTTGGCCCTGTCCTAGCTGCGGTCGCTACAATGCAGGGAAATGTTTCCAGAACCGAGAAGGCGCATGCTCATGAGTTTCTCGAGAAATTCCAGAAATCAGTTCGTTACCCCCGACCCCTCACCCCTTCCCCGTACTAGTTCGCCTCAGCCCAATGTGTTCTTACTGACAAACCTGCAATCATACTCTAGGTTGAAGCCTGGACAATTACCCATGAATTATTGCAATCTCCCAATGTTCCTGTCGAGGCCAAGTTGTTCGCTGCGACCACGCTGAAGGGAAAGGTGAAACAACCCATGATCAATGGAAGAAGTACCCGGATGCTGATTGTTGTAGATCATGTTCGATCTGGACCAGCTGCCCGCAGAGTCCGTGCCCGCTCTCAGGGACTCGGTGATGAATCTCCTAGTCGCCTTTGCATCGGGCCCTCGCCCCATTCAGACACAACTATGCGTATGTTTGGCGAGCCTCGCCATTCAGATGACTGGGTGGAAAGATGTCCTCGCTACTGTCGGCTCAGCACTGGGGAGTAATGCTGGTGACTGCGTGTTGGAATTTCTGAAAATCCTTCCGGAAGAGGTCACAGAAGGTCGCAAAATCAATCTGAGTGTATGTTCGACAGACAATATCCCACCTACCTACCCATTCATCACGCAATCGGCAACGGCTCGGCTTCGTACAACCATTAATCAAACTCTAATACATGGCCTTATTAGGAAGACGACCTCATCCTCAGGACGAAAGAACTCTTGGAAGATAATGCAGAGCAAGTGATGCACCTTCTAATTCAGTATGCGCAGTCATCACGTATGTACACGTTGCTTAATGCCCTTCGTGACCCACTTCACACACATGTACTAAAGTTTATACCGACCTTAGCAACTGCATCCACCAATCCTCGTCTCCTGGACTGCATCACGTCTTGGATGCGCGAGATCCCCGCTTCGAAGATTGTCGAATCGCCCTTGTTGGATGTCATTCTGAAGGCACTTGACGATGACGTGTCATTTGAAGCCGCGGTGGAGAGTGTTTGCACTCTCTACAGAGATACTCGGGAGGTGGACGACTCACTGCCGATTATACAGACCTTGTATCCGCGCCTAATGTCCCTTCGTCCAAAGATCGCCGAGGCTGCGGAGGCCGAGGATACGGATGCGTTCAGAGGCATTACCAGACTTTTTGCGGAGGCTGGTGAGGCTTGGGTTGTGCTGATCGCCCGCTTACCGTCCGATTTCCGGGGCCTCGTAGAGGCTGTCCTAGAATGCTGCGCACGAGACTGGGAACGCGACGCTGTTTCGCTAACTTTCGTATTTTGGTATGAATTGAAGCAGTATGTCACACTGGAGCGGTATGCCGATGCACGGGTAAGCTACAGCGATGTCTTCTCCAAGCTGGTGGATGTTATGGTCAAGCACCTTGAGTACCCCCGCCCAGAAGAGGGTGAGACCGATCTGTTTGGTGGGGACCGGGAACAGGAAGAGAAATTTCGTCACTACCGACACTCAATGGGAGATGTCCTCAAAGACTGCTGTGCTGTGATCGGAGTGGCGGAATGTCTGGCCAAGCTTATCAGTTAATCCAACAGTGGATTTCCAACTACGCCTCCCAGGCTAGCGATGAACATGTTCCAAATTGGCAAGAACTTGAAGCGCCGCTGTTCAGCTTGAGAGCTATGGGCCGTATGGTAGACCCTGAAGAAAGCCATGTTCTCCCGCAGGTAATTCCTCTGATAACACAAATACCAAACCAAGAAAAGGTTCGATTCCAGGCCATCATGGCCTTGGCTCGCTATACAGAATGGACAGCACAGCACCCGGAAACTCTTGAGGCACAGCTAAACTATGTTATTTCTGGATTTCAGCACAGCTCCCCGGAAGTTGTTCAGGCCGCAGCTCTGGCTTTCAAGTTCCTGGGTACTGACTGTCAAAAACTACTCGGAGGACATATTGCTCAACTTCATTCGTTCTATGAGTCTGTTATTGATAAGTTGAAGCCAGCAAGTCAGGAGGAGGTAACTGAGGGTGTGGCGGCTGTGGTTGCAGTGCAACCACTTGAGAAGATCTATGAAACGATGAAAATGTTCTGTGACCCGATCATGGCTAGAATCATGAACCTGGCGAACAATGCGAAGGACGAACAGGGCCAACGGGCTGTCGCTGGTACGTATTCACGGGTATTCAAGGAAATGAGCATGCTAATTCTGTCATCACAGACCATCTCCAATTGATTACGATCTTCGTGCTAGTGGTGAATCCTTATGTGTCACCCCGCGAGGAAAATCCCGCTGTCAAATATTGTGGCGAGGTCTTGCCCATCATGACGACTATTGTCATGAACTTTACCTCATCTACGCCCATTTTGGAGCGAGTGTGCCGCTGCTGGAGAAACATGCTTATTTCCTACCGAACAGCCATGACTCCATTATTGCCTACACTAGCAGAGAGCCTCGCAAATGGATTCCAAGCGTCACGAGAAGGATGCTTCTTGTGGGCCACTGATGCAGTCGTGCGGGAATTTTCCGAAGGTGCTGACCTTGTCGATCCAGGCACGAGTCGTGCCGTCTTCCAATTTTACGAGCAACAGGCGATCGCATTCTTGCGTATTCTCAATGACTTGCCCCCCGAGAACCTACCTGACGGTAAGCGCTGGACGAACCTGCCCTTTGCCTATTATTATTTTTTCCGTGCTGATCTTAATCACCCATAACAGTGATTGAGGACTTTTATCGTCTTTCTTCAGATGCAGTTCGGTACTACCCCAAAGAGTGTATTACTTCATCCCTCTCTGTGCCGATCTTCTCCGCAGCCCTTAGCGCCCTTACTTTGCAGCAGATCGACCCTCTTATTGCCACATTACATTACTACCATGACCTGTTTAGCTTCGCTTTCGAAAAGCCCGCAGTGTCCGGATTCACCACCTCTGATGGGGATCCGTATATGAATCCCCCGGAAATTCGCGAGGCAGTCAAGCAGTTAATTGCGTCTCAGGGACAAGTGCTTTCGCAGCGACTTCTAACAGGAATGTTGTTCTCGTTCCCCGCAGAATGTTTCCCAGATGCGTCCGGTGTGCTGATGTCACTCTTCGACTTGATGCCACAGGAGGCCGGGGCTTGGTTTCAATCCACTCTCCAGATGCTGCCAGCGGGTACGATGAAGGCCGGTGAGGCCGAACGGCTACTGAAGGGGATATCTGACAGGGTACAATCGGGCGAAATCCGCAAAATTCGTACTCTTCTACAAGGTAACACTTATCTTACCGTTTTTCTCCCCTTTTTCTTCATCTTTTAATATTGGTTCGTTCCCTCGAGCTAACAACTGCAGACTTTACGAATTCCTATCGGCGACGAAATGTGGCACCTCGAGAAGGGTTGGGCCGGTTGGAGGCCACCCGGTTCCGGTTTAGCGGATAAGTTCTTCATCGACCAGGACTTAACAAGTCACAGACAGCTCAGCTGAGGAGGTCGGGCCTGGGTGATGCTCATCGCCCGCCCTTACTAGCCCCTGTGGCGGATTGGGGGGAAACGCCAATCCATGCAATTTAGTGCACTCCATGGGATCAGCAAGCAATACAGTACACGAAGCGTTGAGAAGCAGCCCCCCGACTAAGAAAAATACAAACCATAGATTGCCCAGTACCTGTATATGACTATATTTAGTTCATGCGGTCCCTTCGCATGACTCATGATGGATGGTTTCGCAGTCACTGGGTCTGGGACAGCGATACAGTCGCAATATCCATTGTAATACATCAGTATAATAGTCAAAATTTATGATTGGAAGATGTAGACAGGGAACAGCATGACAACTTTACACACTCTGTCTCTACTAGTAAAGAGAAGCTCCGGTATCGGGTTCGAGCACATGGCATATCCTAATCATATCCTGAAACGCAACTAGTTAGTAGAAGACCAACTGACCTTATGCATGGGATCTTCCTTCAACCCTGAGATCACCAATGAAAAGCATTGTGTTGACTATGACCGATCATGATCACCAATTAGGTCATCTCCATTGTCATGCTGACCAGTTTGAGGCAAATACACATCACGAATGTTGGGAGTTGTCTCTAGACACTTTCATATTATGATGAACACAACCTTGCCCCTTCAAGTAGTTGGCATTAGTATTCATGATTCATTTCTCCCTAGTGGAAGTCAATAGTCTTGTTTCAGACAGAGCCGCGTCAGTGGTATGCCTTGGGTGAGATCTCCAGATCAACATGCCTGTAATAATGTATACGCTGCATCAAGGGAAGAAAAAATGGCACACGCCTCTGATAATCCCTTCCCAGTGAATCTCACGTGGGTATCACTGTGGTGCAACTCAGTATAGACTCCAGGCCAGTGATCGAAAGATTTCAGCTTGTTAACCTTGGGGAAATGATCATCAGGCTGAGGCTTATGCAGGAGCCAAAAAGCACTCGGCACGAGACCCCTTAACGGAAGTAAACGAGCTAATTCCGAATGCGCAAGCATCTTGTACGGCCTCAACAATTCCCCAGCAGTAGCCTAGGGATGAGCCGGCTCCAGACTAGGCAAGCATACTAACACCAGGTACCCAGTCGGGTGATCATCAGGTCTATCATTTTTTATCGCCCGAGTTCGGGGCGGGTACGCGCTAAATCCGGGAAAGAAGGATAAGCAGGTAGAGCAAATGTAGGCATCCTGGTTGGAGACTAGGTAGAGCATTGCGAGGTGGCTGGTGGACTAGGACTGGGGACGATATTGTGGACTGATTTGGTGCGGCGATCTCATGATGCGTAGGTGTTGGCATTGAGTTGACGGAGGGATGGGTCTGAAGGGCGCTGCTCAATGGCGGTGCTGATGGGGAGATTTGCCTTTCTGCGATCTGTTGCCATTCCCTTTTCTAAGTTTTATTTTAATTTTTATTTAATTTTGCCCTCTCTTCCCGATGTGGACTGACTAGCTAATGAACAGTTCCTATAACGTGGTTCGAGCCGGAGGACAGTACCTGAGAGAGACCGTTTGACAGGTAACTCCGAAAGCCAGGTAAGGGGCACTTGATGCGACTAGATAGTTTGCCTACTATTGTCTGCAAGGACCTTGAGCATGGTACCTGTAACATGGTGTGCTCGTTCATGGGAGTAACGGAAGGTACCAGGGCGCTGGTACGGGCTACGGAGACTTTCGTCAGGACTACTAATTTTGTCACCAATGTCCATATCTGTCAGATGCGGACGGACAATATATATGCATATCAGTTACGTACGTACATCGGATCCTGCCTAATATGTCTTTACCACGGAGACATCTCACTGATCTCCTTATCAGATAGATCATCAGTGGTCCCCATTTGAGCGGAGGGTGGTTCATGCGCTGGGATCATCAGGTACCAGTGAACGATCGTCCTTAGTCAAGAACACCTTTGAGTGTTTCAGATATTTTCGGTTCCCGAATTAATTCTTATACTTACGCTATATTTTTCGAAAAAAAAAATCATATATTGTTGATTATTGTTATAGTGGGATAACCGTCAAAAACAGTAATTTAGGCTGCGGATCTTTGCTAGGTTGCCTTTTTTTTAGGAAGCGAGGGTGCGAGGCTGAAGGAAAAAGCAATATAGGCTCCCAACAAGCCATGTTGTTCTTCTTCCGCGGACCTCAACGCCTAGCCACAATGCTCATGCAGTACTCCTCGAGCATCTGCTTTACTGGCTTTCTTCCATGCATGAGGGGATTTCAGCTTGTAGATCTATACCGGTAATTTTCTTTTCAGCCACAACAACACGCACTAAAGATCATCTGGGAATGCAGATCAACCCCGCCATACAGGCAATCAACAGGCCCACAATGGGAGTTCGAAAGCATTGGTCGCTTGTTTTACTTCTCGAGGAGCGCCACTACGAGGCTAGTGAGCCAGCTTGGCCCAAGTAATTAACGAATAACTGCTATTGTTAGCCCACCAACGAAAGGATGGAACGGGAAGATGGTCCCATCCATGCTCACTTGACCACAATTATCCGCATTAACCGCGTCCATTTCAACTCGATGAGGATTGTTAGTCGCAGGCTGCATGTGTCCCGAAGCAGATCTCAGATGGGTTGGCTGTATGGTAGTGTTTCGTGTCTCAACAGGGTCCATCGATATGTCTCCACCCGGAATGTCAGGCACCGAGTTGTCAATTGAAGGGCTGTCAGTCACAAGGTTCCAAACCCTAATTATCATTTTCAACGCTTCTTCCGACGGAGTGAACTTTTTGGCAGGTTATGCGCAGAATGGTACCTATAGAGTGGCTCTACTATGGTTTTTGTGCTGCACCATAGTTTTTAGAGTAGGGTACAGCACGTCATGTCAGCTGAAAACGACTGCCTCTGACTGGTTGGCTAAGATTCTAGTTGCATTCTGTAATACTTCGGTGCAGTTCTTCTTACATGAATTAATTAAATCCTTGATCGTAATCGATCTTAATCTCAGGATGATCATCCTCTCTACCCTGCACGATCTCCTCGTTACCCGTTTCAACAGACAAAACAAGGCCACCTCTAGTAAACCGGAAAGGATGCGCAAAACCCACGATATCCTCTCGCCTTCCCTTTTGAGAAGTGATTGGCCGGTCAATTGCTTTTTCCTTTGACACTTGGGTGATTTCCCGCGGTTTGATTTACATATCAAAGCCGGGATAGTCGCGAACCTGGAACTTAAAACACGTTCTAGTGCTAGAGGAGAAAAAGAAAAGAAAGCGGAGATGGGGAAAAATTAGCGATGAGGGTTGATATTCATTTTGCTAGGATAGCAGATAGAACCCACTTGATGCATGAAATGCCGACTGACCACGAAAAGAACTGGATAATAATAACACTCTAAAGCCGAAGTATGTGGATACCCCACTTAGAGTCATGGAAATGGTTGTTGTGGCTATCATTATACGAGAGAAAAAATTGATCTGGTTTTTCTTTTTTTTTATTTTCTTTTCTTTTATTTTATTCAATTTCTCTATTTTCCATTAATCATTACTGGATGAGTTAATTGAATCCTTCCGTCGCTGAGTCCTCTATATGAACTCGTCTGTCGCCGCCTGTTTTCTGTTGGGAAGCAGTAGTACTGAGCAGGTACTGTATACGACCGACCGGACTGTTACAGTACAAAAAGTGTACTTTATATATTTCCAATCACCTTCCCCTCTTTTCAAACCTTGTCGCGCGCTCTCTCTCCGCCTTTCAACTTCTCCAATTATTATTCCATATCACTCCTAGCGATCATACCACCACCTCTGCAACTTTTCCTTTTCTCTCTCCCATTTTCGCCTGTGTTTCCGGATTTTCTACCGGCGAAGTTCGATCTGAGATTTCGGTCGGAGTAGAGTTTTCAGCTCGGAGACCATCCTTTTCTCTGTCCAGCCGTCTCGGGAACGCTTCGGCTTTCCGTCCACACGTTTTTCCCCACGGGGTTTTTACTCAACTCGTCCTTGCGCCGCCGCCATCCTTCCCATCTTTACTTCCGGGCAAGAAGGAGAGAACCCTTTGATCTATTCCGTGTCCATGGCAAATTTCCCCTGCTTGTTAACCTCTCCGTGAAACCTTATATCCGCCTCCTTTCCACCCCGGACTCGGGCCGTCATCGCCCGGTCTGATGCCCCGACGTATTCGGTAACTCTCCGTTCTCTGCAGGTCAACGTCTTGTGCGTTTTGGGCGACCGGGAAGTCAAGGAAGCAAGGACGACCGTCAATATTTCGGTCCTTCTCGGTTGGACCGAGTGAAGATGACCTTGGCGGTTGGTACAATCAGTGGTCTAGACCAAGGACCCAAAGGCATCCGCAGAGAACGAGAAGTGGAGATCATGGACAACGATACCATCACTATCAATGGCGCCTCGAAGAAAAGGAAGAGGGTTCGAAAGGTCAACACAGACCGTAAATTCGAATGTACACACGAAGGGTGTGGGAAAAGCTATTCGCGTGCGGAGCATCTATACCGGCATCAGCTGAACCGTAAGTGAGACCCCACACCACACCGGTTATCGAAAGATGACTGATCTCTCTGATGGCTTAGATACGCCCAAGCAAATATATCGATGCGATTTCCCGGATTGCTACCGCTCCTTCGTTCGACAAGACCTCTGCATTCGACACCGTGAACGTCACACCACCCAAGGCTCTCAACTCCAAAAACGCGATCATTTTGCGCAAGCTGCTACCAACCAGCCTCAGAGCCCGCACCATGTACCCCACGTCAGCCAAGCGACTGTCGTCACGCCCCCATCCATACCTACACAAATGTCAAGCGCTCAGTCGAACGGAGTTGTTCCGATATCTCCTTCTTCATCGTCATCTCCCTCTGTCGGCCTGAATTCCGTATTTAGCTACCAGCATCATATACTACCATCGCAGAATGAAAACACTTTCCCCCGGTCAAATAGCTTAAGCACCCATGGGAAAAGTTCTCCTCCAGTACCGAAGAGTTACAGTCCTCCGGCGCTACACAATACGTCGTATGGGACGTTGAGCAACCATCAGCCGACAAATACTCCCATCGGTGAAATCCATCATGACGCACAGTCACACCATGGCCAGACATCCACTACACAACCCCAAGGCGCTGATGGAGCCTACTCCTCATTGCCGACAGACGCCAACGGGTCGTCTCTGGCTGATACTGTACCATTTACCTCCCAGGCTGGTATGCAGATGCCCGTGAATGGTTACTCGGGTCTTTCTCTAGCCCCGGCAACAACTTCTACACCGGCGACACTTGATCAAACAGCCAACATGGGCACTTTTGATGCGATGTCGGGAATGATGGCTCCCGGCTCGACAATTGGAGACCCTGGCTTTGATTCGTTAGCCAACTGTGTCTACCCCATCTTTGGTAGCGAGTCATACAATAGATCCCCTTTTGCAATGGCGGAAGACTTTACGGCGTGGCTTTTTAATGAACCCGTTCCCGGATCGTCGTCCATGAGCTACCCTGCAGCGACTGGTATGGTGCCGAATTACATGGACCCTACGCAACTACAGAATCAATTCTTGTTGGGTGATCCAGCCTATGGGACGTTTTTGAGCGGCGTTATCCCGCCCCATCATCCCATGAGCGTTACCAGCATTCTGGACCCTGGTTCACCCCGCGCGATTATATCGGAGGAAAAGCGGCAGGAACTGCTTCATCTCATGGCGACTCGCTTTAATGAAGCCGCCTACTCGGCAGTGGCCAAGCGCAAAGATGCTCTAATGGATGGTGATATGGACGATGACAATCACGTTTTGAGCTTGCGCATGATGCAGACGTACATTGGATCGTACTGGTATCACTTCCATTCTCAGCTGCCCATCCTGCACCGGCCCACCTTTTTCGCCGATCAGGCGCCAAACCTGCTTCTCCTAATCGTTATAGCCATCGGCGCGTCCACGCTGGACAAGATTCATGGCCCAGAGTTAACCGAAGCGGCATCCGAGCTGGCAGACTTCATTGTGTGGCACCTTAGGTGGGAGCTCTTCATGGACGCTGATTTCCGGCCACCTGCCAAGCTGTGGGTCTTCCAGGCCCTCTTGCTGCTTGAGGTTTACGAAAAGATGTATTCTACTCGAGCGTTACATGAACGAGCCCATATTCACCACGACACCACTCTGACCCTAATGCGTCGCGGCAGCTCTTTGATTGGACGTTCCGCATTCGACTCACCCGCAAGCTTGAGAGACGACCGGCAGGCCCGGTCGGCGTCCTGCTCAACGACGACACAGGACTTCTCCGCGGACGAATCGTGGACGCACTGGATCAAAGCGGAAGCCACCCGGAGAGTGGCGTTTGCCGCTTTTGTCCTCGACTCCACCCATGCCACTATGTTTGGCCACTCGGCTAAGATGGTCGCGCATGAGCTTCGTCTACCTTTGCCCTGCGACGAGGCTTTGTGGTCAGCGACCAGTGCTGCCGAAGTGGCGCGTGTGCAGGCTAGTCTCCATGCTAACGGAGTGAAGCCAGTCATGTTTTTGGATGGCCTCAAACGGACACTTAATGGGCAACGGGTCCGGACCAATGCCTTCGGAAGGACCATTCTCATGGCGGGCCTTCTCAGCGTCAGTTGGCATATGAACCAGCGAGATCTCCAAGTCAGTTCTTTGGGAGTTCCCCAGGCCCTTGGCGGTCGAGATAAATGGCGAGCGGCGCTACTGCGGGCCTTTGATAATTGGCGACGAGATTTCGACGAAGCGTTGGGACAAGCCGGGACACCACCACCTTTCCCAGGGTACCGGGTTCAGCATCCACTCGATGACGACAATGTCTTTGAGTCCCGCGACGTGCTGCACGGCCTGGCTCACATGGCATCGCACGTCGACATTGTCGACTGTCAAATCCTCGGCGGGGCCACCCGACTCATGGGAAGAGCTATCACTGCCAGAGACTATAATGCCGCGCGTGAGAAGATGACTGAGCGATGGGCTACAAAGGCGTCAGCGCGAGACGCGACTTTCTACGCCCTCAAGTTTCTCTCCGAATGTTTGCTGAGCGGCGAGTCGGAGGAAGGGGAACTTTACTCGGGCCGGGATGACTATCTTCTCAACCGGCCGTGGGTGATCTACGTTGCGGCACTGGTTGTCTGGTGCTATGGATACGCTCTGGAAGGTCCGATTCGTTCACCACCGAAGCTGGCCACTGTGGTGGATCAGCGCCGCGACATGCAAGAGTATCTCCGACGGGTGGGAGGCGTGCGCTCACCCAACGACCTGGAAGCCATGGAGGGTCGCAACCGGTGTCTGGGGATGTTGATGATTCTGCGGGATGGATTTGTCAACACGCGATGGGAGCTGTTGGCGGAAGCGGCTAATTTGTTGAGCAGTTGTATTGAGAAGTTGAAGGGCCGATAAGTATTGATTGATACATCGTCCTGGGTTTCTTTTACATATTCGGCTCTTTCCCGTGTAGTTACGGGTTTCAAGGGGGGGGTTGTTCTTTGTTTGGGAGCTGGTTGATATCCTTCTCACTTTGTGTTATGTACATATACTATTATTTTTGGGGGGTCTGTTTATGGGTTATGATTATGCGGTGATACCAATGGGATAAGCGTTGTCTTCTGCATGCTTTGTATGATTCTTGGCGAGTAGCTTTGAGTTTAGAAATGAGTCGGTTCAATGATAACGATCGCAGTAATAGAATCGGGGCTATGAGATGATATACTAGTACCTACTAGTAGTAGTAACTTCGACTACGGAGTCGATGTGGAATGACGTCCCAAATGGGGAAGGGCCTGGTTCCCAATGAGGGAACGGTTACCACAACAACGGACACTCCACTTTCTCCTTTTCTCCATCCCGCCTTTTCAACTCTTATCAACATTCCAGTCCAACCTGTTCCTTGGTAACTCTCTGGTCTTGACGTGCTGGTCAACCGTCAATCCTCCATTGCAACCATCCCTGCCTTCATTCCCCCTCGCAGCAATCCACACAACTCTATACTATTTCCGGAATCTTCCTCGCAATCGCTCCATAACAACAATTCGAAAAGATGGTACGTGGCCCCGTCTGATTGTTGCTCTGCAATCCCTTGGAATACTGGCAAGAGAAACATGGCCAGCGAGGCGAAGGAGGATGCCCAAGAGCTTGCAGGGAGTGGTTGTTTATCTCCTACTGGATCCAGGGCGAGATCTCATTCAGTCCCAATGAATCGATTGGATTGAATTGCCGCCCCTCAACCTCATGCGCATTCCCTGGTTCGCCGTCTTCCGACCCATTCCATCAACAATCTTCCCCTCCTCATTCTCCCCATTACACCTGCATTTTCCATCTCCCTCATCTATCACTCTGTGTCTGGAATCATTTCCTTGGTTGAATCTCACACTTGGCGTTGAAAATGACCGGCTCACATAATAACCACGACGATCAGGCCTCCACCAACTACAAGGAAGCGTTCTCCCTCTTCGACAAGCGCGGCTCCGGCAAGGTCTCCCTAGAGTCCCTTGGTGACCTCCTGCGCGCATGCGGCCAGAATCCCACCCTCGCTGAGATCGCCGATCTGGAGAAGAGCCTCGGCGGAGACTGTATGTCCATCCTTGTCTAGTCGCGATCTTCGCTCATAAGGGAAAATATGATCTAACGAGTGTCATGCGCATAGTCGACTTCGATTCTTTCGTGAAGGTTCTCAACCGTCCGGGCGGCTTCCGCGACCCTGGCGAAGCCGAGGAGTACTGTCGTGGATTCCAGGTGTTCGATAAGGATATGACCGGATTTATCGGGGTCGGTCAGCTTCGATACAGTACGTATTCGGATGGCCGGATGTAGTACAAGATGGCCGAGGTGCTAACCGGGGGCAGTTCTCACGAACTTGGGCGAGAAGATGTCCGATGAAGAAGTCGATGAGCTGCTCAAGGCCGTCGATACCAGTTCGGGTGAGATTAACTACACCGGTAGGTTACAGAATCCCCAGGCGCGGTAGTGGGGACCGAACTAATGCGCGCATATCTAGATCTCGTTCGCACGATCCTGGCCAACTGATGATTGATACACGATACCCTATGTTCTATGATATTATGAGAATCGCTCGAGGGGCGGAGTTGGGCTAAGTTTCAGTTCGTTTGTATTGTATATCGGGTTTATATGATATGGATAGCAATAGCAATGATGGCATAGATATTTGCACAAATTCACTCCAGTCCATATACGCTTTTGGTTTAGTGATGATGCTCGATATGACGTAGAGTGGATAGTGGTACTCCGAAATCACTCCCATGTCAGCCGAGTGTTTTGGGCGACCATGTACATATATCCAACCAACAGAGCAGGACTAGCCCAAACAGATAAACGAGAGACTCCTCTACTAAGCATCGGCTACACTCAACAGCACAGTGATCCCCACACCCCCATCCAGAAGTACAAGTGGCATACCACGCAAAGCTACCTAATCGACAAGGAAGTGTTTCATGCCATGTCATTCTCGCAATTTATGTATTCCATTCAGCGATGTATGTACAAGAAATAATCCTTCATAGCGATACACAAGTAGTTCTCTTAAACTTAAGTGGAGGTAGCTAGCTATTAATTCAGTTAAATTCTACAGACGATTGCCCCGCTCAATGTGTTTATATATAGTCCAGTAGAAATGGTCCAAAGGACAAAACGAGGTAATACAAACTGTCTTAGGAATTAAGATATTATGCTCTCTGCTATACAAACTTCACAGGAAGGACAGAATAATACTAAATATTTTTACTTTTCCTTTTTCCTTTTTTTTTTTTTTAAAAAAAAAAATGACAAACACTGATAGTAGCAACACTATGTATCAGGCAAGATTCAAGACACTAATATGTATACTAACCCCTGCAAGCCAAGACAACAACACAAACAATACCACAAGACTCACTAACTACAAAGACCCAAGCATATTATTCCGACAATCCCTCCCTCCAGTGAGCTAAAATTGCAGTGTGGGAACGGAAGGCTTGAGGACGAAAAAGTGATGGCTCAGCCATCAGGTGATGAATCTAGACGAATCTCTAGGCTCTCTCCCAGCGCCTAAAAGTGTAGTGCAGTCAGTAGTGTGTGTGGTACGCATAAACACGTGCATAAGATCTGACAATAAATTCCAGTAAGTGTGGCTGAGCTACTGCACATATTATTGTAGATAAAAGCCTTTGGCCAACTTCTCCCATTGTCTAAAAGTGCAGTGTATGTTTCATGGCCAACTTCTCCTAGTGGTCTAAGATTATGGTGTATATGTGCTGTTACCTTTGACCATCCACTCCAGGCCCTCAAAACATGTAGTACGTGCTTGTGCGGAATGAAATATATATGGGTGGATCCTGACTACCCTCTCTGAGAGCCTAGAAAGTGTATTACAGCTTGAGACATGCTAGTAAGAAACGCTGGTCAGACATGTCGGAGGAACAGGCAGTGCTAACTTTTGTGCGAACTGCAATGAATCTACAAGTGTGATAGAAATGTCCTACATCTATTAGGGTAAGTATGGACACCTCAGTATCCTCTTTTAGGGCCTAAAACTACAGTGGAGATATTTATTAGGGCTGTATTAACTTAACCTCAACAAGTCTAGAAGTATGAGAGAACTGATCTATATCCGGTAGTGTGTATAGGGACTTCTGAACATCATCTCTTCGAAACTAGAGATACTGTGCTAGAAAAAAAAAGTATTTCAATAGCGTGACAGACTTGCCCAATTAGGATAAACATGCGATTGATTCTGCCATCTTCTCCAGGGCTCTAAGAATGCAGTGCCGCCCGTCTTCACGAATCAAAACCTTTGTCTATCGAGTCTCGACATCCTGATTCTTACTATCCTCCCCAGAGCGCTAAAATTGCAGTGCAGGAGCCGCATCTTTGCACTGAAAGTGTGGCAGTGCCACGCTGTATCTATTTAGTACTAGTAGATTGGTTATTTTGGGCCATTCTTTGCAGGGACCTACATGCAGTGCTTCTTTACCTGGAGAGATTCTGGACGCTTGGGTTATCCTTCTGGTATAGGACTTGTTGGTCTTGGTCTTGATCTTGTATTTCGAAGCTGTGTCGTTTAGATCTGTTAGTTTATTGGGTTAGGGTTTGGTGAATTGTGCTTGACGTTTTTCTGCCTGATAATGCTAGGTATGAAGTATAGTTCTCTAGTGTATCTTGGACAGTCGGAGAATTATACAAAAACCAGAGATACAAACTATACACCAGAAGTACATTGAACACTCAAGGGCGTAGATATGAGGAATACTGAACCTGATGGTCTATACAAAAAAGCAAGCAGTGTTCCCAGTGACAAGGCAATATTCACGATATAATAAACAGTACCCAGACTCCATATACCACAAACCAACCAAGATAACACCCCTAAGTTCAATATACACACATCCATTCATTAACCAGTATAATACAACACACACATAAAGATACATCCTAAGCCTCCGCGCTCCACCCCCTCCATTCATCGTCAACGCCCTTCAATGCCGCTTCATCCCCCATAGCCCCCGTCTCTACCAATGCCCCCGGAAGCAAGTAAACGACCTTCTCCTTCCTTTCCCCTTCCTCCCCATCACCTCCAGAAGCAGGAGCAGCAACAGAAGTCATCGGAAAAAGCACCCCATCCAAGAAATACCCGACAACAACCCGGCACCGTCCACACCGCAGGAACAATCTCTTCTCGAAGCCATCCTCGCGCCGGACGAGCGTCGCCTTGCGATCTGGTACCGTTGTCGAAAGGAGGATGCTGTAGTGTTCTTGTCCTGGGTCCTCGGAGGTGTCTGATGTCGGGAGGGGGAGGATGATGGCTTTGTCTTTGGCGGGGTCTTTGCGGCGCGGGAGGGAGGCCATGTCGCGGGTTGTTGCTAGGAGGAGGTGGTTGCAGAAGCGGCAGTGGTGGGTGTGCACTGGGAGACGGTTCTGTATTGTGGGTTGTTCTTGTTGGAGGGATTGGTCTTGAGTTGGTGATTGGGGGTCCGGGGTGGACATTTTTGGGTTCTTGGTGATGGTTGTGGTGTTGGACTTTCTGGTTGGGCTTTTGTTAGGCTCTCTTGATGTGGGCTCTTGTTGATTGAGTGAGTGAATTGGTTGTGGTGTTCGTTTGAGGTGACTGTAGCGTTGGAGTGGAGGTGTTGGTGGAAGCTGAAGAAGAGCTTTTGGGGGGCCTTATCGATAAGATTGATTGGCGCGGCGGAGTCGACAATTTATACTATCTATCTATCTTGACATATATTGATTCTACAAGAATTTCCAGATCGTTTCTTCTTCATTTGAACTTAATTATATTCACCGAATCATTTATATAGTGGTAGGTATATATATTAATCCTAAGCCAAGCCCATATCCTTGTAGAATGCATCGGTCTTGGGCTCGCGGCCCAAGAATTCCGTCAAGCTCGTCATTTCATCCTGGCTGCCTCCCTTCTCCAGGACCTGGTGGCGGTAGCGTCGGCCGGCGGCCGGGTTCATCGGGTCAGCCTTGAAGACGGTGTAGAACATATCGGTGGAGTAAACTTGGGAGCTGTTACATGATTAGCAAGAATATCAAGGGCACGGGAAAGAATAAAGCAAGCGTACCTCAAGTATCCATAGTAACCGGCATCATAGCCACCAATCAAGTGTCCGAAAGTCGCCTCGCCATGTCCCCATTCGTCACCCAGACCCAAGCTCTCCGGTCCGTCCATCTGAGTGATCTGCTTGCGCAGCTGGTTGTAGGTGGCCGAGATCGGCAGCTTCTCAATGTGCTCGTGGCTTTTGGGCTCGTGAACCGTCATGTCGAAGATACCAAAGTGCAGCTGGCGCAGGTTGAACAGTGCGTCGTTGACATGTTTCGTCCGGATCAGGTTCTCAATCACCTCGTCGGGGATCTGCTCGGCCGGCACAGGCTTGTCACCGGCCTGTTCCTTCCAGGAGGCGAGATACTCGGGTGAGAGCGTCGAGTAGTGCTTGCTGAGCGACTTGAGCTGCGATGGGGTCCAGCACCAGTTCTCCAGCATCTGACTGGGGGCCTCGACGAAGTCTCGCACGGTGTTGGTTCCGTGGAACCGAGAGTAAATGGTCTTGGCCACGAGGTCGTGGATACCATGGCCCAGCTCATGGAACAATGTTACAACTTCGTCGTGCTTGAGCAGACTGGGTTTCTTCGGTGTCGGCTTAGTGAAGTTGCACACAAGGGCGGTGGCCGGATACCGGCGCTTGCCGTCCTTGTCGATAAAACCGGGCTGGAGGTTGAAGTTGGCCGCGTGGCCGTATTTGCCGCTCCGAGGGAAAAGATCCAGGTAGAGATAGCCAACAAATCCACTACCCTCGCCCTCGTCGTTCCAGACGCTGAAAATCTGCACATCCTCGTGCCAGACAATGTCACTTCCCTTACCGGAGGGAGCTACCTTAGCCCGGTCATCGCCGGTGATCTCTACGAACACCAGGCCGAACAATTCCTCGAAGATCTTCAACATGCCATCAATGGTAGTCTGAAGAGGGAAGTACTCAGCAATCTGCTGCTGGTCCAGAGAGTAGTCCTTCTCGAGCATCAAGCGATCGTAGAACCGGTGGTCCCACAGATAGTACTTGCCGTCAAAGGACTCGCCACGAGCTTCAATATCGTTCTTCTTCAACTCCAGCAGACTCTTGATCTCCTTCTGGCCACCGGCTGTCAGGCGACTCCGCAGATCTCCCAAGAAGGTGTCAACTGTCTCTGGTGTCTTGGCCATCTTATCCTCAATTCGGAATGCTGCATGGTTCGGATATCCCAAAAGCCGAGCAGCCTCGTCGCGCAGGATAATGGCTTCCCGGAAGAGAGGTACGTTCTGGTTGCACTTGTTCTCGTTCTGGATCATCACCTGCTTGCGAGTTTCGGGGTTCTTGGCATACTTCATAGTCGGGAAAAGGTCCGGATACTTAAAGGTCAGCCAGAGCTTGCCCGCATTCTCTCCCTCGCCCTTCTTCAAACCTGACAGCACGTCCTCCGGCACACCGTCCAGTTCTTCGGAGGTAAACCAGAGACCCTCGTTCTCTTCATTCAAGTTCTTCTGGAACTCAATGCTGATCTGACTCAGGCGCTTCTTGATCTCCTTGAAGCGGTCCCGCTTCGGCCCAGCGGGAAGGCCCAGCCCATTACGAATGTAACTCTTGTGCTCCTTCTCTAAGAGGCGACGGGACTCGGGGTCAAGAGATTCGTTCTTGTTTAGCACGGCATCCACAAGCTTGAAGACATCCTCGCGCATGACCGTTTCGATGAAGAATTCGTCCAGCTCCGCCTCGGCCTTGGACGAAGCATCGCGCAACTGCTGTTCGGTCGAGACTGCCTGGTAGAAGCTGAGGATGTGGGCTTCCAGCGCCATAGTGTTCTCGTCATGGGCCAACGGCTTGAGCACTGAATCGAATGTAGCCGTCTCAGGCTTCGCATTGGCGACAACGTCATCCTGGACCTTGCGGGATGCCTCGATGAGGCGCTTGGCATCGTCAACGATTGACTGAGCGGTTGCGGTGAAAACCGGCGGGGCCTGAGGTGGGCGGCGGTAGTGTTCTGGAGCCATGCTCGCGGTGGTGAGGGATTTGCGGAGGTTCGTCAGTGCCGTAGGGGATACTGTAGGTGTAGTCAGTCGTGAGCCACGGAGATGGCCCAATACTGAGGAGAGTCTGAAAGTGGGGGATGAGAGGCGGAGCGGAGGAGCCACGGTGATGAGAAGGACGCCCACAAACAGGACGAGGGCGTGTAGAAAAACGGAGCGAAGGGCTGGAATGGTGGGAGGGGTAGAAATTGGAGAGGTGGGGTAAGAAGAATTGATTCAAGCAGAAGAATACGTGGCTTTGCAGTGGTGATGCAGAGATGATGGTGACCTGCAGTCTATGGTTGTATTTACTACTTGGTCACTGGAGTTGGACCCGCGCTAACGGCAAGCTAAGTAAAACTGTGGAGCTAGTGCGATGCCATGTGACTTTTCCCACCCACCGCAAAATTGACATTCGACTTGGAACAAGTGGTTCGTTTGTTTGTACTCTAGGAATATAATAGAAGGATGGTCCTACGAAAGTCTACGGTATGTGCTCAAAATATAACAGGTGGATATCATCATCTATTTTCATTGAACAAATATGTTTTGACCCTTTCGCTTTTATAAAGGATGCGAACAAAAACTCGAATCAATCAAGTCTCCTGCCATCTTGCTGCTGAACCCAAACCCAACTCCGAACCCCATACAATTAAGTGTCGTATAATGAACGCCCATGGTGCTAAATAAGGACATGACCCGTGGAGAAAAAAGAATGCAATATCAAGACAATCGTACATCACAGGATAGTGGATAAATAGCCACTTCATGCTGCATCAGCAGTGGGAATAGGTTCGGGGATCTTCGTAACCTGTTCACCAGCGCGGATGACCCGCTGACCGGTGCTATCACGGACGTAGTCGGTGCTCTCCTTCTGAGAGCGCTTCCAGATCTCAACTTCACAGCCACCACGGATAACACCAACCCGCATGGTCGACAGCAGGTTGTGCGCAGCGTTCGAGTGATAGTAAACACCTCCGTTGAACATGGCAGTGGCATCCTTGCCGATACCTGAGTTGATCATAGCTTTGCCACCGGGGTGATCCTTGATGAAGTCAGTCACATCGTGAACAACACCGGCGATGGCAATAAGACCACGTCCATTCTTGGCCTGCTCGACGTAGTCGTCCCACTCCATGACAGGGAGCTGGTCGAGAGGGACACCCCAGTCCAACTTGGCACGCTTCTGGTCGATCTTCTTCTGGAGTTGCTGAACACGGCCCTTCTCGATCTCATTGGCACGGAATTGCTTGAGATCATAAGCGAGGCCGAGCTGCTTCCAGATCCAGATGCTCCACTTGGTGGGATCATATTGGTGCCATTCAATAGCATTACGGTAGTCGGAGGGGAATTCGTGGTGGAAGTTGTGGTATCCCTCGCCAAGGGTGACGATGGCAGTGATGACGTGATCACGAGGAGAGTTGCGGTCATCAAATGGCTGGTCACCGAGCCAGTGAGCCAAAGAGTTGACGCAGAAAGTTGCCTGCTGGACGAAGAAGATGCGGAGAATACCAGCATAGACGAAGCCGCCCCACCAGTCACCCCAGCCTAGACCAGCCACGAGCATGGGCATAAACAGACCCATGGCAAAGACGACCTTGAGGTAGTTCCGGTGTTGCCACACAACGACGGGGTCTTCGTTCAGGTCGGAAATATCGGTACGGCCAATACGCTTGGGGTTCTGCTTCATCACCATCCAGCCAAGGTGGGAGTAGAGCAAGCCCTTGCGGACTGAGTAGGGATCCTTGTCGGTGTCGGTATAACGGTGGTGAGCGCGGTGGTCACGAGCCCACCAACGGATAGAGCCTTCCACGGCACCACCGCCAACAGCAGCGAGCCAGATACGGAGGGGAAGACGAGCGGAATAGGAGCAGTGAGCCCACAAACGATGGTATCCTGTGTCGAGAAACTGTTAACCCGCTGTATCTTGAATGGATACTCCTGCGAGTCGGGGCAAAACCTACCTGCGGTGATACCCAATCCGGTGAAGAAGTAGTAGATGACCGCCCAGATGGCAGTCTTGAGCTGCAGAGGCACCCAGAGAGCCTGGACACATCCATATACGGGAATGCCGATGATAAGGAACACGTTCAGCCAGTTGACATGCTTGTGCCAGTTGCTCCGTGTGATGGCAGTGTCGGCAATGTGAACCTTCTTAATGTCACCAGCACGAGGCTGGGTAGCGTCTGCCGTCTTTGCAGACATGATGTCGGTGCTTTTCGTCGTCTCTTAGACCTCCAATATGCCCGAACCCAAGACGAAGAAACTGTCGACAGTGACGGATGCCCTCGTGATAGGTGAAAGGGTTAGGGTGGTGAGGTGGAGAGAAGAGGACTATTTAAACGGAGGCGAGAGATCCGAGGAAGAAAAGTGATGGAAACAAAAACGGGTGGGGAAGCTCCGGTAGGAGGCGAAACAAGACAAGGCGAATGAGTAAAAAAATTCGGGAGATCTGTACTTGCACACCCCAAGGGGTTCCACCGGTGGATGATGGTTGGGGAAAACAGAGGAAATGCAAGGCCGGGCAATAATGATGCTATGCTGAGCGATCAACCGGAACGAGGGAAGAAGGAGGAAAAGAGTGGCCTGACAGGACACTTTTATCATTCACACCTCACTGGTAAATCAATTGATCATAAGATTCCGAGGTTCACAACTGCGTTCAGCATTCAACAAAGCCGAACCTCCAGCATTGCTGATGTCTATGTAAGGACACCAGGGACGAGGCCGAATATCCAATTGCCCTACCAGTAAGCTTGTTGGGCCGCTTGTGATTCGATGGCGAGCGCCGGCCAGGCTCTGCTGTTTCGGGTTAGTCCGGTTGTTTTGGGCCAATCACTACCGATTCGCCATCTGTTGAATCCCCAACAATTTTCACATTTTTGCAGGCGGTCAGACATAGGACGGATCTGATTGGTCCCATCGCGGAGAACGACAACTAAATTCATTGAATCTCACCTCACATCAACGGCTGCATTCTCCGCAGAAAGTCTTCCCGAACTGCGATTACAATATCCGAACCTTTAAGTTGACAATGTGACAGCAGCCACCAAAAGGATTTTCACCCTCACGGTCATTTAGGGTAGTAAGACCGCAGTAATTACAATTGACGGAATATAACTGGAGAAGCGGAGGCCCCAGGATATCACCCAGCTGGAGCATATACTAGTATACATAGTATATTTCAAATCAGTATATCCGATGCAGCCCGACGGAGGTGTTCTTTTCTTGCCACTTTGTGGTGGCGACGTACCTGTTTCAATGAAAATTTTGATTTTTTTAGTACCGGGATCTTCCACACACCACGCCTTCGTAAACTCACAGGGCAACTTTCCGGCAATTAGTAGGCCTGAGAGTTATTGAAAACAATTTTGGTCGCCAATCCTAGATGGAGATGTTCTGGTGAAGGATGAGTCCAAAATATCCCCGTCATTCTTTGCTGTACGGAGTATGTATAGTGCGGGTTTAACACGTTTTAAGCTATTTACTATATTCACTTATTGAAGAATCTAGAGCTGTCTAGCCCCGGTAGAATGGGACGACTATGGTAGTTACCTTGTAAGGCTTGCACTATCGTGTTGTGGCTATTCAGAGATGAGACTGCGTCGAGTAGACGGGTCGACACTTAAGGTAGCTATCATGGCGGCATACGACCCCCGATCGATACCAAAATCACTGCTGCCATATCTGGGGAGATAGCAATCATCGATGTTCTCCATAGTTCCATATGGTAGTGTCTCATACCAGGCGTCGAGGTTCCTGCAGTAGCACACTATGCTCCCTCAATCAAGGTACCACAGTATGTACATACTACTAGTACGTACATTGTACTCTGGAGGACCACGAACATATACTCCACAATAATATGGGGACTGGTCCCAGCACTAACAACCGTTATTCGCATCAAGGTTGAATATTGAAGCGCTACTCCGTAGACTAGTTATGGCTATCCCTTAGTCAAACCTCTCAGTCACACAGCTGATAACTACTATTTAGCAACATTTATTCTCGAAAAAACAGCGGTTAATTCCCCACTTGATCCAACACCGATGTAACAGTCCAAAAATGGCCCGTAATCACCTAATATGGTAAGGCGTAATCTGCGTAGTCATCCGCGCCCCGAGTTAGTTAACTCAGTGAAAACATCATCCCAAGACCTTTGCTTGTATTGAAGGGATAATGTCTATTCCAGGTCGACATCTCGACGGTGACCAGTTCGGCTGTTTGCTATCAGCTCCCCCGGATTTTAGAGGAATTCGGCGGTACCCGTCATGGTCACTGATAAGCAGGTTGGCCTTCGCGTTCTCAGAATGGTTCAAGAGGCTGTCCTTATCTCGACTCCACTGGTGAAGCCAAGGATATACGCACGGGCCAAGGTCTTGGGATTGGGTGTTTCGAGATACTGACTGCACTGTCATGGACTGCGGTTCTGGCAGCTTTGCATTGATTACAGCTGATCATAGTCAACAGGTTTATTATTTCTAACTTTTATGGTTTTTATTTTGTGAAAGGGGGGGAAGGGAGGGAAAGGGAGAGGGAGGAAACAGAAAGTGGCTGATGCTAGGTAAAGACAACAAGACAAAAAGCTGATTGATGCAGGGATCGGTGTATCTGGGCGTAAGACTGTGTTCAGCTGCCAGCACAGGGGCCAACTGATCGTTAGAATGTAGTTTGTAATTCAATGTAATCCTTTGGTTCAATCACTAACTCTAGGACTTTACTAATAATGCGATTGTCAACCCACATCATTGTCAATGAAGATGTCGCTCCGCTACTTTGAAGCAGCGAACATCTCTCATTGGACTGCCTCTCATGTACATTTTGACTTTAATCGTTTGCATCACTGTTTGTCTCAGAAGCTGAAGCCGGAATGACTCGCGTCCATCGCCGCGGTCTCTCCGAGTTCTCCCTTGTTATGGGTGCCAAGGGACTAACCCTCAAATTAGAGTTATCCTTGATAGATAACCAACTTAATTTATTAAATAAATTATTCGATTCATTGACGCATCGTGCTCGTCACTTATCGATAATCCGTATCGCTTCGTTCTCGGAAATTTGCAAAATCTGATCGGGCTTCCCCAGAGATGCTGTAGTCTACATCTCACTATCAGGCAGGTCCTTTGAGCGCGCTTGGAAACATAAACCTCGTGTTTCCCCGCGATCTTGATTCGAGATAATCAGTTTCGATCGTCCATCATACCCTGGTTCACGAGCCTTCTCCCCGCGGTCGTGCGTTATACGGAAGCGAACCCTACCTATCTGCGGAAACTTTCCTCGATCGTGATCATAAACGTGGCTCGACAGAAAAGAGATATCAGTTATCCAGCCGCGAAACATATCCAAAGCTCGCCAACATGGATGGACCAGATCAGATTGGTCCTGACCTGCGCCCCAAGCGAACTTGGGCCGATAAAGGCCGTCGAATTGTCAAAACCTTCACCACGAGGTACATTATTACTGTCGGGCGCCTATATAACTTCAACATAGAGCTAATCGATTTATCCACAGGGATGGTTTAATAGGAGACTACGATTATGCATACCTTTTCACACCCAGAATCCCTTTCATGAAGCAAACGAGGCGATCGGCACCGTTTTTTGGACTCGAGGATCGAGTACCAGTTTTTCTGGCTCTTCTTCTGGGCTTACAACATTCCCTAGCAATGTTGGCTGGAGGTTGGCATATCGTCCCATTATGATTCGGGGGGTGGAACACTAACTTCTTCAGTTATCTCGCCGCCAATCCTCTTGGGTGGTTCTTCCGGTGCCAACTTTGGAGATGAAGACTACCAATACCTAGTGTCGACCTCTCTGATCGTATCTGGGATACTGTCTGCCCTTCAAATGACCCGCATTCACATCTATAAAACGCCATACTCGATGGGCACGGGTCTGATCTCAGTCGTGGGTACCTCGTTCGCGATTATTACCGTAGCATCGGGAACTTTTACTCAAATGTATTCGTCTGGATACTGTCCTGTTGATGCCCAGGGTAACCGTCTACCTTGTCCGAAGGGCTATGGAGCTCTTCTCGGTACCTCCTGTCTATGCTCTTTACTCGAAATCGGCCTTTCATTCATAAGCTCCAAGGTCTTGAAACGCGTCTTCCCAGCCCTGGTTACTGGACCAACTGTCCTCCTGATCGGAGCATCTCTCATTGAAAGCGGCATGAAAGACTGGGCAGGAGGCTCAGGCGGCTGTGGCAGCGACCCCTCCGCCCGTGCCCTATGCCCCAGTGCAGATGCACCGCACGCTCTACCCTGGGGTAGTGCAGAGTTCATCGGTCTCGGATTCCTGGTCTTTGTGACCATTATTCTGTGCGAAAGATTCGGCTCCCCCATCATGAAATCCTGTGCCGTCGTCATCGGTTTGCTGGTTGGATGCATTGTGGCGGCAGCATGTGGCTACTTCGACCGCTCAGGCATTGATGCAGCCCCAGTAGCGTCCTTCATCTGGGTCCGGACATTCCCCTTAACGATATACCCACCACTCATCCTCCCCTTACTAGCAGTCTACGTCGTGATCATGATGGAATCAATCGGCGATATCACAGCCACATGCGACGTTTCTCAAGTGGAAGTGGAGGGCCCCAACTTCGATTCACGCATTAGAGGCGGCGTCCTGGGCAACGGTATCACCTGTCTGCTCGCAGGCCTATGCACCATCACACCCATGTCTGTGTTCGCCCAAAACAACGGCGTCATCGCTCTGACGAAATGCGCAAACCGCAAGGCTGGATACTGCTGCTGCTTCTTCCTCGTCATCATGGGCATCTTTGCCAAGTTCGCTGCCGCGCTTGTCGCCATCCCCAGCTCTGTCCTCGGTGGCATGACTACCTTCCTCTTCTCGTCCGTCGCTATCTCCGGTATCCGTATCATTTCCACCATCCCCTTCACACGTCGCAACCGTTTCATCCTCACGGCCTCTTTCGCCGTCGGGATGGCTGCCACGTTGGTGCCGGACTGGTTCCAATATTTCTTCACCTACAGCGGTGATAACCACGCCCTGCAGGGGCTTCTGGATGCTGTGGTGCTCGTTATGACCAACGGGTTCGCAGTCACCGCTGTGCTGGGGTTGATTCTCAACCTTCTTATCCCGGAAGACCCAGAGGAAGAGGCAGCCATCGTGGAGGCCAGGGGTAGCGAGGTCCGGAGTGAGAGCGAAGAGACGAAGGACACTTCGGAGTCCCCGCACTACAAGGTCACTGAGGCTGGTCCGGCTACTATATAATAATGGTTTTGGTTTTCTGCTAGTATATAACGACCCTTGAGAGGGTCTAATGAAAGGATACCCTGTTGAGTAGTGACTCACATCAACTACAATTCGAATATTGTTTCACTTCCAAGTTAGTACGTATTCGTAAATATACACATTGTAAATGAAATCGTCCAGCACATAAAAGAAAGGCCACCATCTAAAATTACCCAGTCTTAGACATTTATACAAGTAAAAGTCCAAACCTAAACCCCCTCCACCTTCTCCCCAGGCTTCAACATCTTAATATAACAATGCTCCCCGGTCTCCAGCACCTCGATCCCATCCCCAACAGACACCCTAAACTCTACGCAAATCAGCCTAAGACCCCAAAACCAATTACGCCAGCCTAACCACAAAAGCACCCCAAACCAACCAAAAGAAAGAAAACAAAGGAAACATACCTCTAACAGCAGGAACAACTTGCATCCCCAGCGCAGCATTGGTCAGATCGCCAGGGTCAATCCTCCTCCACCTCTTTAGCGACCGATCCGGCTCCACAGGATGCCTAACCCCAGTATCAGGGTCCACGTTGGGCAACTTACACCGAATAGTCCGACAAGCAGTGTAGACTTCCACACCCCCAGAGCCAGAGCCAGAATCATAGATTCTCACCCTCTTCCAATGATCCTCCTCATAAGCCCCCGGTCCTTGGACGATGATGTTCGCCCGAAAGCGACGGATACTTAGCTCGGGGATATCGGCCGCGCATTTACCCGCTATATCTCGCACGCTGGCTATGTTGAGGAGATGGATGGGGTATGCGTCCGCGAAGCCCGTCACCGGCTGAAACCCGAGGTGCTCTTTGCGGGGCGCGTTGCGGAAGATTTCTCTGTGGTAGGATGGGTTTACCCTGAAGAGCGTCAGGGGGCCGCGGGTACGGTCAGGGTCCAGGAAATGGTGCAGTGAGGGCGGGAGATGGCAGCCATAGTCGTGGGCCAGGGGGGAGTCTTTCCAGATTTTGACCGGGGTGGAGGGATACGTCGACCTGGAACCTGCGTCTTGTGGAGGGGAGAAAGGGACTCGGAAGGATAGTTCCTTCGAGAGGAGGCCTAGCATTATGCCCAGTCTCACTGGGAGCGAGAGCATACCGGCCGAGACTCGTGGGTAATGGATTACCAGGACGCCTTGGGATCGCACTTCCTGGAGCTCCGGGGAGTAGTCGTCGGCGGTGGGGTCGGGGACCCAGATCTCGGGTCTGATGAGAGCCATTCTGCAGAGTGAGCCGTCGCGGAGCGTCCTTGCTGTCCAGTGGGCTTGCTCAGACTGGTTGTTGCTGGCTTTGGGGGTGATGTACTCGGCGAAGCAGAATTGCCGGTCGTAGGTGAAGCCTGTTGGGACGACATCGGCTGTGTCCAGCTCGATGCCGGCGCAGCTTTTGATCGGGTATGCGAAGAGCGCTTTTATGCGCCATGAGGGCTGGTCTTCCGGGCCTGTGTGCTTGTCGGGCACGCCTTGGCTGTATATGGGGTCGTATTCATCGTGCAGGTTGGTTTGGTGGTGTGAGAGACCTAGCTTGCGACAACCTTTGGGATGGGTGTTTGTGTAGTCGTAGTATTTACGAGAAATTAAGAATATGAGTATAGGAATGAGCGGGAGCCAGGTAATGGCTAGAGATGAGAAAGTGTTCATAGCATAGTGGCGCACGGTGTTGAAGCCGAGTATGGGCTCAGTGTGATTCAGCATTGAAGCACGAGTCTGCGATGTGAAAAGACAACTCGTATACCTTATGATGTCACATAAAGAAAGTATACAAGTCGACGATAAGCTTTAAAGTTAACTACGTGGGACAAGAATAACGCCCGTATATCAGACGCTGAGGAAAAATGACGATCTACGGAGATTAGATTTAATCATATTAAACTCCGACGTGAACCAATCCGAATCGGCAATTCCTCATTAATAAACCTCGCAGTCAACACCCACCAGCATCGGTAGTTGCTGGACTCAGGATCCCCACAGCGAAGCTGGAGCATACTGCGACACCAAAATGAGAGGTCGACAGTATTGTAGTGTTCCGAAGCGCGCAACTATCACCATTTGATCCCAACAGGCCTGACGCGCCGGGTTCGCGTCTGCCGTCACCATGAACCAGCAGGATTATCTCTGTCTTTCCACTCAGGAGCCTCGTAAGTCCTTGCAAACCCATTAGGAAACGATTGATAAATTACTCATACGTGCAGATCGCGTTGTCTCCTTTCCTGCGTCGCAGTCTCTGCACGCGTCTGCCGCGTCTGCCTCCAGCGCTATATCGACGGGTATTCCTCAATTAGATGAAGCGATCTGCCCGCCTTCCCCGGAGGATGTACCGGGACGTACCTGTGATATAGACTCCAATGGAGTACCATGTGGACATGTCACTGAGGTATTCGGCCCCCCTGGGGCTGGGAAAACATCACTGGCGTAAGGTCCCATCTCTACCTGTCGCATATTGCTTATGATCTAACAATACATCCGTAGTCTGAGCGTTGTCACATCGGCCCTGCGGAATGGGGACAAAGTGATCTGGATCGGTATGAAGCCAAACTCCACTGAAAACTGGCTCTAACATTCCCAGATACGGGATCTCCACTCCCAAAAGTACGCCTGGCAAGCATGCTGAAAAAGTCCTCTGATGCCACATCTTCTAATGCACCAAAAGACCCTATCAAGAATTTGATCTACTTCCATGCAAGGTCGCTACCTCATCTGCTAGCTCTCCTCATCCGCCCACCCAAGGGCTTCCCCCCAGAAGATGCGAAGCTTCTCGTCATCGACTCTGTATCAGGGCTATTCCCATCATATTTTCCTAATCCATCTGAGTTGAAATCCCGTCTACCCCAGTCTGGAATCACAGACAAGACGCAGATCCACTGGCTGATGAACCGCAAATGGAATGTCACAAGCGACCTGGGCAACCAACTCGTGAAACTAGCAGCTACACATAGCTTAGCCGTACTTCTAGTCAACCAGACACATACCCGAATCAGAGGCCAACCGCGCGCAACTCTGTGTCCGGTTATCGCGGGCGGAACATGGGAGAATAGTGTCCATACGAGAGTTGCCATTTTTCGGGACTTTCTGCCCGAGGACGAGGGAGATTCCAAGAGTATTCGATTCGCGGAGGTAATGAAGAGAGCAGGAAAGACTTTGTCTTTAAGATTGGACGAGAATATCGTACCATTCAAGATTGAGACGGTAGGCCTGGATCATTTTTCGTGCAGCAGCACTCACAGATGACTCACATTAGTGAATAGGACGGTTTACGTGGGATCGACAAGACGCCGCCTCCGATGATCCTGCCTCAAGAGCCAGTTGAAACGAGCTTATCGGCTAGCCAACGAAAACGCAAAGTCGATGAGATTGCAGATAGCCAGGATGAAGATTCCGACGAAGAATTCGGCTGGGTTGAGGGCGACGATGCTGGTTTGAGTGACGGCGCTAAATGAGGTTTACATTGCATTGGTGTTATGGTCATATTAACATGAAGACGAAGGGCTGTAATGGACTAAAGTCGTAATGGGTATAAACAAAAAAATAAAATAGAGATGTACAATAAAAAACTAGATAATTCCCTCGGAAGGGCGACGTTGAACCAAATCCGACACCTTCATCGTGAATTTCTTATCCGGACATCCCTCGTTCTGTAATATATGTGGTCGTTTCGTCCCGTCTTGAACAACGCGAGAGAAGTTGATACTATCCAACAGACCAGACGATGATGCCGGTGCAGTCAGGCTAGATTCATCCTGTAAGGAATACAACTGTACGTCATTACCCAATGTACCCGGACGCCTGTGTCCATGAACCATATCGACCAGTTTCCCGAGCACGGCAAACTCCAACTTAAGTTTGATGCTGTAAATGACACCCTTGAGCGTGATCTGAATAGCGTAGAAGTTGGCATATTCCAATGCAAGAAGGGCTAGGTCCATCACAAGAATGGCAACGTTGATTCCGACTAACTGGCGCATTATTCTTCGGTTTTGTCGGCTTGAACCTAACCGAAGCAGTTTGGTCGTCTCCCAGATATAGAGCCCCGAGATTATCACTTCTTGTACGGTGAAACCGGTCATCTGGATTTTTTCCATGATATTATATCCTTTGACGAATCGAGGTGATCGATCGGGGACGTTGGAACCATACGTCAAGACAGAGGTAGGGATATGCAAAAGAAAGAAATTTGCTATGATCATGCACAGCACACGGCGAAGAATGTACTCATCGCGGATGACAAGATGTAGCCGTGAATAGAGAACAAAAGACTGACCGGTCACCATTGTCCACCAGCCGACGGTAAGCAACGTAACAGACAAGAAAGAACTGGCATGTGTGAAGAACTTCAGCATGAAGCCGAGTGAGTATGGAACTACCCCCAAGCAGCCCGAAAGTAGCAAGCTCCAGAAGTATAGACCTGTCCAGCGACGGAATGTCGATAGCACAAGGATTGCCAACTCAATTACGTTGTAGATGGAGATGGAGATGAAAAAGAGAAGGGTCGCTTTGAGCCCATATCGAGCGCCCGCAAGCTCACCGGAAATGCCATCAAGGTGGCTCACAATATTTGACATGATGCGGTGGTATATGGTGGTGGTGATGATCTGACGATCTGGACTGGTAGAAATGTGGAGAGGCTACCACTGGCTTTTTTCCTCTTGCTTTTCTTTTTCTTTTCTCTTTATTTTTTTATTTGATTTATTTTATTTTTTCTTCCCTTGTCCTTGGCCAAGAAATGTTATACGTCAGACCAACAACATCCGAGGTAATGAGCGGAGACGATAAATGTCAAAAGAGCGATGCATGTGGGAATAGAGTGATTGCTAACTGGTGAACCGTATCATATCGAGGTTATGTGAAAGCTCTAGATGAGTCTTTCCCTCCTCCTCCCAAATAAAGGCATTGTGTGGCCTCGACTAGCTCGAGGCGATACCCCGGAGTCAAGTTGGGACTAAGATTCAGTGGCTTCGTATTCCGCATGAACTAATAACCCTTGCTAAGGTAGTATTCGGGGTTGGTTCACTTGGCCAAGACAAGAGGAGCAGACTAGTGACCGTATCTGGTACGATTCTCGGCGTTTCCCCGCGGGCCAAAACAACCCGTTTCAAATTGCTGCCAGTGCAGTGCCCGTGGCAAGGTAGTGTTGCCTAAACAAGCAAATCCAGATGGCACGATTGATACGCCAAGGGACCCCTAATCAGGCACATGGCTACCATACTAGTACCCTAGCGTGCCCAGGTATCATGAACATGCAAAAGAACTCGCTTTCAGCCATCCCGCATGTCTATGTGGATAACATGAGGAACAAGTGTATCACGATGTGTTGATTTCAGCCGATCGTATCACAGAGACGTTTCCTCCAAGTCCTATCTTGATCCCGAATATGTGGCGACTTAGTTCCCTTGGATCTCCATCCCTGTCATATCTAACAATTCTTTCCCGTGTTTAATCAGAACTCAAGTGTCAGACACTTGGGAAAGTTCGCCTTGCATGGTCACAGAACTGGCATGGAGGCCTGGCACGGGCTGTGTGTTTTGTGGCACATGGGACTCGCGCATTCAACCCAGGGCATTTGTGATGTCCTGCTCAATAGCGAAGAATATTAGGTACTCAAAAAGGCATCAGCCCTAGACATAACTGCCTCGATACATCCATTTATTTTACCGTTCAAACGTACTATGTGGATAGCTTCACCTCCAACCATAAACGCCGGCCACGCGGCGTCAGGACCGGGAGTCATGCCAAGAGACGGATTTATTAAAGTTCACTAATCCTGATATTGACCAAGAAGATTAGGGAATATATGGGCTGGCATTCCGGATGCGTTTGCATTGAAAGAAGATCAAGAAGGCTGAGTTCAGAGAATTGAACATAAAGTTGATTTGCTTTGTAGAAAGGTTTGAATGATCACTTGCTCGGGTATCCGATAGCCCTCCTGAGTTGGTAACTACGAAAGAGCAAACCGCACCTTTCAGATGATCTTCACGTCTCTGCAGCGTGTCAAACACGCTTGCATCATTACTTATACAACGTAATATCCCTATTAAAATAGCGAGTTGAGCGGTCCGTAAGACTAAGCTGACATATCTCTCAGGAATGCCATAGATAATATGAAACATGTTCTCAATACATAAGCCTGGATGCTACCATGAACGGACTTGATCATTGGGCGGAACATTCTTTTGGTCTCAGCCGACCCGAAGGGCAATGCAAGGACTTGGTGTGTCATTCGGGAAGTGTGCAGAACACTAAATCATCATAAAAGAGAACTGCAGGTCGAGGGAAAGAAGTAGACATGAGAGTAAAGAGTAAACTGTTGAAGACAGATCCTTGTATGTTTGGAAAGCCAGGAGAAGCGGCAGACAAATTCGCCAATTTACGATTTCTAAGCCAGTGTGATGATAAGGGTTTCAATGAGATATAGACAGATATTATCTCATTAATACGTTAAGCTGTCTATTTCCTTGAACGGCAGGCAACTGGAACAGACCACGGGCCCCTCACACTCTATTGGAGACGCAAAACCAAACAGGACTCCATATTGACGCCCATATGATGATTTTCAGACCAACAGATGAGCTCAGTTCAATCGTTCCCCCACGTAATACCCCAGATATCCGAACCATGGGAATGTGGGGTTGTCAGTCGGGGCGGACCACTCTCCGTAATGGCCTTCTTTTCACACAGTCGGGTATCTACCTGAGAACTATCCGGGCCAGAGATTAACTACCCTGGATCGCAGAAGGTTAGTATGCAACCCGTTAGAGCCAAAGCTCTCTACACACCCCCTGGCCCATTACAATCTCGCTGTACTAGAGCGGAAGTCTCAGATCATGCAATTATAGAGCCTTATTCATTCCAAAAATTGATGGGCAGTATTGGACATGATGCCACGCCTACGTGTGCCGTCACTTTTGTTGTCCAGGGTCATAAACTCAATATGCTCCGGTACGTTAAGCAATCAATTGTCGTAGAAAATCTTTGCTAGCATGTATGGGAACCTCGCAAGTTTCGACATATGTCTATTATGCTACAAGGTCCAAAACCGCCCAATATATCCATACTTGAATCATTCATAGATTGGTAAGATAGTCCTCGATCTCCTCTTTCGTCAACTTCCTGAATCTGGGCCCCTGGGCACCTTCGACACCCTTAAAACCCAACAGATGGTCGGCAGGAGGGCCAACAATACCTAAACTAAGTCAGTCTGGGCCCGAAACTGGGCAATAAAGTTTCTGAAACTTACCAATCTCTATTGTGTCACCATTCATCTCACCCTCAATGGTCTCTTTCAACGTCAACAGGGCAATATGGATAGCATCTTCGAGTTCGAGACCTTCAGTGTAACGCTTTTCAAGGAATGTCTTCGCACTCGTAGCATGCTTGCCAATAGCCGTAGCCTTCCATGGGTAATAACTACCACTTGGGTCGACCTGATACAAGCTCGGGCCACCCTTCAAGATACCGCCAGTCTTGCCGGTTGCCTTTTTAGGCTCATCTTCACTGTCGCCCCTCTGAGCTTCTCCTGACTCAGGTTCGACGCCCTCATCCCAACCAGCGATCAACAAACTGACACCGTACGGTCGAACACCACCAGACTGGGTGGCCTCTTGCATAACACGTGCAACATCTTGCACTAATATACGGGTAGGGGGGTGTTCGTTATAGATACGCTTGTAGCCAGTGTGGGAAACTTTGCGTGCCTTGTCGACTAGTACACGGTAGTCTGGACCCATTCCTGCGTACACTGTGCCAATGTCGGGAGTGATTAAGGAAACTTTGGAAAGAGAGCAAGGGTCGACGAGCGGTGAAGACGATTTCTTTTCAGTAGCGAGGACAATTCCATTTGTTGCTAGTCAATGCAAGATAAGTTAGCAACTACTTGAGCTGGCTGGGCGGAAGCTATGAGATAACGCTGATACCTTTAATTCCGAGCGCAGTTACGCCCTGGTTGACAGCGTTCAAGGCATATTCTGAGTTTATTTAGCAAATGTTCATCATTAGCCTTAGACAGTTCATATTACCGATTTGGCCCAGCTTTCCACTAAAAGTCAATGTTAGCTGACGGGTGTCCTCTATGTAGCTAGAGCTCGTCTTACCTGGGGGAGAAGGTGGTGAGAGAGAACGAATAGCGGTCCGCCATGAGGTCGTTTGATTATCTCCGCAAGCTTTGAAGATCGATTGGAAAGAGGTATGGAGACAGATGAGGGGGTTTGAAGATAGGATAAAGTCGTGGTGGGGACCGAAGTGAAGCTTCCCTCTGGACAGAGCAGGCGACAGGTTGTTGACGCAGCAGCACCTTACCTAACGTCGGTTACCTCAGGCGCCGATGCCAAGATGCGCCTAAGGCGGTGACGCTAGGCGAGCACTTAGCGCCGTTTCCATCATCTTCTTCTCCCCACTTCACCTTTAAAGCGCGGTAGTCCTTTTCATTACCTTCTCCCTTTTTTTTTTTTTTTTCTTTTTTTTTTTTCCTCTTTCTCTTCCCAATTGCTCCCTGTTCTATGTCTATGCCCAACCATTCAATCGACTCCCTTCTAAACAGTCGATTGTACACCCTCACCAGGTCGCTGGTAGATCTGGTCACTGTGACATGACCGCATAATCGCGAAAGAAACTAGGCAGAAGCCATAATGAATCCGAGTCAAGAGCCACTCTGGCAGTGGCCAAATTCTTCCACGGCTCCCAATCCTGAGGCAGGCCAAAGGTTTGAAGATACTCACCAACATGATGATTCGGCTGTCCCTCCGCCGGAGTCTTCCCAGAAGCACTACCCACCTCGTGTATGTCGCATCTGTCTAGACACAGTTCTACCTACCTTCCTTCCTCCTTCCGATAACATCCCTGGGTTTCTCCAACCCAAAGCACGGGTGGTCTATGAGTCTTCTGATGCGGAGCTCGGCCGACTACTACGTCCCTGCAAGTGCAAAGGATCTTCACGATACGTCCACGAGGGTTGTCTCCAAGCATGGCGACATGCGGACCCGGGCTATAGCAAAAGGAATTTTTGGCATTGCCCAACTTGTGGCTTCCAGTATCGGCTAGAACGTCTCACATGGGCGCGCTGGATCAGTAGTACTTCCGCGCAGCTTGGCTTGACTTTATTGATACTGATGTTCACTGTTTTTACCCTTGGTTTTGTTGCTGACCCAATCATTAACCTCTACATCAACCCCATGGAAACCATCATCTACTCTGATTTTTGGGATTCCAGTACTGTGTCTAGCGTCTTGCCGACTGAAAAGCAGGCATCATGGATTACACACTTTGTGAAAGGTTTGGCGTCGTTAGGCTTTCTGTCGTTCATCAAAGCCATAGTCGCCATGTCACCCTGGCAGTGGTGGCATGTTCGTCCTAGTGGCTTGGTCAGTAGTGGCAGGACCACAGGTAGAAGCCGAGCAGCGTCAATCACTTGGGTTGTCATCCTGGTTGGCGTTTGCAGTTTCCTTTGGGTAAGTGTGCTCAATGAAGAGTGATGTATGCTTCTGCTAATAATGACCAGGCTGTCTATAAAGGCGTAAGAAGCTGGAGCCGGAGGGCCCTAGAAAAGGCCGGGGAGCGCGTCATGGATGTCCCATTGCCTGACGATGAGGATGAAGAGGAAAATAATCCGTCTTCGGAGAAACCCGAGGTTCGTAAAAAGGAGGAATAATGTTATTCGCATGGAAGACCATTTGCTGTCTTCACGTCATTCCATGTCAACAGCTTGATCCCTAGGTCATTTCCACGCACTACTTTGAGTTGTCACGGTCCTTCTCAATGACGTGCCAATTAGTCGATGTGCGGACAAAACCCCCGACCCTCGTTAACTCTTGAGCAATGTCTGAGAAGTTGGATCCTTGGTCTGAGCGTCTTGTTCTTCCTATGGTATTCCTCTTTACAAACCAGCCATCGTTCAAGGGGAGGGTCGAACTGCACCTTCTCGATCAGTATAGGCGCTTCAAGTAGTGAGCGTTTTCGATTGAATGCAGTACATACCTTATGTAACTTAATAATTAATACAGCTGTTGCAGCCATGGGAAGGATTTGCATCTCTCGTTCTCTTCAATCTTATAGTGTGATTTACAGTAACCTAGGTTGACACGTGCTTGCCATACTCTACACGTGTGATGGCTTAGCCCGAGAAAAATACCCCGTATCAAATTATGTAACCAAAGATCACTGCATTCAAACAGCTACCAAGTTGCAGACTAATAATACATATAACAACAACAGAAGAGGACCCTAATTTTGACGAAGACTCGAAACCATTCCCTCTTCATGGGGTGCACGAATCTGGACGGGACATTATCCTTACGATTATCTAGCTTTGTCTATTAAACTAAGCACTCTTCGCATCCTCCTTAATCAAGTCAGAAGCGCGCTCGGCAACAGCATAAAGCGTGCTAACCAAGTGGCCGCAAACCTGGAAGGGCAGGACAGACGCATCCACCACGCGAACATTGCTAGTACCGTAGACACGGAGACGGTTGTCGACAACGCCACCAATGGAACGGGGCATCATGGCAGTAGTTCCGACGGGGTGGAAGTTGGAACGATCTAGAGAATTCACGTCAGACTTATCTTTGGAGTCAAGAAAGGATTCAACATACAGTTAGCCTTAATCCAGTCAACCCACTTCTCATCTGCGGCCGTGGCCGGGATTTCAGAGAGGCCGGGCTTGGTTTCCTTCGCAATAAGTTTGTTCAATGGTGCACTGCGGAGGATCTTCCTAATGTACTTGGCGATACCGGCCTGGCTCTTACCATCCCATTCGAACATGAAGTAGTTAGGGTTGATAGCTGCGGGAGCAGTCGGGTCATTGGAGCTAATGTGGATGTTACCACGGGCAAAGGGGAGCAAGCCCCAGAATTCGGAGGACACGGCGTTTCCACCACCGGGGTGGAAGAGGATCTCGGCGATAGGGACCTTGTCCTTGACGATGAGGTCGAATTGGAGCTGGAAGAGACGCTCCAGGTCCTCCTGCTTCATGAGGCCGTTGCTGACTTTGACGGTCGCGGCGGCGTAGTCGGAGAGTTGGGACCGGAGAGATGCAACGATGGAGTTAGTCTCGTTGCCGAAGACATCTGAGATCGAAGGATAGGTCACGGTCGAGGCACCGGCAAGAACACCGTATCCTTCACCCGCCATGCCGTTGTTGAACTGGTCCTGAAGGTTCTCGCCGACGGTGGGAAGATTGACGCGGGGGGTGATGTTGTGCTTCTTGAGGATGCTACGAGGGTTAGAGGCAGGGATAGAGAGAGTTTGAGCATCACTGAAACACCTACCTTGGGTTTCCGACACCCGAAAGCTCAAGAATCAGAGGAGACCGCAGGGCACCGGCAGAGATGATGACCTCCTTCTTTGCATGCACACGAGTGACCTTGCCATCAGCGGAGGTAATCTCGACACCATCCGCAATGGCTTCCTTAGCAGAGCCGTTCTTCCAGAAGAGACGGTTGGCAGTAGTGTTCTCCAGCAGGTGGAGGTTCTTTCTGTCATCAAAGGGGAAGTAGTACGCCCGGGCAGCATCTTCACGGACATTGAGGTCAACGTCGATGGTGGATGGGTAGATGTTGAAGCCACGCATCTTGCCTCCATTGACATCCTGGACCCAGGGAACACCAGCGGCTTGGAACGTACGGTTTAGAGCAACTGACAGATTACCGGAGGCCAGGCTTCCCGACCAGCCGACCTTGAGAGGACCTTCTTCTCCATTCACGGCAGGGTTGTAAGCAGCGCCAGCAGAAACCTGGGAGCTGGTGGGGGCGGTCAAGTTTTCACTCTTCAGGTAGTATGGTAAGAGATCTTTCCACGTCCAACCTTCGTTTCCAATTCTCTGCCAAACATCAATCTGGGCATCCTCGGCGCGGGTATAGGCCATTCCTGTCGTTGTCAGTGGACCATGCCGACTAAAAGATTCACTATAGAAACATACCATTGATCGTACTGGTTCCTCCAAGGGCCTTACCAGCGCGCAGAACTTGCTGGCTACCTCCTGCATAAGTCTGGTTGGTAGACTGGTACTGCCAGTCGATGGCCGAGCCAAAGGCCAATCCATAACCGTTAGCGTTGGTTACGTCCGGGTTGTTGAACACAGAAGCACCGGCCTCAATCACGAGAACGGAGACATCGGGGTTCTCAGAAAGGCGATTTGCAACCACAAGACCACTCGTGCCGCCTCCCACAACGATGTAGTCGTATGCCGTAGTGTTCTTGGCCCGTCCAGCCGGTGATGCCGTGGCCAGCGACAGGGCACTAAGGAGTGTCAACGAGAAGAGCATGTTTGGATGTCAAGGGTCAGTCTCTGTCCACCTTGAAAATCTTTCTACAAATGGGCTGGCATCAGCCACTATATATATAATACATAGTATTCTAAAATTCAGCCTAATTCAAAGGTTCTATCCACCTTACTGCTAGATACTAACGGCTCGGTGAATGAATCGCATCATAACGAAGTTGTCTGCAAATCCTGGCCCCCCTCTAGTAATGAAGCTACTACTGATCCATAAGCAACTTGTAAGCATGCTAATGTTTCAGCAGACATGGATTTATCAGCCTATGTTAGTGGGTCCATTCATCGAATCTTGTGCGGAATTCTACCGCAACTTGTGGGCGTCGCTGATCTGATAAGATTGAGCTTAGGGTCCCTTCGTGTAATTATCCCTGAGTGGTATGCTCTCGAGTAATGCAAGGCTTGATAATTCATACGAAAACTTGGAACGCACGTTAACCATGCCAGTACAGTTTTACACTCCCAGGTACCCGCTCCTTTCTCTTTGACTGAATTAAAGGAAAGTTGGTTCGTTCTCATACTCAGGGTATGACTCTGCAATCGACAGTGAGCACGATGTAATACACACTACTGTCAGGAACATTCGAGCTAATCCTAAAGAATCTTTAGTGCACATCTTTCTGGTAGCGAAGAGTGCAAAGTGGATCAAATTCAACATTATTAAGGTATTATTCAGAATCGGCATGCCGAGTAATTCATCCACCGGTGAAGTCCCGACCCGTCAGGAATAGTCTAGGCAAAGTGGCTCGGCAGAATGTCTAGGAACCGAAGTTTCCAATAGGCTTAAAATTGCCTCATTGAACTGATCGCCACGCCTTGAAGACCAAGGGTCATTCTCCCGACCTCCACCCCGAAATTACGCCAGAGTCAAGGTTTCTGTTGGCGAAGATGCCGAGACTCGAAACTAGAACTGGGCCGAAAGGAAGGGTGTGCTTATCAGTTGATTGGCTCTAGTAAGCTTTTAGCGGACCCCTGACTGTGACAAACCCTAATATAACTTAATATAAGACAGCGCGATTCCGGAGATCTTTCCTAGAAAAGTGAGACTACAGATATCATCAGAACAGCAACTTAGTAACTATTAGGCAATACTAGTACCGACCGATATTGACTATGGATATATGCGTGGCGAAGGGGCTGAATAAGGTCTGTTAAACATGGGTGGATCAATTCTGGGTCCCCTCGATAGTAGCAGTTCAACCATGAATGTCTACTACTCAGTATTAGTGAACGGGGCTAAGTCAGGGTAATTTGGTTGTGGACCGGAACTCAAATCTCTCTGGCCGAATCGCTTATCGATTCCTGCGGGAATGATGCCCTGGTTGAGACATTGTGCCTTCTGCTGCAGCGTTAAAGATTCCAGGATTACCGGGATATGGGCCCGACACCCTGCTGATGTTTCAACCCCGAATCCATTGGGATCCTGCACGGTTTCAAGGTACTCTTCATGGGGTACGGAAATATCAATTCCGGCAATCAATGCCCTATGTTGATGTTGGCTGGAGAAGTTAAACACCCAGAAAGCTAATACAGTGAAAATACAAGTGTCTTAGCCGGACGCTTGTGGAAGCTCTCTCATTTAACGGCTACTCCATCTCGCCACCCCGTCGGTCATCCGCCTTCGTCTTAAATTGAGAGGATCTGAAGTCATTCATGAAGCAGGAGTCGTCGCCCTTGTGCGCAAATAGTTTGTCTAGACTGATATCCGAGATTGAATCAAACATAGCAAATCAAATCTATTATGTCTTTGTAAGCCATAAGAGGGGTTTAGTCGCCATGTCTGCCTATCTGAATCACTCACTGGTTATTTCATTCGCATGCCATGCTGACTATATTGGTTTCTTTATTCGTTATATCAGGTCGGTTCCGTGGCCGTCTCTCACGTCACCGGCTTCACAACAGCCTGGATAGCTTTACTCACCTTACTAGCGATTTATCTCAGCCTCAACTACGCCGCCATCCGCGCCGTCCAAATGACAAGGCTAAACCGTCAATGCGCCAACATCGTCCTCATAGCTTGGCTTCTTGTATCATGTCGTGACCTGAGGTTTTGCATATCATGAACTTGGTCATCATCAGTACTAGTAGAGCATATTTCTTTGCCGATACGGCATTTTGGCGGTATTTTAATGTAGTACATATACCCATCTTGAATGGCGTGGTGATATGTATTCCGTAGATTGAGAAGAGAACCAATAGAGACGGCGAATTATAGGGTGCTTTTATACTTGTCAAGTATCTAGTAAAAAGGGATAGCAATTGCGTACTATCTAACAATGGTAGTTACCTATTTAATACCGCTTAATTCCGAGTATTAGATGCATGTATCCTCCTTTATTTATACTGCCATTAACCTAGTGTGAGGCCGGGACTACGTAGAATACCAAGTATTGGAACAGCAGACTAAAACGCGTTGACTTGCTGGTCTACTTCCACCTATCATACACAGTCGTCTCCCTCGTCCTCCCGGAACAAAGGTAGCAGGGCTTTCGGTGGCCACTCCCCAGGGCGGTTATCCATGTTCGAGGCATCTGGATGGGCGAGTTCTCCTTTTCTAGAACCGCTCCGGATCTCCTGGTTCTAATCAAAAACTACATATCTCTGTAGGAGTATTTAATTTATCGTTGAAAAAAAAAAACCCTTTTCTTGACTGAGCGCCTTGTTGGCAAACTGCTTAATACTACATCTTGAACTAGGAGACAAAGCTTCTTTGAGTGGTAATTTTTCAAATTGCTTACCCTTTCCTCGAAAGCGTTAAGGTTGACGGTAGCTACCAATGTGTCCTCGTAAGACGTCGTGCAATGTTTTTTATTTTTTTCTCTCTCAAGCAGACTCAATTCATGACTTGACAATAATAAAAATCTTGAGAAGCTTCGATGAACTCCAATTATCTACGTATTGTTTCTAATAGCCTGTTGCAACCTAGGAATAGACAAGGTGGCCTAGCCATTGTATTAACAACAAAGCTTGATGAAGTACTCCCCATACACGCCATTTATCTAGCCTTCCTAGAGTAGGGAGATCTCCGAACTATATTATCCTCATGAAGAACCAGGAATTCTGTTTAACCCTCCTCATCCGCACAAGGAAGATAGCTCCTCCCCTTGAATGCTAAGTGTTTTATGCCACAGCAAAGAATACAGCAAGTCCTTGAACTTCGTGTTAAATTCTTCATAGAGACTAATATGCAGATATGATGTTTACTTGAAAATAACACCGAAGGATCCTAACTCATCTCCGTTGCCCAACATGGTAGATGTATCTTATAGAGATCAAAAAACCGCCACGTTGCTAGTAGGGAATTTGCTGAAGAAGCTACTTGCCTAACCAGGGATTCAGAAAGATATTCACTGCAGACGGCGGCAAACTCCCAAACACTTGGACACAACCCACCAAGAGTGAATAACACTCTACATGAATCTACTATCTTCTGACCGAGTGTGCAGTCAGAATGGGGTCTTCAATATTATCGAAAGGACACTCCCTTTATGCCTGTATCTTATGTTATGTCTCTCGATGCCCCCCATACCCAACCTCTTCAAGAATTTCATACCAGTTCAAATGTGCCACACTTTGACCATTCAAGTTTCCTAACTTCTTCCTACTCCTCTCTGAACCTCATCCATCAGATACAGTCTGCTGTGCTATTCTTCGACGATGTTTGATATCATGAGCCCTCAGGTATCTTTCACCAAGAAGCGCCGCTGGTCTCCTCGGATGGAGGACCAATATATACTGGCGAATGCGAAAAAGAATATCTCTAGCCTCCATACGTTCACTTTTAATTTCTTGAAGAATAAGGCCTCACCGAGAACCAAATACAGAACTTCTCAGGTTGAGATTCAACATTCCGACGAAGAGAGGATTGCCTCTATGCTTGCAAACGCGACGCATACCCAATTGGATCTCCATAAACAGTCCGACTCTGACGGAGATCAAGGTCGCCCTCTGAGCTCATTGTCTAGCAACATAAGCTCAAGAAGAAGCATTCACGGCAGCTCCAGCCCCCCAATCACCCCGCTTCTTGTCCATTCTGAACTAGATCTTTCAACCACCGAGCCATTTCCAGACTACTACGAGTCATGCGAGCAGAATCCGGCGGTCATCGACAAGGACCTCGAGGAGGCATATAATAATGCTATCGCAAAGGTGTTCGAAGAGTCCGTGCGAATGAGAAACCTTGGTGCCGGTATCCCTGTTACAGTCTCCCCTCTTGCAACTCACGTTGCTGTCCTGTCACAACTGACAGCCACTCCAGACAGGCCAAGCCCAGCATTTCTCTCACATCACACTCCGCTCTCCATAGTGATACTACTGTTCGCAGCCAGTCTAATACGGCACCAACCCCTATCTCTCAAATCTCGCCTGCCACATCTGTCCGTGCCGACTTCGACAAGGGCGCATCCATGACTTCTACCTCTCAGGCCTGGGTCTCCCTTGACGACACTGGCGCCCATCCCAACAAAGTTTCTAATCGGATGCCCGCCATATCCAATGATGTTTCTATTCAAGATGTCGCTTCTGGAGCAGGCCCCATATCCACCATTGTGCCTCAATTTATAGCGGATAGGAAGGCCAATATCCAATCCAAACATATCCTTTCCGGTTCATCGTCTTCTGCCAGTAATGACTCATCGGAAAGGGCTCTGAGCCAACCATCTCCGGTTGTATCTGTGTCACACATCATCTCTGGTACTAGTGATACCAGGACTCGCGATGAGCAGAACAACCAATACTGTGAACTGAGCTTCCACTCCTCTCAGCATACCCTGCCTGGGGCTATTGGCAGTCATAACGTAGCTCAGGCTTACTTCTCTTCGCTGCAGGCCTCCATGCCACTCCCTGGAAGCACTTGTAGCAGCCAGGTGTCCAGGAGGACGCTCTCCATTGATGAAATGGCTATGCCAGATGAGCATCCCACCCCAAACTTTCAACCTCCTATCGGAACGGGAAGGCCTCTACCTGGCACTACACCAAAGCCTACTCGTAACCCACAGATGCAGCGTCGCCTTCATGAAGCTGAAGAGCGAAAGCTTAACATCCTCGAAGAGATGAGGATCATACTTCGTGCAGACCACATGAAGGAAGACATTCAAAGACGCTTTACTGTCATGACCAACATTATCCTCCGCATGGAGTGGATTCTTTTCCGTCGTGACGTGAAGCCCGACGGTACTCGCGCTAAGGAATTTCTCGCTGCTCCCGTCGTCGGAGAGGTCCAAGAGCTGGCGATTCCAATGGTTCAATATATTGCCTGGCTTGACAAAAAGCTAGAGAGTGAGCTCAGCATCTCACAGCAGGTCCTCCATTGGATCATACAGATCGCAAAGGATCAGGATCTCAACGTTTATCAGCGTTTTAGACAGACGGCCCGGGTTATCATCGGGTAAAAGCCCTTCTTCTAGCTATTACCCTTGGCATTCATTGAGCTAACGACGATCACAGAAGCCTCCGAAAGCCACGCCTGCTGGAAAAACACCTCTTGGATGTCTTCCAAGATCTGTATGACACGTACGTGTACAGCGACTTCCTCAATATCCGCAATCGACAAATTCTCCGCGAAGAAGGGCTTCACATCGAGCGTGACAATCTCGCCCGCCTCTTAATTGCAGGCTGGGACGTTCTGAGCCGCGCCATCGAGAACTACAACGAGATCATCACTATCAACCTCGATCTTAAAAGCCGCTTCGTCGATCCAATCATGGATCGGCTGCCTCGTTCGTATGAGATCTGGGAGGGAGAGTGGAAGGAGCACCAGCGGCAGTGCGAAATCTAGAGGAATATGGAGCTGAAAAAACTTTGGATAGAGGCGGAGAGGAGGGCTTGTGCTGAGGCGGAGGAGCAGGAGTTTTCCCGGGCCCAGGCTCGTGCGATGGCTGAGTTCAGAGCTCAGATGCAGTTGCCCTGGGCAGGGACAGAGTTCTGGACAGTGGCACGTTGACTCCCGTATTCAAGTTTAGTACGGTTGATGAGGATATATTTTCTGGTGAGAACTTATGATCAGGCTTTACTCTTTTCTTTGCTCTTCTCTTCCTATTGCCCCTCTCAATGATTTCCTTTCAACGTATGGAAGTCAGAAAAGAAAAGGGGAAACGAAGAAAGAACAAAAAGAAAGGCAAAGAGAGAGTTAAAAAAGAAATAAAAAGCCCTACGTATCTATGAATTTACGAACATGAGAGAATAATAATCGACAGACTGAAGGGATGGATGGGAACAGCGTTGCGCACGGGATAATCCATGGAATTTAGCCATATCTAAGCGAATACCCTTTGCAATGAGACATAAGTTACTATTAATGAAATGGAATACATTCATAAAAACATCATCTAACAATCTAAGCGGAACTATCCTTGTAAGAACCAAGCTTGAACAACTTCTTCGCATTTTCCCGTCCAATCTTTAACCGATCCGTCCCATTGAGCTCCGCGTTGTCAAACCACTCACAAGCATCGGAGAAAGTCTCAAAGGGATAATCAATCGAGAACAAAATCCGATCAGATCCAACCTCCGCCATACAGAAGTTCAAGGTAGTAGTCGAAAAGTGCCCAGAGGTAGTAATCCAGATATTCTCCGCGAAATAATCCCGAATCGTCTTCTTGCACGTCTCAGCAAGACCCAACAATTTCTTCCGATCCTCGAACCAATGGTTAATCCGCCACATATCGAAGGGAACATGTTCACCCAAGTGACCCATGATAATCTGCAGCTTGGGATGACGGTCGAACACGCCATTCGTGACCATGCCGAGAACGTGTAGACTGACGCCATGCGCGAAGCTAAGAGGAGGACCCACGAGCCATTTGCGATCAGCCCAGAGCTTCTCGTAGATTGTGCCCGTGGGGTTCCGGGGGTGCATGTAGAAGGGAACGTCGAGCTCTGTGCAGGTTTGCCAGAAGATATCCCATTCTGCGTTGTCGTAGAAGATCATGTCGTCGCCGTCTGGGCCGGCGCGTTGAGTATCGTTGATCAGGGCGCCTTTGAAGCCGTATTTCTCGACGCAGCGGCGGAGTTCGTCAGCTGCTTCTTTGGGGTTGTGCATTGATAGTGTTCTATAGTTTTGTTTAGTATTGTATTGAAGGATGTTTTTCTTTATGATGATTAGGGTAGGGGGCTTACGCGAAAGCACCGAATCGGTCGGGGTTCACGCGCACTTGTTCGGCGATATAGTCGTTGATCTCGACGGCGAGCGCTTGGGCTTCTACGGGGTCCCAGATGTCCTGCACACCAGGTGCTGTGTATGAGAGGATTTGGTAGCCGACGCCATGCTTGTCTGCGTGCTCAATGCGGATCTTGTTGATGTCGGTGATTTCCTTGACGTGAGTTTCGGCGTCCGTGGAGAAGAGGCCTGCCCACCAGCGGGTCTTTTCTTCGAAGCGGGGAAGCGCGAAGGCTTCCTCAAGAGCGATCTTACCAAGCATAGTTGGTTGTTGTTGAACTCGGTTTGGGGATGGGGTGTTCTAAAGGTGGAAGTATGCTTTTTGAGGGGACTTGGGATCGGATATAAGTATTGTACAAGAAGATGAGGGGGTGTAGATGATGAGAGCTAAACTGGTCGAATGCGACAGCTTTATATCATTTGAACGGGCGGGCTATAGCGGATGTGTACCGCACTTCCGATGGGAAAAGCAGGTATAGAGAGTACGTATGGTTGCGTGGAACTTGCTCATCGTCAATCTCACTACCGACGGTTGCTGCTGGGTGTGGGGAAAGTGGGTTCTGGTGTGTTTGGGTCCACCATGAGCTTGGTAGTATATCTGGCTAGAATTATCGGAAACCAGCTCTGAGTCGCTCTCTTTGTCGTTCTGTTAGCAAGTTGGTAAAAACGGGGAGATGGCCATTGAAGATGTTTTGTATAGCTGCTGGTAATGGCAAATACAGCAGATCTCCCCTGCTGTATCTCATGATAGCTTCAAAGTTGTTAGCTTAGTTGCCGCTGCTTGTATGGGTTGCATCCGAACGGAAGCCATCGCCCCGCATATCGGAAGCAGACCTGATTGTTAATCTTGGTTTCTACTACTAATAGTGGAAAGGCGTATGGGGGGTGCAGTATCCGACGTGCGCGGGACGCTCGAAGGTGCTGTAGCCGACGGTGTTACCCCGCAAATTATTAGTATGGGTCTGTACAACCGACGGACGGGTTTGCCGGGTTCCATAATAGGCGCAGATCATTAGGAAGCGATTCGGGATTAAAACACCGTGTATTTGTGAGTAGTTGTTCCTTAAGATATTCTGTCTCAAAGTCATCTTCTCGGAATTCAATATATCCCTAAATATTTGTTCGTTGTAAGGATGGGCAAAACCGGTTACAGATTTTGGGTCGTTTACGCTGGAGTAAGTGGCCTTCGCACTGCTTATAGACCCTGACCACTTAGAAACAAAGGATGCAAAGCTTGCTTAGGAGTTATTCAATGTACTACGATTTGGGTTGTACATGCTTTGATGTCGGTAATTGCGAGGGCGAGGGGTGGAAGCTATAAGGCACATAGGACAGGTAGGAGGTAGTCCCTTACTTGTCCTAGATGGAATACTATAATTTACGCTCTTCGAATACTAACTAGTCGGTCAAATATATGCAGTTACGCGTAGTCCCCTTCATAAACATATATTAATAGGGTGTCATGAAGTATCAACTTTATAACCACTGAGAATGCCATTTTCTAGCATGGATTCTACTATTATTTGTCGCTTCCAGCAGCTTACGGAGTCCATGAGAGATCACCTTAACGGTGTGAAGCTTGTTGTCCACTAGCTTTGATCAGGGGGTGATCCCTGAAGCATACAGGCTTTTGTAGCTAACCTTATGAGCATCGTACCTCTTGCAGTATAAAGTATGAAAGCTAGGCTATGCGGATGGGACAGGTCTAGCGGGCGAGAATGAGAACAATCGTGGTGGGGTGCAATAGTAGGGACAGGAATTACTTCGATTTATCTTCCCTCTAATACTCCAAAAGCTGGACTTCGATGATCAACAAGCTTGGCATTCTGGGCCTCTACAATGAACCCATTTTCGCGCTTGAAAGATGATCATTCTAAGAGGTCACTAAGGGAAATATACTCATCCATGAGCGCGTCAATGTGTCCGAGAGTATTGTCAGTCCGATAGTTACAATCGACAAGAATACGGTATGTCACGAGATAACACTTCACTGTGTGAAAGAGGGTGTGGTAAGGCAACTCACAAGCTGATGTCAGAAAGATACGATAGATCGACACTAATGCTTCAGTTAGTCCCGGTAGCAGTGGCATAATAGGAAATAAATATATAAAAAAACCAGCATGTGTTTCTCGGCCATTTATAAGATATTCAATATCCTCCACAATCTAAGCCATCACTCAGCCATCTATGTCCGGCGACGATCAGTAAGGCTGAGTCCACATGACCTCCGCTGATGGGTCAAAACATAAATGGAAAGTCATTTGCTGATGTGCTGGCAATACCACCTTACTACTAATCTGTTTTAGATACTTTTGCCGAGCACTCAAGGATGGTCTTGTTAAAATAGACGGTGACTGTTTGATCATGAGACATCTTTCCCAGTTGGTGATGTGCAAACTTGGAGTATCAACATAAGAAGAGAAAGAAAGAAAGAAATACAGAAAGAAAGACAGAAAGAAAGAGAGAAAGAAAGGAGACTAGGTACTAATGTTGCGCAGATCATCCAATCAGCCTCGTGATCTGTCTCAGTCGGTATGTAGTACTACTTATAGTAAGGTTAGGTTAATCCCAGTGCTATGGTTAACTTACCGGCTGTTAAGTTTGCCTCCCTTCCTTAACCTAAGCCACAGAAGTTACTTGCCTTTGTACACTATTCTCCCCCGGTTTCATTATCCGTACAATCATTATTGGAAAGGGGTCCGACCTTCAACAATGACCTCTCCTCCGTACTCCATCTTGTACAAGGCGCGGTCTAGTCCGCAGCATGAAGACCCAATGCGAGTAACGGCCCTCAGTCACACAGACCAGATTATGCCAAGCAGCCACTCGTATAGGCCGACCCCAGATTTGCCAGCCTCTTAAAGTTCTCCTTAAACGGCGATTATTGGGCCAAATACAAAGTTCACTGCCTTCTTTGTCTGTTTTTCCCGCCTTTTCAACACAAGCCATTCCAGACAGCCTCCTCCAATCAACAAGGGCTGACATTCGGGCACACAGGCACTCACGCTCCACGCAAACAAAGCAAAATCAGAATCAGCCTCCGATAGCAGTGACAGAGGCCCAACCACCATGACCACTGAATCACTCTGGCCCGGTGAGAGTATTGCCTCGTGTCAGCGAAGAACTCCATACTAACCGGGCACCTTCAAATACCCGCACAGCTGCTGCAGCATCTCGCAGCGGCTTTTTTTTACTTATCTGCTCCACTGTGTATCTCTCTCGTCGTCTGTGAAACTGAGAAGTTAAACTACGTTCCTCCACGTGGGTGACCGGCTTGTGGAGTTTGTTGTATACCAAATAGGACCTCGGTTATGTTTCATGAATGTCTCAATATCTTAGACTTCATAGTGGCTTCTGGCTCTTTGTTAGCTTGCGGTGCACCTGAGCAACCGCTGCCATACCCACGGTTATTTTTTATCGACTATACCGTTTCCGATTCCAAAATTGTCCGTTCTTTCTGTTGTTGCCATTCTTATTGCAATCTCGGTGCCCACCTCCAACGTTGCTTAGGCCTTTCTTTTCAAATCTCTTCAACTTAAAGCAATTCACCCTTTAGCTTTGTTTGACAACTGTTCCGCTCGCAGGATAAATACATAGAGGCGTCAATCACATGTACTCACGATGTTTGGGAAAGAGGATATAGGGCCCTTTGCGGACCCTCCACACAAAGGCGATACCGAGCATATGGAAAGAAACGAGAATGTAATGCCACGGCGTATCTTAGCAACGGCTGCAGAGCGTGCAAGGCGCAACATCAACGCCAAACTGGCAAATCCATTGGCTGGGTATTCCTATGAGGAACTGCGCAGACAAGGCATCAACTTCGCTGTCACACATCATATAGGAGGTGAAGAAGATATCCGTGCTTTTGGAATAGGCGCTATTCTGGCCCAAGTACCGGAGAAATTCACTCAAGTTCCTGACCTGAGGCCCGATGAAATGGAAGTTCTACAGAAGGAGTTCTCCAATCGTTGGTCCCAGCCTTGGACAATGTACCTAGTTATCGCCCTATGCTCCCTGGCTGCAGCAGTACAGGGAATGGGTACGTTATCAACATACCTACTTCTCATTTATACATATGTTGAGGTGTGGTGAGCTGACAGTGAATCGGCATTTTAGATGAGACTGTCGTCAATGGCGCCCAAATCTTTTATAAACACCAATTTGGAATTGGGGACGATGATTCTAGGTCTAACTGGCTAGTCGGATTGGTTAATTCTGCTCCTTATTTGTGCTGTGCTGTTATCGGCTGTTGGCTGACAGTGCCATTCAATGCTTGGTTTGGCCGTCGGGGGACCATCTTCATCACCTGCTGTTTCTCTGCGCTTGCCTGCCTTTGGCAAGGGTTTGTGAACACCTGGTGGCATATGTTCATTGCCAGGTTTGTGTTAGGCTTTGGTATTGGCCCGAAATCTGCGACAGTCCCAATATATGCCGCTGAAACAGCCCCTCCTGTCATTCGCGGTGCTTTGGTAATGCAGTGGCAGATGTGGACTGCGTTCGGCATCATGTTCGGCTACGCCGCGGACCTTGTCTTCTATGAAGTACGAGATCCAGTGGGGATCACAGGCCTCAACTGGCGTCTCATGGTGGGCTCTGCTATGCTTCCAGCTATCCTGGTTTGTTGTTTTGTTTTTACCTGTCCAGAATCACCTCGTTGGTATATGGCGCGGAATTGCCACGATAAAGCATATCGATCAATGTGTAGCCTGCGGTTTCACAAGATCCAAGCTGCCCGTGACCTCTTCTACATGCACACATTGCTGGAGGCCGAAAATGGAATGAAACTCGGCCAGAATAAAGTACTCGAGATGATCACCGTTCCCCGCAACCGGCGTGCCCTGGTAGCGTCTGAGTTGGTCATGTTTCTGCAACAGGTGTGTTCCCAATTGCATAGAACCTATGCTTCTGTTGAGTACGCTAACCATGATATAGTTCTGTGGTATGTGCTATAAGCATTATGAATCCAACATGGTCAGTCTTCGTCAGGTACTTACACGTTCTCTATTTAGGGGTCAATGTAATTGCCTACTATTCTTCCGAGATCTTCTTAGAAGCAACAAATCAGCGGAACGCCTTGACGGCATCCCTAGGTTGGGGTCTGATCAACTGGCTCTTTGCCATTCCAGCAGTGTACACTATTGATACTTTTGGCCGTCGTAACTTGCTACTTACCACATTCCCTCTGATGGCACTTTCCATGTTCTTCACCGGCTTCAGTTTCTGGATTCCACAAGAAACTCACAGCTCGGCGCGACTAGCATGTATCGCTCTGGGTTTATATTTCTTTGGCATTGTTTATTCTGTGGGAGAAGGCCCTGTGCCATTCACCTATTCAGCCGAAGCCTACCCACTCTACATACGTTCGTATGGCATGGCCCTCGCCACTGCGACGACCTGGTTGTTCAATTTCACACTTGCTGTTACATGGCCATCTCTTCGCAGCACGTTCACCCCGCAAGGTGCATTCAGTTGGTACGCAGGCTGGAACATTGTGGGTTGGTGGCTGATACTCTTGTTGATGCCTGAGACAAAAGGAAAGACACTGGAAGAGTTAGACCAGGTTTTCTCCGTTTCCACAACTTTTCATGCTGCATATGGACTTCGGCAAATCCCTTATTTCTTCCAAAGGTATATCTTACGCCAGAACGTGCGGCCGGAGGTCTTGTATGAGCGGGAAGATGCATTTAATGTTCCACCAGAAGCTGGTTACAACACTCTATGAGCAGGATGAGGACAGTGTGTATAGTGTACGATTTGTTATGTTCACATGCTCGAGATGCGTTATGACATGTATTGTACCTTTTCAATTTCGCTGCGAGACAACTATGATACCATCTACATCTGGGCCCTTTATTCGTCTATCCAGCTAGGTCGTGTGGCAAGACTAGAATACCAGACTAAGTTCCGATCAAATTGTATAACAGATGCACACATTCTTGGAATAAGTTTCCAAATTTCAATTAGGATAGATGCATTTTATAAAATTCCAACTATGAACAATATGGGGTATAAAGGGGAACTTCGTCAGACAGCAGTTGGTACGATTATTGATCCGCATGGATTATACTCGGAACAGGTCTGTGTGAAATCTTGCTTCATCATCCGAAGTATTGTGACGGCAAAAAAAACAGAAAATAAAAGAAAAAAGGAAAAAGAAAACATAGTGAACTATTTCATTTCTCGATCCAAGCCTTCGGTCGAGAAAAATTTTTTCATCCGAGCCTGACATCAAAGGCACAATAAGCATGAGTCCGAAGGAACGCATCAGTCCATCATAATTGATCACGCATTTTTGCCCAAGTAGGCAGTCCATAGCGACCAGGTGAAACCTGAACCGCTGTCAAAATTTCCCCGGTAGCGTTCATCGCCAGCAAAAAGCTGCGAGAAAGGGTGTGATACAAAGGAAGAAAATGAAAAACAAACGGACGATACCACAAGAATTTATATGCAGTTTTTAGCGCCCCTTCGCTAATGGACCAACCAGACGGAGGGACCATGATAAGTGGTTTGCATAGTTTGCGCAGTTTGTAATGTAGGCCTTCCGCAGCGCCCAAAAAAAGTAAATCCGCAATTTTTTGAAGTAGGCATCAGCACTTGCTTGTGATTTTTGTTCTATATCGCTTTCGCCTGTGCGAGATACCTTTTGGACTATTGGGCCGACGAGATCTTCTTTTCATTCTTTTAATTGCATAGCTTTTATTTCGTTTCGCTGTACGTTTCCAACGGTAAGATATCCGCGCTGATTATTGTTCTCATTGTCTTTTCCGGAAATATATAAATTTTATGCCGCATCAATGTGCTAACTTTTTTTTTCTGGTGGTTCAGGTCGATTTTTACATACCCTGTTCATATTACTATCCAATAATACATATATCAAAATGGTCGACGCTCCTGAGAGTCCTGTCCCGCAGCAACAAAGTATGTAGGAGAAAGTACCTCGGGGTTACTCATTCCGGGCTGGATCCAGCAGTGATGACAATGTTCCATGATTAACTAATGAGTCTTTAGCTCCCGTCAAGTCTTTCCAGAATGGAGTCAGAACGACAGGCCGTGCCTTCCATTCCCCCAACTGGCGTGTGAAGGGTGAGGAGAGCCCCAGTGCGCAGAGCGCGGGGTCTCCCGGTCCGAAGACCAATACATCGAGAGTTGCATTCAGCAGACCCAGCCCTCATGTCCCTCAAGCTATCTCCGAAGGACGCCGTCTCTATGTGGGCAACATGCCCTACACTGCCAAGTCGGAGGATGTGCAAGCGCTGTTCACCGCGGCCGAGTTTCCAATGTACGAGTGAGAAATACTGTGTAAAGATGGGTCCAGACTGAGTGCTTCATAGCGAGCGGATCGACATTGCCATTGACCCATTCACCGGTCGTAACCCTTCATATTGCTTCGTCGACCTTGAATCGAAGGAGTTGGCGGAGAAGGCCATGAACGAATTGGATGGTCGCGACATGCTTGGCCGTCCGGTTAAGATTAAGCCGGGTGTGGTCAAGTCTTCTAGCGAGCGCTCCCAGCAACAGCAACAGCAACAGCAGCGGACAGACGGATCTCCTCGTTCTGATAGCAAGACCTCGCTTTTCACTATGGACCGGTGGCGCCGCAACGATGCTCCTACCTTTGCCAGGACCAACAGTGATTCCAGCCGTCGGCTCTATGTTGGTGGTCTTCCCCGGTTGACCGATCAAGAAGACATTTCCAGCAATATCACAAATTTCTTCAAGGACTACAAGCTGTATGCTTTTCTTCCCTGGAAAGCTGATTCCCTGATGATACTGACATAATTGACTGCTAGTGAGAACATTAGCAAGTTGTTCACTCCCCACCCCGCGAAGCGCTTCGAGCCCGGTGACCACTACTACTTGTTCGTTGACTTCGGCAGCGTTGAAGAGGCACAATCGGCCATGAATGCCTTGAATGGGCAGGAGGGTCCTTGGGGCACCCCTATCCGAGTGCAGAGGGCTCGCGGAGAGACCAATTCCGAAGACCGGAAGAACAAGTGGTCTTCTGCGCGAGGAGACGAAACCCCAGCTACCGGCGATGTCTCGGTTGCTGTTTAATCTACCCCCGAACAGTCATTCATGCTTTGTTGGCTAGAATATAATTGCATAAACTTGGCGCTCAGAATCGAAAAAAACGGCAAAGGCAAAACTGGAGTTTGGCGCTTTATCACTTTGGGCAGGATGGACTTTTCTAGAATCTTGTCAGAACAGGCCCACCCGACTTCGTTCTATCTTGACGTCAAACAACTCCTTCCTACAGTGTCATATAGGATTATTATCTGCTCAATAAGGGAGGCGCTATCAGCACGCCTCGGCCTTGGATGGAAGGCGAAAAGGACACGCTTGACGCCAGTCAACACTTGGCTATAGTTTTTTCAAATCTACCTATCCACATGGATGACCAAGGCAGGAGCGGCTAGGGCACATACAAGGAAAGAAAAAGGAAAAGTAAGGAAAAGGAAAAACGGGTTTCAATGATGATTGATGACAAAAAGGGGTAAAACGGAATAGATCACGTCAATGAAATCTCAATGTGACTATGATTTCTTTAGTGTCTAGACCTGTTCAATTAGTCTCCCACTAGCCAATGTAGCCGTCGGGAACGTGAGGATCTACTCTTCCCTGAATAGGCGATTCAACCGATGGGCTGGTGATATGGATGGATCTATTATTGACATCCTGAACCTTAGCCGTATGATGTTCTAGTCCCACAAAGCAACCCATGACCTCTTGTGATCCAATCGGCGCAATTCCAGTTTTTGTCAGGATATACTTACTAAGTACTAGTAGTAGTATACCCCTGGATTACATGCAGCCAAATCTGGAGGAGGGGGATTCGATCTTGACGGTGTGTTCCAAGATTAGATCGGGACCCAGTGGATGGAAGGTCTTTCCGGCTTCCAGAACCGGGGGCTGCGACTTTACCCGACGAAAAACGTATCGGAGGGTCACGTGGTGCGTCTTTTAGAGGTGCTGGATCTTCGTTCATCCTTCATAAAACGCATGGGTAGGTTTTTCTAAAATTTTGTTCCAAATTTCTTTTATTTTTTCCAAGCATTGGAGCCATTTCATCACCGGCAGTTTCAGCTCTCCTTTAGTTAGACTAGAAGAAGTTGTGGTGACTTTGCCCCACGGCATGACGTCTGTGCTGATCCCTTTTACTTTCACTCCTTCACCGCATCAACAGTTGGGCCTCCATGGGATCCAACCAGGTCTTTTGATTAATTTACATTGACTACTCTAACGTCCCTTGCGAAGCACGACAGCCGGATCTGTCCACTCATTGAACAGTGATCGTGCAGATACTTGGAAGATTAACAATTAAGAGCCAGGGAAAACTTAATCTTGGGGAAAGACTAAAAGTCCCTATTTCTTTGTCTTGAACGCTATTCCACTTCAGCCTAACTTTCCTCTTCTCCGGCCTTCAGTCCCGTCGGACAAACAGTGGCCGAGGCTTGAATTCGTCTTTCTCTTGTCCCCGTGCTGCATATCCTGATTTGAAAAATCCATCCCGATTTGTTGTCCAGCATGTCTGTGAGAAGAGGTCAGACCAAGAGCTACTTTGCCAGTGTAAGTTGTTCCCGATGCTTGACGGTACTTGTTGGTCGCATTTCCGCTCTTTCACTGTTTTTGAACACATGCCTGTCATTCTTCATTATATGTTATCCAAACAAAAGTTGAATATTCGACTTGGTGCTCGATATATATAGTGAATCTTCTTCTCTCTCCTTTTTTCTTCTTATTTTATTTTCTTTTCACTGTGGCCATGTGCTTGTGTTTCCCCTGGCAACAATGTCTTTCAAAATCTAGATGGTGAGCGCATGGCGTCATCAAGTCCAGCTGCTGTCGGTGTCGTTTTATCACCATACTTACTGCCCCATTGTACTTCTCTTGAGGAAGCTTTGATACATGCAACATACGTACTCACTATTAAGCTAGGCAGATGACACTAAAATTTGTGTCGTTATGGTTGGCCTTCCAGCCAGGGGCAAAAGTCTCATAGCTGGGAAAGGTGTGTATCTCCCTCGGCGTAACCTTTCATGTGCTAGGTGCTAATACGCAAACTAGCAATGCGATATCTTGCTTGGGTCGGCATACCTGCTCGTGTATTTAACGTGGGAAGCTATCGCCGAAATAATACACCGCAACCAAATGCCACCTTCTTTGACCCTCACAACTCCGAGGGAGAGAAGATGAGAAAGGCTGCTGCAGAAGCTGCCATGTCGGATATGCTTCAATGGTTTAGCTCTGGAAAGGGGGTTGTGGCTATATTAGATGCTACCAATTCGACTAAATCTCGGCGAAGTTGGATTTACGAAAGCTGCCATGCTGCCAATGTTGAAACATTATTCGTTGAGTCAATATGCGATGAGGAAGACCTAATAATGAACAACATCCTCGAAGTCAAGACCACCTCGCCGGACTATAAGGGGCAGGACCCTGAGGCTGCTGCTTTGGATTTCCGCAACCGAATTCGCAATTACGAAAAGGTGTACGAGACCATTGACGATAATGAGAAGCATTACACCTACGTAAAACTCATTAATGTCGGGTCGACAGTGATCATAAACCAGATTAAAGACTATCTATCTAGTCGGTTGGTTTATTATATCCAGAATCTCCACATAAAACCCCGGTCAATCTGGCTCTCTCGCGTAAGTTGACACAGAATGAGTCAAGTATTAAAAGAGACGTTTATCTAACTCACGCTAGCATGGAGAATCAGAATATAATCTTACAGGGAAAATCGGTGGGGATTCTAACATTTCGCCACGGGGCGAGGCTTATGCCCGGGCACTTCCTGGTTTACTGAAAAAGTCCGGGGTGCCACCCAACACTAAAATCGTGATTTGGACATCTACTCTCAGGCGGACAATCCAGACAGCTCGACACCTCGCCGCGGAAACCGGATACGAGAAGTTGGAATGGAAAGCCCTTGATGAACTCGATTCAGGGGTGTGTGATGGACTGACATATGAACAAATCGCTGAAAAATACCCAGAGGACTTCGCCGCGCGTGACGAGGACAAGTACAACTACCGCTACCGAGGCGGCGAATCGTACCGCGATGTTGTCATTCGTCTTGAACCTATTATCATGGAACTGGAACGCAGCGAGAACGTCATCATTGTCACCCACCAGGCCGTGCTGCGATGTATCTATGCCTATTTCCTAAATACACCTCAGGAGCAGAGCCCGTGGATGGAGGTTCCTCTACATACTTTGATCAAGCTTACTCCTCGCGCCTACGGCACCGACGAACAGCGTTTTAAAGCCGACATCCCAGCTGTGTCTACCTGGCGTGCCAAAGGCACATCCGCAAAGCATCAAGATTACCCTACAGAGATCAAAGCGTGACATGCTAGTACCTAACTGATTAGGTTCTTCCGCTTTGGCTTCCAACCGTGTTCGATTGTTCCATTTCCGTTCGGGCTGTGCCTTCCATATTGTCTACCGCTTCCCAAGACATCCGGAGTACAAAACTCATTACATACGTTATTTCTCGACTTATCATATACCTTTTCTTCTATATAATCCCATGCTTTCCACAGGTCTCAGTCGGCTCCTGGTCATACATATAGAGTGGCCGGTATTGTTTATTTGATCCCAATGTCTTCGTCTTTGCATTAACGCAGCCTCAGAAACCATTCGCTCTGTGGGCAAGACTGTACGATTATGGAGTGAGGCTGCATGCGAGAACAGCTGGCAAGTGGAGACTAGGACCCATTGCACTTCAGCATTTGAGCGTCTTATCCGGTGAATAAAAAACATAGAATTCTCTGTCCATAGTTATGACCGTTATTCGTCTTTATTATGTATTCCTTGATTAGAAGACAATTACATGCCTAATAGATAGTAAGAGTAATAACAAATGTTGAGATGAAAATATAGATTGCAAAGCAACATTGAAGAGTATCGAATGCGCAGCCACATCATTGGTTGGGCCAAAAGGCGGCGAGACCGATTAGTTGTGTCACATGAGGCGGAAAGCGGCCGTCTGGATGGAGGTCCCATATAGTAGTGTCACACGCTTGGCGACAACGGGAAGTAGTGCTTGCCGATACCAGAGCAAAGCTGCAACAGGGGAGCAATCGCAGCATGCGTCTCCGCTTCATTAACTTCCCATGATCAACCCTGGCTGGACATGACTCTATCCCGCTCCTCAAGTGAAGAGGCGCGACCACGGAAGCTCGCTGCCAAGCCATGTTATCAGCGTTCACAGCTCGGCCTCTCGTCGAGCTCAAGCCCCGAGACAAGTCTAGGATTGAGTCGGTGCTCGCCTACGGCGACCGACTTCTTGTTGGACTGAACAATGGGAGCTTACGGATATACAGAATAAACGAGGTTTCCCCGGACGAACAAAATCACGATGACAACAACAACAACCATAGCCATGACGAGCAGGGCGGTGGAGGTACACTCAAGAACGGGGATAGTGGCCGGCCTGGGACGACGGACTCTGTCGCCAAGCCAAAACAGACTGATTTGCTTCGGGAATTGGAGAAGTTCTCGAGATATAAGATCGAGCAGCTGGCTCTGATCAAGGAGGCCAAGCTTCTCATCTCGCTGTCGGGCGGATACGTTTCGATTCATGACCTGCAGACCTACGAGTTCCAAGAACAGCTTACCAAAACGAAAGGAGCAACCACCTTCACCGTGACTTCAAATATCGTGAAGGATCCCGAGACCGGCGTTCCGTCCATTGTATCTCGTTTGGCGGTCGCAGTGAAGAGGAAAATATTGCTGTGGTCATGGCGCGATATGGAGTTGGATAGCGATGCCGCTGAGATGACGCTGGTCAGTGGGATCAAAACACTCACATGGGTTTCCGGGACAAAACTTGTGGCTGGACTCGGCTCGAACTTTGTAATGGTGGATATTGAGAGCTCGGTAATAACCGAATTAGCCGGACCGGGAAGCATTGGAGGTCTCGGGGGCCAGGAGACGAGTCGTCTAGCCGGCGTCGGAGTTGCTAGCATGAGTTATATCGGAATTGGCGGGGCAGCACCGAAGCCACTGGCAACACGGCTTAGCGAAGGGCAGATATTGTTAGCGAAGGACATCAATACCCATTTCATCGATATCAACGGCAACTCCCTGGGACGCAGGCAGATCCCATGGAGTCACGCTCCGGCAAATATTGGGTACTCTTACCCTTTCCTCCTCGCGCTCCATGACCCTTCAAAAGGTGTAATGGAAGTTAGGAATCCGGAGACGCTATCACTGTTGCAGTCGGTGGCTCTGCCATCCGCGAATGTCCTACATTTCCCACAGCCAAATATCAGTTTGGCACATGCAGGCAAGGGTTTTCTCGTTGGAAGTGACCGCACCATATGGCGGATGGAGGCCCTGAGCTATGATACGCAAATAGATACTCTTGTGGAAAAGGGGTATTTGGACGAAGCAATCAGCCTTACTAGCATGTTAGAAGATGCCTTACTCAGTGACAAGAATGGTCGACTACGGGCAATCAAAATGGAAAAGGCTCAGGGGCTTTTTACCCTGCGCAAATACCGTGACTCATTGGACTTGTTCACCGACATCTCGGCTCCCCCAGAGACTGTCATCCGATTGTACCCTAAAGTCATTGCTGGCGATATATCGTCAATTGACGAAGAGGATGAGTCTGAGGAGAGTACCACAGATGATCCATTAAAGTCAAACGATGGTCAAGTTCAGCTGGACGGTGTTAATACAGAGCACACTCCTGCTCCAAAGACACTCAACCATGCTCCCTCAGTACGATCTCTCCTTCGAACTCGCACAGATGATTGGAGCGATGCTGGCAGTATCCGCGGCAAACCCACGGAAGAAGCTCGGAACGAGAAACCTCTACACGGAAAAGACCTCTTGACTGCCGTTCGCGAATTACAGAAATATCTGGCCGATGTACGGAGGAGGTTCCAGCGGTTCTTGAATCCTGACGGATCACTCAAGATGATCGACTCTCCCTCTGACGCAGCAAACGATGAGTTCACTGATTCGGTGATGAAATTGCTCGATATCACCAAGGACATCCATGACCACGAATTCGCTGAAAAGCTGCGCGAGGAAGCCAGGCTCGTCGATACGACTTTCTTCCGGGTTTGCATGTACGCCACTCCTGCTCTCGCTGGCTCGCTCTTTCGAATCGCCAACTTCTGTGACCCGGAGGTCGTCATGGAAAAGTTGGAGGAAACTGGCCGTTACAATGACCTGATCGATTTCCTTTACGGAAAGAAGATGCATCGTCAAGCCCTGGAGCTCCTGCAACGATTTGGTCAAGCTGAGTCTGAGACTGAAACGGCACCGCAGCTCCATGGTCCCAAGCGAACAGTTGCGTATCTGCAAAACTTGGCACCGGACCGAATTGATCTCATCCTCGAATTCGCAGAATGGCCCGTGAAGGAAGATCCCAACCTTGGTATGGAGGTTTTTCTAGCAGACACTGAGAATGCAGAGACACTACCCCGACACCAGGTTCTCGAGTTCTTGCAAGGCATCGACCCGGATTTGGCTGTTCGATATCTCGAACATGTAATCGGAGAGTTGAACGACATGACTCCGGATCTACACCAAAAGCTCCTCACTTTCTACATGGCTCGGTTAAAGAAAGACGGATCCGACAACTGGGCATTCCCTAGCAATGAGGAACGTATTGTATGGAGAAGCAAATTCCTGGAGATGTTGAGGTCAAGCTCTCAATATTCACCAGCTAAGATACTTGATAGCCTTGATCGCGATGGTACCAACTACCCGTTCTACATCTTTACTTATACGCCCAGCTAACCATGCAATAGATCCTGAATCTTCGAAGCAAGAGCCATTGTCTTTAGTAAAATGGGTCAGCACAGGCAGGCCCTGGAAATCTATGTCTTCAAATTGGAGGATTATGCGAAGGCGGAAGAGTACGTTCGGTGAACCGCACGCTTTATTTACGTTCTTCAAGGGGTTGTTCTAATAGACTTTCTGCAGGTATTGTAACCATTTCCATAAGACGGAGGATGTAACTGCCGAAGCCGCACCTTTATCGGTGGTTGACTCCGGTGATAAACCATCTATACATCTGACTCTACTGTCGCTGTATCTCACTCCACCTCATGGATATGAGCGCCGATATGGGCCTGCGCTGGAGATACTTGCAAAGCACGGATCTCGTCTTCCACCAAGTTCAGCATTAGAGCTGATCCCCGAGTCACTGCCTGTTAAAGAACTTGACTTTTATTTCAAGGGCCGTATGCGGGCAGCCACCTCGGCGTTAAACGAAAGTCGAATTGTGGCCAGTTTGCAGAAAGCTCAGAAGTTCAAGACCGAAGCGCAGCTCATGGTGGGTGAAGGGACGGACGGAAAGTCATGCAGAATGAGACATGTCACCATCACCGAGGAAAGGATATGTGGCATCTGTCACAAGCGTATCGGTGGCAGTGTGATTAATGTGTTCCCAGAGTATGTTTTCCACCAGTGGTTGTATCTTCGTTCTCCCGCTGACTTGCCCATAGTAATACTGTTGTCCACCTTGGCTGTGCCAATCGTGCATCCGCTGCTTCATGAAGTTTCTTGCAAATAGAATCAGGTTGGCCTCTTTGGCCATGCGTTGACCATTTGGCTTCCACATTTAGTTGCTGCTGTCTTTTTATTTTCTTCTTTTTTCCCCCTTCCCCTCCTGGTCCTTCTCTCTTCCCATCAAAGTCTCTGCGCATTTTGTTATCAATGCATATTATCGCAATGGAGTGGCGGATGATTTCTGCTCTTTGATACCCAGGATAGCGATGTTATCCAAGGATCCGTTCTATATTTTTACTTGGCACTTTCGAGTCCTCATCACTTCTTGTAATATAGCCTGTCTCCTTGGCATAATCGCGACAGTCATCAAGACTTCGGTCATAGACTAGTTAAACTTTCAGGCATCCTCCTCGACAACCTCCTCTCCGTAGTTCTCCTCCTCTTTGCGTTCTTGCTCTGAGATTTGACGTCCCTGGGCTTCGGCGAGCTTTTTATCCTCCTCCATCCGTTCGGTCAGGAACACGTTGATATCATTCTGCAGATTCGGCACTAATTTCCTGAGCTCGGACAAATAAGCTACCTTAGTCTGTACATTTTCTGGGGATAAATCGGTGGAGGGCAAAGGCGAGGAGATGGAGTGCTCAAAAGTCTGCGTCGACTGAGGGGCAGAATAGACCGCGCGCAGGGGATTGGATGGGGCGGAGGAAGTGCCTGCCGCCATAATATCGGTATTGCAGAATGTCTCCTTAGTCGGGGAAGTTTTTAGTCGTTTTGAATCGTGCTGATCGTCTGAGTTGGTAGTAGCAGACATTGAGGGGAAGATTATGTTGGCTGGGGGTTAGTTCGATTCATGGAGCAATAGTCGGCGGGGCGCCTGAATTATGGGAAGGCGGTGTTGGTTTCATTTCAGATTGTGCGCGGCGGAGTCAAGCAAAGATCGACGACAAATGGACACTTATGTACGCTTATAGTTCTCCGTCATCTCTCACGGCTGCTGATCCTTCACTAGGCGGCTGAATTAATCTACGTATTAGATTCAACGCCAGGATCTGGTAAACAAATCACAACAACTACAACCCATGACAACGGAACATGGGGAATGTGGCTATGGTGTCCGAATAACTCCGTCTGACTCGCTCTCATTTGTTGCCCACCGTTACGTATAAATTACACACTGCCTGAACGACCAACAGCAACAATGTTACGCTCGCCGATTTCACCTGAGCGTTCCTCCGCCCGACCGCCAAATCCCTCTCGACCATCCTTCGATAGTGAATTGGAACGTCCAGGCTCCTCTGGAAGTGATGCCTCTTCAGTGACTTCCAATGTGACAACCATATCCGCCGTCCAAACCCCATTTTATCAACCTCCTAGTGGGACGTCGTCCCCCCGGCCGCCGCGGACCTCATCGATTACCACCGCCACCGTGAGTAGCCAGAACGGCCCTTCGCCTACCCGCACTCGGCCTCCCGCTTCCTTCATGCCACAAAATGAGATATCGAGTAGGAAACCGACGGGTCGGGCGCATCCGCCCGATCTGATGATGAAACATCGGTCTCGACATCACTCACAGGGGTTCTTCGAACCTTCCCTCCCTACGGCGTCCGCCTCGGACTCGACCATTTCGGCTTCGAGAATCGCAGCCCAGACTGCGATGCAACAACAGCAGCAGCAACAGGGCAGTAACACGCAACAACTACCCAAACGACCTCAGACCATTCTCTATACTCCGGACGATGGATCGAGAACCAGGGGAGGTAGTATTTCCCCTCCCCCACTATTGCCAGCCCCTTCCCTACCACCGCCCGGGTCCAGTGGATCATCAGGGCAAACATATCAGAATGGCCATTCCGGTGTGGCGACCACTGCAGCCAATGTGGCGTTTCCACGACACGCTGGGCTGCAACCTCCCGGGCTAGAAGCGCCGCCGGAAAAGGAGCACAAACATAAAGGAGAGAAACCGAAGATGAAGCTGTTTTCGAAGCCGAAACATATTGGGATTAGCCGGGATAAAGACGGAATACCAAAAGATAGGGGGCTCCCATCACCCAGCAAAATGGGTTTCTCCGGAGCAGGATTGTCACGCATTGTCAGTGCATCTACGACAAGCTTAGCTGAGACCTTCCCATCTAACAACTCCTCGATGTATAACCTATCCAATGCTTCTGCGAGCACGGTGGTCCCCGCCGATAAGCCGATGTCCAATGAGAAAGAGAAGGACAAGGAAAAGGCCCATAAGCATCATTTTTTGTCGAGGCAAAAGCTGAAGTTAAAGGACCGAGATGATCATTACAATCTACCGCTATCTTCTGCTTCTAGTAACTCCAAACCGTCCGACCCGAACGCCCCCCAGTCGCTTTACTCATTTACACCTGCTTCTCCGGGTCCAACGTCGACTACGTTTGGCAAATCGGTGAGTGGGTTAGATATCCTTCACGGTGGTCGGGCTTTACGGGAAAAGAAGAAGGAGGAGAAGGAGAAAGAGAAGGCGATGGCGGAGTCGGAGCAGCATGAATGGATGACTGGCCCGACAGGCGTTGGTGGTACGTCGACTGTATTTGCGGGGCCATCCTCAATTGGCTCGGCTGGGGGTCTCACAGAGGCTGCTCTTCGAGAAACCTTACAAGGGTTTGGCCTCAACAACATGTCGCCGGAAGATGCGTGGGATTTCCTGAAGGCTAAGCTGTTGGTGATTTTCGATGGGGAAGACGTTCGTATTTCCATCGAAGATCTCAACAAGCTGGTGTTGATTCACATCCAGCGCTGTGTGCAAAAGCGCACACCATCCGCCATTGTTGATGATCTACGGGAGCTACTCGAGACCGGATTTGCATCCTTGAATCATACATTAAACGGGGTACCCGATGAGAAGCTGGTTCCTCATTTGGTGCAAATATGGATGCTAGTCTTTGGCACAATTCTTCCGTTCATACAGGCTGTCTTCTTACCCTTGGACCTCGAGTTCAGGGGTTGCGGGACTGTGATGAACCTTCGAGAGGCCCGCGAGTTCTGGGCTGCCGCCTTGAATGGGGATTATCCTGGGTGCGAGCTTGAAGTCCGCAACCTTGTGTTGATAGCTTTCCGTGATAAGGTCATTCTTTATCGTTACGACGGCCTTAAGGCTACATTTTCCCGGTTGAGTCTTGAAAATATCAACTTGGGCAATTCTGCCCTCAGCGTAACGACAAAGAGCAGCAGTAGTAGTGGTCGGCCCGCAACAGCTGCCTCGCTGGATGCCGGTTTTGGCAGCTACAATTCTCAGTCTTCCACTCTCCTCAATACTGCGGCCAGCTACTCTTCAGACTCTATGAGCTGCAACCGCAGTCGTGCTGCTTCCAACACTTCGTCCAACCCTGACCAACTTATCTTCCAATCGTTTTCGTCCCCGACACAACGGCCGACCATCATCCATCGATCGTCTCATACCGCTGATACGTCTCATGTTATCACAGAGACCGTTGGTCGGATGCTTCAATGCGTTAGTGTTTTAGCCAGTGTGCAGACGGGCGGCAAACCGCAAGAGAAAATTGAGCTTCTGAGCAAAGCGCTTAAGCACAATTGGCTCGGCCGTGGCCGCACTGGGCGAGACCGACGAGGATTTGTTGGAGCTAAGATTCGACCGGCGATGGTTACACGGACCGAGAGCGATGATTCCATGAGAGATAGAAACGGTGATTCGGGTATCATGCGAGATGGGCATCGGGAAATGAGTGTTCTTTGAGACGGTCTACTTCGTGCATTTATCAGCTTGTCTTGGTTTTTCTGGCGCACATAGATACCTCCGGCGTGATTGTCAAAGTGGGATGTTCTTTGATATCCTTGGGAGTCTGTTGGGTATTGTTTTTCCTTTTATTTTTATTTTTCTCATTTTTTTTTTTTTTTTACAGTATGGCTACTACTGGGTCTGTTCTCAATCCATTGGGCACATGCATCCGCAGCAGCAACTCTAGTAACACTGCCATTCTACGAATTTGAAGGGGTAGGGTATCTGAACATTATATTGTATGGCAATCCACGAACTTTGGCAAGGAATTTACACTGCTGTCCAGCTGTAGCCTCTTCATTTGCATCTAACTCGGTTCTCTACGTGTCAATCCTTTTCCTACATTACTGATCATTACTGAATGATCTGACTCTGCTTAAATCTTTAAGAGCGCTGTAGAACAATTCGTTGCGTCCTCACCCGGACGGCATTCGCAGCCTCCAGCCTTCTAATCCCCTGTGCAATCCTTCACCAACACTGAAAGTGTAATCAGCAAGTCAATACATTCACTGATCAGAGAATCTCAGTAGCCCAGCAACACTTGTTTCCCTTGCAAATCGATCAGGCCATCCTTGGATTCACGGAGTTCCTCTACTCACTGGTTCCTTCATCTCACCAGACTACATTGGTATCCTAATCACTTCAACATCTATAGTCTGAGCAGCCAGAGTGTTCCTACCCTTCTCTCTCTTATCATTCACAACCAAAGACTCGACATCGCGAATCCCAACTCACCTCACAACATCCACTCCCACAAGTCCCACATACTTATCTACCAACCAACGAACAATGGACCAGGCACCTCCAACTCCACCCACACCCGCCTCCCAGGAGGACACCATGCCCGAATTCACCCCCATCAACGGCAATACAGCCGAAACTTCGGTCCCCTCCCCCTCGGTAAGCTTTCCTCAAGTCCCCCAAGTCACTAACCAACAAACTAAACAAAAGCCTCCAGGCCGTAGCAGCAAACACCCCCACCAAACGTGGCAAGAAATCCGCAGCCGCCAACGGCGAGAAAGCCTCACCTTCCAAGAAGGCCAAGGCAGCGGCGGGATCCAGCCCCTCGAAGAAAACCATCGGACCCATCCCGACCTCGTTCGAGGCGGCTGGATTATCCGATCGAATGATTATTCAGATGCGAGATGAAGAGGGCAAGAACTGGGGTGATATTAATGAGTCTTGGACGAAGATGACTGGTATCAAAGTAGGGACTAGTACGCTGCGAATGAGATATACAACTATGAAGGCGAATTTTGTGGAGTTTACTGGGGAAGATGTACGTTCTTCTTCTCTGTTTGTTACTTTCATTAGGCTTGGTAGTGATTCGTGCTGACGGTATTTGTGCATAGGAAGCGAGACTTCTTCGTCTTAAGAAGGAGATTGAGGAGAAGTTTGAGCAGGAGAAGTGGCCTAAGCTTATGGAGGCTATTGAGGCTGACGGTGGCAAGAAGTATCCTGTTGCTGCTTTGCAGAAGAAATTCAAGGATCTGGCTAAGGGTAACAATCAGGCTGATGCTGTCAAGGAGGAGTAAGAGACTCTGAGGTTTACTGGGCTTCCATGGGAGGTGGAGGGCAGGTTAGAGCTAGGAAAAGTGATGCGAAGTAGAGATTTGGGCTAAATACAATTGAATATGACACAGCTGGACAGCTATAGTGTTCTTCTTGCAGAAATCTGACCTAATTCGTCTCCATGAAGTCAATTCTAACACATAGCCTAGCTGATTGTCAAGTCAACCGATAAATTATGGTGTCACTGATAATCCACGGTAGGGCAAAAATATCCGGTCTGGTTCTTCAGCTGACGAGAGTTCCATACAAGTGGGAACATCTGGAACGACGATGTTCAATCGGAATAAATCCTGCTCGGATTATGTCCTCATCCTTGTCCATACTGACTGAGCTCAAATATCCGGGACTGGGATGCGAGGGGGTTTGCATTACGTGTTTTGGTAATTGAGACAGGGAAATGCAGCTCAAATGCGATCTGTGATTGTCATTCGAATAGTAGTTTATTTTTTTTTTCTTACTCTTTTTGTTCTCTTAGTTTACTCCCACTACTTGCAATTAAATATCGGAAAGCTAGGCATCACTACAAAGGGTAAGACTATATATTTATAGTACTAGTCAGTACGCTATCCCTTACCCCGACCAGCATCCTCCTATAGAATCACAGATAGATATAACTCAGCGCCCTAGGGGCAAAAGTACAGTACAGCTGCACTTGCGCACTGACAGCCTGCATAGGCAGGGGTGAGGGGAAAAAGAGACTGGAAATCATCGCCGATTCCTGCGGTCACGGTTGTGTAACCCAGCGATCGGCAGGTCTGGTCCTTGACTCATGACGATCATGAAAATTATGATCGTTGTTGTTATTATCATCATTACGGCCTCCCCCCAAGGCATCCTTCAGGCTGAAAAGCAATGGGATGATTAAAATGTCAGTTGCCCGGTAATCATCTGGCCGAGATAGAGTTATAGCCCTGAAGAAATCCTCGTCGTAGTGAGTCATGAATACCTAAATTAGGCAGAGAACAAAAAGTAAATCCATCCAAAAAACTCCATTCTGGATCTGCGCCATTAGAACCCATTCCTGGGACAAACGATCATTGGTAGGGATGCCTGCATCGTGGGGCTGAACTGAAGCGCTGACAACAACTCAGCGCCTCAGGCAGAGCTGTGATTGGGACATGCAGCTCTCAGGCATCACTGCTTTGCTTCTTCCTAGAATCCGTGACTGTCCAACAATCGGTCCCTGTGTATTCGCCTTTCTTTTACCGTTTATAACGCGCTATCATCCCACGATCCCTTTCTGACTGCTACTTTCCGGGGGACTTCGTCAATTCCCGCAATGACTACGCCAGTCTCCGCTCTGTGACCACGATTCCTTTCAACCTCTGTGGTAAGGTTGCCTTCATGCTACCGACCTCTTCTTTCGTTCTCGATACACGATACATCCCGCGCCCAAGTCGTAGGGCATTGGACGTCTTCCGCCTCATTCTCACCGCCAGAAGAGCCCTCCCTCGTCGGCCAATCCATTCCGATTATACGAAGCAAGGCGCCAACCTAGCCTGTGATATCTGTGTTTAGGCATCAGGTCTCGTACGTCAGTTCAGGTAAGCTGGTTTATTCCGCCCATTGTGGTATATGTATTGGTCTTCTCCCTTTTCTCGTGCACCTGATCCACCGACACCCTACATTCACACCCCAATCCGACTTTCATCCATAATATCCCGTATTAAACCTGTCACGACTATATTCCCCTCCCACTTGCTAGAGCTCACTGACAATGTCATCAAGTGCTACCGCTTTAAATTCTAGCTCTAACAACGCAGCTCAACATTCCGTCATAGAACCCGAGCCACAAAAAGAGCAAAGCTCGGATCCGCTCTTGACCCCATCTGCTCCGCTCCCCGAAGCAGCTCCACAGCGGGCCCTATCTAATCAGCGCCCTGAAGCCATGGCCGATTCCAGCGTGACGACCACCACTGCCGCATCGGAAACTAAACATGAGGCCGAGCCGCCGGCCGACAACACTACTATCAAGCCAGATGCGAAATCAACCGTTGCCGTGTCAGAAACCGCCCCAGCTTGCAAAAAACATCCGTCCAAGGAAAAAGACCCTAACGGCCGCAATCGCGATTCGAAAAAGAAGAGCCATAGGTCTAAGACATCATCCGTAGTCACTCCTAGTGATGACAGTTCGAATGAGTCGGATTCCTCTGCTGATAGCTCTAGCGCTGAGGAATCTGCATCCGAAGACGAAGAATCTCCCTCCAGTTCATCTGAATCGGAGCCGGAAAGGACACATCGGCGGAGAGGAACAAAGAACAAGACAAAGAAGTCGCTAAGAAGCAGCCGGAAGAAGAAGTCCCGGCCGCAATATGAATCTGAGTCTGAGTCAGACTCAGGTGAGAGTGAGGATGATGATACTACCCTCGATGAGAAGGCTGTCAAGCGGCTTGTATCCAAGCTCAAAGCACGAAAGAAGGCTAAAAAACACCGGTCCCAGGAGGATTCATCAGAGGACCTGGAGGACTCAGACGAGGAAGCTGACCCGGACGACATGGCGCTCTTGCTTGCGGAAGAGCGATTAGCCTCTTTGAGACTGAAACGAGGTGATGGCAGGCGTCGTAACAGAACCCGAGGTAAACGGAACTCATCCGACGGGCAGGCAGACGGCCAAAGAAAATCCAAAGGCAGGAAGAAAACTGCTTCAAAGATAGCTTTCAAGCGAGTAGATGAATGTATGTGCGAGCCGAAATCTACCTACAGATCAGAACGGCCAGTACTAACCAGATGACTACTCTCAGTGTGGGACAATACCATTCATAACTACAAGCTTACAGAGACTGTGGACGACCCAGAGGCTAATGAATGGGACCAATATCTATTCACCGTACGCCGCAAATTTGACTGGGATAACAAGTACACGGAAACGGTGGTAGATTTGAAAAGCAAGTACATTCGCGATGCACTTTCCAAGGTGATGGACGGCGTTAAGGGGGTCAGCTTAGTGCAGGAGACGGCCGTCGTTGACCCCAATATGCTTTTCTTATATCTTGAAGAGACCCGCCAATACATGAAGGATCTAAAGCAGCAGGCGAAAACGGAGAAAAAGAAAAAAGCTAAAAAAGTGGCTACAACCAAGGCGGCCCATCTCAAGGTTCTTGTCAAGTATCTAGATACAGACTACGCCGAGACCAAAAAAACCCTGTATCCGCTGCTAGAAGCCAACACAATAACCTTCGATCTACTATGGGCATTGTTCAAGCCGAACACCATCGCATATACCCCAACATACGGGAATCAGGACGAGCCACGCGCTTTTAAGCTCGAGTATGCCACCAAGGAGTCCTCTTTCATGAAAGGTCAGTGGTACAGCATTGAAGGCCGCTACCTTGAATACGACGGGAAATCATTTGGCATGGGAACAATGCTGGCTGAAGTGGAAAGTTTCAAGGGTGCTCGCAGGATAACCAGCCTCAACTGCTACCCGCTGAAGTACCATCGAGAGGCTGAAGACGTCAAAGCTAAACTAATTGAGAGAGGCAAGAAGTTTGTATCAATGAGAGGTATGAACTACCGATTCCACAAAGGGATGGGTTTCTACAAGAAGAAGCGGTCTGTTATCAAAGTCAACATCAACGGAAGAGTTATGATCGATCCTGCCATTCACCGCCGGATCAACCCTAACTATCCCATCAGCACTGTCCGCCCGAAAGATGCAGATTATATTGATGACTCCGACGGCGCCGGTAGTGATGGCGGATGCTGCTGTGTATCAGAATCTGACTCAGATGACCCGTACGTACACCGTCGGGACTCGGATACCCCTAGAGTCCGGTACAAGGTCATCCAGGATAAGGAGGGCACGCCGCACGTGGTCGAAGTTGAGCTAGATGAAAATGGCAACGAAATCCAGAAGGAACAAATGGACGAAGTCGAGGATCCATCTGAGAGAGACTTCACCGAAGAGGAACTGCTGATAGCCAGTCCGGTGGTTCTGGGGTTTGCCTTTAGTGAGAAACTGTGGCTAGAGTTTAGCATCTCAGGCATCAGCGACATCAACTGGAATGAAGACGCATTCGACTCGTTGGTCCTTCCAGACAATCAGAAATCGATTGTCAAGGCCCTTGTGGAGTCCCACACTTTCTGTGCCGCACAGAACATCGACGACGTTATTCAAGGCAAGGGCAAAGGTCTAGTAGCTGTGCTCCACGGACCACCAGGCACAGGTAAAACACTGACGGCCGAAGGCATCGCCGAGCTGCTCAAACGCCCGTTGTACATGGTCAGCGCGGGGGAGCTCGGGACGGACTCCCGAACCCTGGAAGCTGAGCTTAATAAGATCTTGGATATTGCCCATTCCTGGGGCGCTGTGCTCCTGCTCGATGAAGCAGATATATTTCTCGAAAAACGCACAATCCAGGACATCCACCGCAATGCTCTCGTTAGCATCTTCCTTCGTCTCCTAGAGTACTTCCAAGGCATTCTTTTCCTGACAACTAACCGAGTGGAAACCTTCGACGATGCCTTCCAATCCCGAATCCACGTCGCCCTGCGGTACGGAGACCTCACCACCAAGGCGAAGCGAAGCGTATGGAAAATGTTCCTCGAGAAAGTCCAGGCAATGGACGGCGTGCAAACAGCAACCTTCACCGAAAAAGACTTCGACGCTCTCGCGCGCCACAATCTCAACGGACGACAGGTATGCTTACCCCCTCCACCACCCTCCTAATCCATCCTAAAGAACCCAAACTAACCCATACCCTAGATCAAAAACTCCGTCCGCACCGCGCAAGCCCTAGCCGTCAACGAGAAAAATCCCCTCTCCATGGAACACATCAAGAGAGTCTTACAAGTAGCAGAAACATTCGACCACGATCTCCGCGGTGGAACAGGATACATCGATGCAATGAGAAGCTACACGTGAGACACGACAGATATAAGAGCAGATACGACTTACGAACGATAACTAGTACATGAATATGAAAAACGGGATGAGATATGAAAATGAGATAATACGAAATGGTCACGGTGTTTTCCCTGGGAGATAGACTATCCGTTCGTGATCAGTTTATTACAATAATCTATTTATCTTTTGAATTGGTTTGTTGGGGGACTGAGGGATATCCTATTCGATCCTGGCCTTCTCTCCTTGTTTCGTCTATTTCGCTCCTCTTTCGTTTGTGTCATCACTGGGGCGGGTCTGATTTGATTAGTGTTTCTTGTTTTGATTATATGGGACGAATTTACGAAAATCTTGCAGGTAGCTGGTTTCGGAAGGTAGGGTAAGAAATAGAAGAATAAAGACAGAATTAAGAATGGATACCAAGATTATCACATCGCATCAGATAAGATCTATCTACATGCCTCGGTAAAGCGGGTCCTTCAGTTATGTCGCATCATATCAGTTACAAAATATGTACAGTCTACTTTGGACAAGGCTTTCGAGCCGAATACAGACATCAGGGGAATCAATTATATTTTGAAATGTTTAGGAAATACATGTTCGTCGCCTTTGCCATCATGAAACGAGGGGACTCATCAATTGACTATCCATCAGCTCGTCATTGCTCCAGAAACAAACTGCAGCTGCATCTCCTCCGATATAAAGCCGATGCGAGTGGAAGCATACACGATGGGTAATAGGCGCAAAATGTCATACACAAGACTGTTATACAGGGAGGAAAAGAGCTGCAGACGGTCTAGTTTACCTTATGAGAGTAATTTAAGGGTTGGCCTTGACGAAGTCAATACCCTTCTGGATGTTCTTCTTGAGGTCACCAAGGCAGGCCGCGAGGAGCTTCTCCTCGTAGGAGTTGACCTGGCCAACGGGAAGGATCTTCTCAACACCGTTGGGGCCGAGCTCGACCTTGGAGGCGAAGAAGTCAACACCCTGGTCCTTGTAGAGAGGGCTGTCGACGAAAGTGGGCTCAATGACACCCTTCTCACCCTGGGCGGCCTTGAGGAGGGACTCAGCCATGCGAGCACCAGCCATGGCCATGGAGAGGGTGGCAGAGCCAGCACCATCCTTGGCCTTAACGACCTCATCACCACCGAACTGGATGCGGTTGACGAGCTGGTCGCGGGTCTCACCCTCAATGCTGGGGTGGTTGGACTGGGAGAGAAGAGGGACAATTGTCACACCGGAGTGGCCACCGACGACAGGGACGGCCTCGTTGGCGGGGTCGGTCTTCTGGACCTGGGAGATGAAGCGAGAGGCACGGACAACGTCAAGGGTGGTAACACCGAAGAGGCGCTTGGGGTTGTAGACACCCTTAGACTTGAAGACCTCGGAGACAATGGGGACGGTGGAGTTAACCTGATTGTAATTAGCACGAGATAACTGGTGATAGTAGGTAAAACCATCATACAGGGTTGGAGATGACGAGGATGTTGGCCTCGGGGGAAGCCTCAGCAGCAGCCTTAGCAAGGTCGCGCACAATGGAGGCGTTGGTGTTGAAGAGGTCTGGCGATATTTCCATCAGTATTCAATTTCCAGTGGCATTGCGAAGTTATGATATCCATACCGTCACGGGTCATGCCGGGCTTGCGAGGAACACCGGCAGGGATGAGGACGATCTCAGAGCCCTTGAGAGCATCGCGGAGGCCAGATGGGGTAGCTTCGAAGCCAGAGACGGTGCTGTTGGTGTTGATGTGGCTCAGGTCAGCGGCAACACCTGTCGCATCACCCATGTCAGTCTTGTCTTAAATCACTGAAGTCGAAGATGCTGCAAGCTGTGCAGAAACATACCAGGGCCACCGCGGATGTCGTAGAGGGCAAGTTCAGAAACACGGGGGTTGAGCTTGAGAAGAAGGGAGAGAGGCTGGCCAATGCCACCAGCGGCACCAAGAACGGTAACCTTGGAAGCCTGTGAACAAGAAGGTAGGTTAGTCTGTTAGTTTTTCTGTTGTTGTAGAGCTAGTTCCGAGGTCCAGAAACAGAAAGGTTCGATGGACTCAATCACATACCTGGCTGGCAGAAGCGGAGAAGCCGCGCTTCTGGAGGAGGTTGAAAGACTGGCGAGCAGCGAACATTGTGAATGATGTGTAAGGAGGGATAGAATGAATTCTATCTAAAAGAAATGGAGAGGTGAGGTGGAGAGAAAAAAGAAGAGCGGATGAGAAAGGGGAGGAAGGAAGAAAGGGAAAGAGGAATCGGCGGCCGTTCGTTGCCGGTGAGAAGGAATTCACTAACGAATTTGGTTTGTTGGCGGCTAAATCGCTCCGTTTCCGATTCTTTCCCCACGCACGGCTGACTCGGAATCATTCGTCACTTCACATGGGGACCGGAGTCAACCCTCGTATAATTTGAATAAATACCCGACTTGTATTGATTCCTGTTCTCGGTTTTAAATCGATCACTCGATTACATCCATGACCACGTAGCCTTTCAGTTGATCTTAATGGCATATAGATACAAACAAGAAAGAAAAAAGCATAGAATGATATCATAATGCAATCCGAACACCTGCGCTTGCACAAACCCAAGCAACATCCAGAGAACCCCATACCAACGGACAACAAAAAAAATCATAAACTATCTCAAAAAGTGCAATACAGCCCAGCAGAAGAGAAAGAATATCACAACCCCACCCCAGAAAATCCACTTGTCCTGCTTTGCCCGTCGCTCCACTTTTCGGATAGTTTCACCACTGACTCCCAGAGTATTAGCGACACTATACAGCCGACGCTGCGTCCCCTTCAGCACCTCTCGCTGCTGTCCAAGATCCGCAAGTACAGCACGTCCCCGGTCCAGGAAGTCATCGAGCTGTGTGCTCGTGTTGGCCAAGAAAGATTGCTCGCGAAGCGCATGAGTCTCTCGGTTGTAATCTGCGGGTGAAGCACCAAAACTGAGCCCCCCCCGGGACGAAGATGGAGCAAAAGCCGATGACTGTGGAAGAGAGGATTGGGCGTATGGGTTCTCTGGGGTCGCTGTGTGATGTGGACGTCGACCAAGCAATTCACTACGGTTTGTCACGGATTGCTATAACATCCAAGTTTATCAGGATCAGCGCATATCAAGGTTGGCATAATCTAAACAAGTCTCAAGAACTTACGGCATCCTCTCGTTCTTTGCGTAGCCGATCGAAATGCTGTCGGTAATCTGCAAGCTCCGACCGGAAATTACTGCAGAACCATGTCTCGGTCAGCTTGTCTCTATGAGCAACTTGGATATAGTTTCCTACTTTACTCTCTCAAACGCCTTCTGTTGCTTCTCGGGTATCAATTCTTTCTTCGATAGAGCTGAGTAGTCATCGACGGTACGCGATAGGGAGGCAAGTGAAGCTGCGATCTGGCCTATAGTCTTGCATAAGTTTCCAACACAGCTGAAGGCTCGTACATGTTTATCTTTGTAGGGCGAAAGGCCAGTCCGTACCTTGTAATGCGGGTGAGGATGTGGCAGGAGACTGTGCGAATGTGTCCAGATCGCGACGGATAGCAGAAGACTGCTTCAATGCCGAATTGAAAAGAGAGTTCTGTGCAGTTTACACCTGTTAGACACAATTCAGTAACCAAACATCAACACAAATAACGTACCATTTTCACAGACAACCCCGTTACGGTACTCTCTGCATATAAACACAGTAGAGGCTTACGAAATCGGATGAAAGAGTCAGCTGCCGTAGGAGGGCCTTTAGTACAATGTATTGAGCAAATATCAACTGATTTGTGGTTTTAGCGGAGCGGTGATGTGGTCGTTATGCTTGTACCTTTACTACGGTCTTGTAGATAATCCCGGCCGAGGCCACATGTTCTTGCAGTCGCACAATTCTGACGTCGCTGACCGCCTCTCGGCGCAGCTTTTAAATGTTCAACTATTTCCATCTTCATTTTTTACTAGCAATGCCCAGCTATAAACAGACTTTTGCAAGTTAATATTGTCTAGCAAACCGTGGGACATGGTCAGCATTTGGCTTGTCATACTATGACGCATGTTTAACTCAATTGTACTGTACTCAAAACTCAATTACTCCAGATATAAATTGGCTATATATATACTGAACATCAATGATACTCCGATGCCAAACAAGGAGTAGGGTATGCTATTATGAATTACTGATACAACAAAAAGGATTCATCACTGCGCCAACTCCAGCTCTTGGGAAGTGTGGGTAACAGAGCTATAATGAAATATCTGACAATCAGAAACGGTCATATAGAAACAAACCCCCAGACTGAACGTCAGGAACAGTAAAACCCTTTATCTATTTGGGAGGGTACTTGTTTTGGAGAAACCACCTGACAGAGTTAAGTATTAGCAATACGGGCTTCGAGATTGACATTGAGCACATTGAGGAACTTACTTGCTGACGAAATAATCAACCGCACCAAATGCTCCAACAGCACCGGACCAAAGTCCAATCAGCTCCCAGGAGAGTTTGCCTCCGACATGTTTCCGGTATGCACCGAACCCCAGTCCTGCGCCCACCAAGCTTAGGAGCACAGCATTGCCGATATAAACCGGATTATCCAAGTTGCGACACACGCCAGAAGCCTTAGCCTTGGCCTTGGCCTTAGCTTTTCGTTCTTCTCTCGCTTTCTTGTTTTCCTCAGACTCTTCCCGCTCTATCCGCTCGGCTTGAGTGGTGGTCTTGATGTCTTGGTCTAGAAAATTCGAATCCACGACAGTGACGTGTTGCGAATCTACATCGACTAACGAGGCAGTGCTCTCAGATTCGTCCTTATAGACCCCACCTACACTAGGGGCACGGCTTTATTTCAATTAGTTAGAGGCATATTCTGATGTATAGTTTTGTAAACAGGCCATGTATCGACTTACGCCTAACTGGAGTGTTAGTCCTGATACTAATAAATGCAAGTTCATTGGCGGCAGAGAAGATATGGGGAGAGATGTAACGTACCTCTTCTGCGGATTGTTCCGGGCCCTTGGCGGCTACTTCGGCATAAGACATGTTTGGAACGCCACGTAGATTGGAAAGTTATGTGTTTATGGATGTGTTTATGGTCTGTGACGGAGTTAGTTCGGCGAAGGCATGGTTGGTAGACTGTAACATGGAGTCTATAATGGATTGTTGACATGATCAACCTACCTGGAAAGGTAAAAGGAAAAGGATACTGATCCAAGGGGGAGCTGAGAAAGGCACTCTCAAATCACTGTTAGATGAAAGTGAAGTAAAGTTCAAGAGAAGACGCATGCATGGATTTATACGAATGCCAGGGCGAAAGAGCGGGCGTGAAAGAATGACATCACGTCACTGATCAGCCGGTGGAGTTGGAGCACTGCCAAGACCCGCCATTCATGGTCACATTCGGCTGTAAAGAGAAAGGCTTGGCCCTCGTGGAGAATTGAGTTGGAAGCCATAAAATTAAAATTGAAACATGGATAGTGACCTACAAATGGTATAGCGTTTAGAGATATTTCCCCGAATCCGTCGCCTCTGCAGTTGACAGCAGCCTCAATACGGAATTGACCAGGGAATAGAATTCTAAGGGAACATAGGAAATGGATTTAGATCTGATGCACTGTACTTGACAGACCAATTACGGTCAAAAAAACACTAGAATGATTTTTAATACATATTAAAACAAATGCCAAAAGGAACTCCGGTCGTAGATAGGTATTACGTCTGGCATTTTGGAACCCCAAACAGACCAGATCGAGCTTAGAGCAGCAGCTCCAAGGGGTTCTCAACAACCTTCTTCAGCTCCTTAATCCATTCAGCACCAACGGCACCGTCAACCACCTTGTGATCAAAGCTGCCAGTCACAATGATCTGGTCGTCCCATTCAACCTCGGTGCCGTTCTCAGTCTCGACAGGGACAGCTACTTTGCGGGTAGTACCAACAGCCAAGATACCAGCCTGAGGGGGGTTGATAACAGCAGTGAACCGCTCAACGGCAGGGTTCATTCCCATGTTGCTGATGGTGAAAGTACCGCCCTGGTACTCCTCTGGCTTAAGCTTGTTGTCGCGAGCACGCTTGCCAAGGTCCTTGATAGAGTTAGAGATGCTGGAGAGGCCGAGACCCTGAACGTTTTTCACAACAGGAGTGATCAGTCCAGCAGGGGTGGCAACGGCAACACTGATGTCGGCAGTCTTGTGTTGGCGGATGACAACCTGGCCGTTCTCCTCGTGCCAGCTGGAGTTGACAGCAGGCACCTTCTGAAGAGCAGCAGCACAAGCCTTGACAAGGAAGTCATTGACGGAAAGCTTGTACTTGCCATCGGCGGAGGCGTTAAGGGCCTGGCGGAGCTTCAGAAGCTTAGTGACAGACAGAGTCGTCGAGACGAAGAAGTGAGGGTTCTCTCTGGTGGATTGCTGAAGGCGGTTGGCGATAGTCTTGCGCATGGAAGTAAGAGGAATATCCTCATAGGTAGGGCCAGCAGCGGCAGAAGCGCTGGGCTTGTACTTCTCAACATCCTCCTTGGTGATCTGACCGCCTCTGCCAGTACCCTTCAGGGCCTTGATTGGCACACCCTTCTCCAGAGCAAGAGCCTTAGCAGCAGGGCTGATGGTAGGCTCGCGGTCGAGACTGGGCTGAAGCTTCTCACCCGAGGTCTCAGGCTCCTGAGCAGCAGGCTCGGGGGCCGGTGTAGAAGCGGGAGCAGCATCAGTAGCACCCTTAGACTCTTCCTTGCTCTCCTGAGCTGGGGCAGCACCCTTGTCACCACCGGCATCCTCAGCGGTGAACGACTCGAACGACGAAACATCAGTGCCCTCTTCAACGAGGACGGCGATAGGCTGTTGACGCGCAATTAGTAAGTGCAATACAAGACAATCAAATTTTACATCGCAGCACATACGGAGCCAACAGCAACCTCCTTCTCACCAGTTTCCTTCAGAACCTTAGCCAAGACACCTTCTTCTTGGAACTCAAAGTCCATCTGTGCCTTATCGGTCTCAATCTCGACCAAAACATCTCCGGGCTGCAGGGCATCGCCGGGCTTCTTCTGCCAGGCACCGATGTTTCCAGCAAGCATCGTTGGCGACAAAGCAGGCATGCTGATGATGGTGTGAGGGGGGAAGGCTGCAACTCGACATGTTAGAATTGGAGGGCTGTACTACGAAGACAGGAAGAATAAAATCTGGACGGGCGTACACTTGGAGGCATAGTAGCGGGAAAGGGCAGCGAAGGCGGGCAATTGGGGTCTAAAAACAGGGGTAACAATGTCAGCCTTTCAAAACATGGGACTCGAGGGTTAAAGCGCAGGCTATAACATACTGAACAGCATCCCTGAATCTGTGCATAACCTGCGGCCTCCTCAAGGAGGAGGCGCCTTTGGTGAGCATGGCGCTGGGAGTGCGCATCCGGACAGCACTGGCGACCATGGTGCCTGAATGCTGTGTGTATGATACGGTGAAAGGGCCCGGGATGCGACAGAGAGAGGAGAGAGGATGGAAGGGCGGGCAAGAGGTATATCTGGCAGGTGGAAGGGCCCGGTATCAAAGAGTTGAGGAGTGCAGCTCTAGGAACTTTTCTGTTGAGCTTCCCGGTGAGAGATCGGAATAGTGTCGCCGGGTGCCGCCGGTGTCCTGCTTAGGTAAGTTGTAAGCAGGTCTCCGTCGCGTACCTGGCACGAATCGGCGTCCGTAGATTATCCCCGTCCGCCGGAGAAGACACGCATCAGTTCCACTAGCGGGTTAGTAACTTAGTATGGAGTACTCTCCTCACTGCTTCTAGTCCTGAATTTACTTTTCCATGTGGACCCCTCATATGTCTTATTTGGATTGCTCCAGACGGAGTCTCGCATAAATGGCAGAAGTTGAGAATGGCTCTGCCAATGAGCCAACCCAAACATCTCCAGCTCTGTCGCAGGCAGACAACAAAGAGCATGGGGCAGATGTTTCCACGCACTCCGAAGCCTCCGATGCTATCGAGGGGGACAAGCCCACGCTCCCCGAGGAGACGGAACGCCAAAAGCTCGATGTGGATGCTTCACAAGGCCATAAGCAAGTACAAAGCGAATTGGACTCTATTGAACCTACTGAGCTTGCAGAAACATCTTCAGCCCCTCCGAAGGACACTGTCGAGGCCCCAACATCCGAACTAAAGCCATCGCTCCAGTCGGATGCCAAGGAGGAAAATGCAGATAACACACAAGATGGTGGTCAGGAAGTTGGTCCCGAACAGAGCTCTCCCGACGAGAGCCTCGATAGAGACTCTGTTCCACCTCAAGATGTACCTGTTCCGGACCCTCGCGTGCGCTCGGATTCGAGGTCAACGACTGCTACATTTGCGACACACCGTTCAGTTCCCGTTAGCTCCACTGTCTTCATTGTAACAGCACTTGACACGATTGGCGCATCCCGAGAAGCTCGGAGGACCAAAGAATTGGAGGACGCCGTGAAGAGTGCGATTGCGAATGTAAAGCAATCGGATGGCCAGCCCATAGATCCGGAAGTCATCTTTCGCCCTTTACTTCTTGCTACCAAGACTCTTAGCGTCCCCTTGCAAGTGACGGCACTCGATTGCATCGGGAAACTTATCACCTATTCATACTTCGCTTTCCCTAGTGCTCAGGACGTCAATGTCTCCCAAACCGATCCCACGCAAGAGCAGCCACCGCTGATTGAACGAGCTATCGACGCGATCTGCGACTGTTTCGAAAATGAAGCCACGCCCATTGAGGTCCAACAGCAAATCCTAAAATCACTCCTTGCGGCAGTTCTGAATGACAAAATTGTGGTGCACGGAGCTGGTCTCCTGAAAGCTGTCCGCCAGATATACAATATTTTCATATACTCTAAGTCCAGTCAAAACCAGCAGATCGCTCAGGGATCTTTGACTCAGATGGTTAGCACAGTCTTTGACCGAGTTCGTGTGAGGCTTGAATTGAAAGAACTACATATGCGTGATGCCGAAAAAGCACAGGGGTCCTCTTCTGACACTGTAACCCTGGATCCTGCGGAGACCCCTCAGACCAATGAGGAAGATCAAGCGTCTGACGTCGCCTCTGCTACCGTCCCGGATCAACCCGTTGCTAAGGAGCCTACCGAGAAGATGACATTGCAAAGTTTCGAGTCGAACAAAGACATCACATCTGTGAATGACAATGCCCCAACAACAGTTACACGCGCCAAGGCTCGCCAGACCCCAGTGAGGTCCTTGTCGATTTCAGGGGAGGAAAGAGAAGACGGCGAAGGTTTAGATGATGATGAAGACGAAGTATATGTTAAAGATGCTTTCCTGGTTTTCCGAGCTCTGTGCAAGCTGAGTCACAAGATTCTTAGCCATGAACAACAGCAGGATTTGAAGTCTCAAAACATGAGATCAAAGCTGTTGTCTTTGCACCACATTCACTATCTAATCAACACCCACATTGCCGTTTTGACGTCCCCTCTGTTGACGATTAAGCAAAGCTCCAACAGCTCGGATGCTATGACTCTTCTACAAGCTGTCCGGCCTCACCTTTGCCTAAGTCTTAGCCGAAATGGCTCCAGCTCGGTGCCCAGAGTTTTTGAGGTGTGCTGTGAAATTTTCTGGCTTATGCTCAAGCATATGAGAGTGATGATGAAGAAAGAACTTGAGGTGTTCTTGAAAGAGATCTATCTGGCTATACTTGAGAAGCGAAATGCACCCGCTTTTCAGAAGCAATATTTTATGGAAATCTTGGAAAGATTGGCAGACGACCCGCGTGCATTAGTTGAGCTATATCTCAATTATGACTGTGACAGGACTGCACTGGAGAACATTTTCCAAAATATCATCGAACAACTTTCTCGGTACGCCAGCGTACCAGTCTCCATTACTGCAGCCCAGCAGCATCAATTCCAGGAGCACCATGTCAAGATCTCTCGTTTAGGACTTGAGTGGCACCAACGTGGCACTTTGCCTCCGACTCTCACTACCGCGAATGTAGCCAACATTCAACAGCCTAATCTGCAGGGTGTTCCTTCTGAGTATACGCTCAAATACCAATCGGTCGAATCTTTGGTGGAGATACTGCAGTCGTTAGACAATTGGGCCTCTCAGCGTATGGCTGATCAGGCTGTCCCCAACATCTCGTCTCAAAAGTCCATTGACAATTCGAGAGAGTCATTGGATACAAATGCTGGTGCATTCCTTTCATCCCCTAGGGTCGATGTTGTCGAGGGTAGTACCGGTCGGTCAACACCAGTGCCAGAAGATGATCCAAGCCAGATGGAGAAGGTGAAGCAAAGAAAGATTGCGCTCATGAATGCCGTCCAACAGTTTAATTTCAAACCTAAGCGTGGCATCAAGCTATTCATACAAGAAGGTTTTATCAAGTCCGACCCTGCCGAGATTGCGTCCTTGTTATTCCGTAATGACCGGCTGGACAAGGCTATGGTAGGAGAATACCTCGGTGAAGGTGAAGCGGAGAATATTGCTATCATGCATGCATTTGTAGACATGATGGAGTTCACAAAGCGGCGTTTCGTTGATGCTCTCCGTGGCTTCCTGCAACATTTCCGTCTCCCCGGAGAGGCACAAAAGATTGATCGTTTCATGCTTAAGTTTGCAGAGCGCTACACAACCCAAAATCCAAATGCTTTCGCAAATGCTGACACGGCCTACGTTCTTGCGTACTCCGTCATCTTGCTTAACACAGACCTGCACAGCAGCAAGATGAAGGGACGTCGTATGACGAAGGAGGAATTCATAAAAAACAACAGGGGTATCAATGATAATCAGGACTTACCTGAGGAATATCTAACGTCTATTTACGACGAGATTGCAGGTAATGAAATCGTTCTTGATACAGAGAGAGAACACGCCGCAAACGTAGGAGTTCCCACGGGCACACCCGGAGGGTTGGCATCAAGGGCTGGACAAGTCTTTGCAACTGTGGGGAGGGACATCCAAGGCGAAAAGTACACTCAAGCCTCCGAAGAGATGGCTAATAAGACTGAGCAACTTTATCGAAGCTTGATTCGGGCGCAACGAAAAACGGCAGTCAGGGAGGCTCTCTCACGGTTTATTCCTGCTACCTCTGTTCGACACGTTGGTTCTATGTTCAATGTCACTTGGATGTCGTTCCTTTCCGGCCTATCTGCTCCAATGCAGGACACCCAGAACCTTGAAATGATTAAACTGTGCATGGAAGGAATGAAGTTGGCCATCCGAATTAGCTGTTCTTTCGACTTGGAGACTCCTCGAGTTGCATTTGTGACGGCTCTGGCCAAGTTCACGAACTTGGGCAACATTAGAGAAATGGTGGCGAAGAATGTCGAGGCTTTGAAAGCTCTACTTGATGTAGCACTCACAGAAGGGAACTACCTCAAAAGCTCCTGGAGAGAGATCCTTACATGCGTTAGCCAGCTGGATCGGCTCCAACTTCTCACTGACGGCGTTGACGAAGGATCGTTGCCCGACGTTTCGCGGGCGCGTATTGTGCCTCAAGCATCCTCAGATGGCTCCCGCAAATCCTTCCAGTCCTCAAGACGGCCGCGTCCTCGATCAATCAACGGTCCTACGGCCTTCCGCACCGAAGCTGCAATGGAAAGCCGATCTGCTGAGATGATCAGGGGTGTAGATCGAATCTTCACGAATACGGCCAATCTCTCTCATGAAGCCATCATTGACTTTATCCGGGCGCTGAGCGAAGTAAGCTGGCAAGAGATCCAGTCTTCCGGACAAACCGACTCTCCCCGTACGTACAGTTTGCAAAAGCTCGTTGAGATTAGTTACTATAACATGACGAGAGTCAGGATAGAATGGTCCAAGATTTGGGAAGTCCTTGGACAGCATTTCAACCTTGTTGGATGCCATTCCAACACAACGGTGGTCTTTTTTGCGCTAGACTCGCTTCGACAGCTGTCAATGCGCTTTATGGAGATTGAAGAGCTTCCAGGTTTCAAGTTCCAAAAAGATTTTCTCAAGCCATTTGAGCATGTCATGGCTAATAGCAACGCGGTAACCGTGAAAGACATGATTCTGCGATGCCTTATCCAGATGATTCAGGCCCGTGGAGATAACATTCGCTCTGGTTGGAAAACAATGTTTGGCGTCTTTACAGTCGCTGCTCGCGAGCCTTATGGTAAGTGATGATGCTCCGGGGTTGCTATATGGAAGTTGCTAATGTGGGTATAGAGGGCATTGTGAACATGGCTTTCGAACATGTTACCCAGATCTATAACACCCGGTTTGGCATTGTGATCACGCAGGGTGCTTTCCCCGATCTCGTCGTATGCTTGACAGAGTTCTCTAAGAATTCGAAGTTCCAGAAGAAGTCGTTACAGGCGATCGAAACTCTGAAGTCAACCGTCTCCAAAATGCTCAGAACGCCTGAATGTCCTCTCTCCCATCGTGGCTCATCAGCTGAAGAATTCCATGATGAAAATACAAACCTTGCGAAGCAACTTAGCCG